AAATATGCTGATAAATCTGCATGTGTGTGTGTGTGTGGAGAGGGGAAAGATGGCAGCTAATTGCGGACTGTGTAACTGTTGTCTGTTGTCTGCCGCAGCTCGTCTGCGATATCTTTTAATTTGCCACAAAAAGCACCAAATGCGCAAGCCATACGAGTGTGTGTGTGGGAGAGTCACTGTGTGTGTGGGTGTGGATGCGGGCAGTCAGCAGCCAAGCAGCCAAGCAGCCAAACCGCTAAGCAGCTGGCAGCCCTGGCCAAGCCTGGGAATCCTCTCACTTTTTTCCCAAGCACTAGTCATTGTCTCTCTCTTTCTCTGTGTGTGTGCAACGATGATGAAGATGATGCGACTTGGAAGTGCTGCAGAGACCCGGCTGCAATGCCCTGGCTGCCCGGCTGCCCGGCTGGATATGACACAGATTACGTAACGCGAAATTAACATTTTAACACAATTCAACAGACGAGATTGCAACTGCAGCCGAAAGAAACGAAACTGCTGCAGAGAATGACAAAGGGCGAGAGAGAGAGAGAGAGAGAGAGCCAAAGACAGAGAGAGCGAGCCAATGTTTGGCCATTTGGCCATTTGCCCATGTCTCCGACTGATCATCAGTCTTTGTTGTGGCGTGGTGTGGTCAGCAGACACCTAGTAGCCCTCGCTCACTCCGAGGCAGACAAACAGCAGCCGGTTACGCCTCTTGCAGTCAATTATGCAATTAAAGCTTTACATGCGAACAAGTAGCAATTGCAGCCAAATGAGGCAAATTTCCAATGCGCTGGCATCGATTTGACAATGCGTCAGTTGCTCCAACCCCCGCCTCTATCTGTGCAGCCTGTGAGTGAGTGGCCTGCGGGCAGCAATTTGCAACTCGCAGTCATTTTATCTTGCTTCGTTGCCTTGTATATATGACTGTCAACTGTGACGTGTCATCGCCGTAAGTCAGCAGTTTTATGATTCCTTTTAGCCGCCTGTCGCCGCTGCTTTTCCCATGGCCAATAAGCGCAGCTCGCGCAGTTAGTTAGTCTGTGATTTGCAAGCTAGAACTGTTAAGTGTGGCAAGCCGAAGCTGAAATACCCTCAAAGAGTTCTGAACTTAATGTGAAAGCAACGCTTGTGATTCTTTAGTGATTGCTCAGGCATAATTCAGCAATCTCCACATTTACAGATTAAGTTTATCGTAGTCTCAGCTTCATTTAACTCATTTATATACATGCATTTAGTATATATAACTCTGCCTTCTCTTCTCTAGAAGGGCTGAAGCTTGTTGATTATTTGCCATATTACGTATACGCCGCACAGACCAGCAGAAACTTTGTCAATTTAGCTGAAATGAAGTGGCAAAATTGTTTTTTGCTTGCAATTTTTATACATTGGCTTTTGATAGACGAGACGCGCCGAGAGCTGTCATCATTATTATCATTTTGAACATCATGATCGCGCTTGGTTCGGCTGTAATTTGCTAATCATTTCAACTGCCACTTGGCCAGCAATTTGAGCGCAGCAACAAGGAAGAAATTGTCAACCATTTGAAGCCATGAGAAAATGCCAACATAATCTTCAGCGCTGGCTATTTATTTGGTGCCAGCAAAAGGATGGTCCCCAGATTGACCAACTGTCGACAGACAAGCCAAAAGTGAATGGCAGATGCTTTTGCCAGCGCCTCCGAAATTGGGCAATGCCAATCGCAGTGGGCGCCCAACTGTCCAGCATTGTTATGGAGGAATCTGTCGCTCTACTGTGCTTAATCAGCAGATGCACACATGCCTGACTGAGCTGACTGAGAGGACAACAGAGAACGCACTGATGAATACACTTCACAGCAGACATGACTTAATAAAGCATCAGCGAATTGTTAATTAAAATCTGCCAACAATACACACACACACATATATATATATATATATATATATATATATATATTGAAATTGGGCAGCAGCTGCTTGGATGACTCGCAGAGGTCATGCAGAGATAAAATTGTTGCCACAACTGGCTGTAGCTGTCGCTTTCTTCTATGGAAATTCCACAATTCGATTGGCCATAAAGCGCAAAGGCTCGTTTAGCAACTGGTTACGTGGTCGTCACCCGCCGCCAAACGCTTCCTGGAAACCACAAAACTGATCGCCGTCGCGACAAAGGTGGCATCTGCCTGCCGCAGCTGCCTCGACCGCCTTAGCTGGCGTCTCAGCTGTTAGGCGTCTCACGTTCGTTGCCGCTGCCCAGACAAGCGTTGCATGTGCCGCATAAATCTTCAGCTCATTTATTTATTTTGAATACAATATACTGCAAGTGCTTGGGCTGGGTGTCTGCGCCCAGCCACTTGGCTATACCCGAGGTATATGTCTGTGCATCTCATGTGATTTGTACCGCAGCTTCGCCTTCACTCGAAATGTTAAGACGCGCGCCTGGGGGCTGCAGCGTGCTGAACTCTTCAGGATATAATTGTGCAGCAATTGACTTAATGTCTAGCATTGACTTTTGACTAAACAATGGCAGTTCAGGCCTGCAATTGTTATCATTAGCGCTTAAATCTATTGGTATTAACCTTTTCAAAAGATAACTAAACGTGTATGCTGTTGCAATGTATGAAATAAGTTAACTTTGTCGCTTGCTGGCATTAGTTATGTAAATACTTTTATTTTACAATATTAGTGAAAACATTGGCTGAGTGGGCTTCAGTGAATGAGAGTTTATTGAAGAGCTGAATATGAATTTTAATTTTATTTCGCTTTCGACGTGTTCCCTGCCTGAGCTCACTAAGTTTATATTATGTAGCTGAATCACTTTAGATAAATATATATATGTATCAAAATGTTTTTTTTAGTAATCTTTGAGGCTCCATAAATCTGAGACACAATTTATTTTGCTGCTAAACTCCTCTGTAATAGCTAAGCAAACAAATTTTTTTGTTCTTAAGCACAAATGAAATTGATAAACAAACGCAGCAAATGCTTTGCTTACTCAACTCTAGCAACAGACTTTTCATTTCATTTTAATTAAAAATACTTCAATTTGAAGAGCTGGAATACAAGTCTACGGCATCGCATCACAATATATCTACCAGCCCACACAGGCCAACTTACTCAGACGTGATGCATACGCCACACTGAACTAACAAGCGCTTTCAACGTATCCTTAGCAGGAGTCATAATAACATATCACTACAAACGCTGCTTCGCCACAGAAAGAGGCGCAACAGACTCAAGAGAATATACCCATCAGCTCGCTTCATGTCATTTTCATTAAAATAAACCCCACACCTCGACTAAAGGCCAAGTCGAACTTTACACCTCATTATCCAATGCTCTAATAAAACTTGCTAAAGAGCAACAGAAAACTTGCAAAGCATTTGTATTTGTGCTCAGGCAGAAACAGGGCATTGACGGCCACATCATTCGACTGTCTTTGCTTATAATTGAGACGCCTTCGCGTGGGCTGCGGGAGCGACTAATTACAACCAATATACAAAGCCATTGAGCATAGGAATATGAGAAAAACATTTGTGCCCTATGCTCAAATTACGCGCTGTGGGAAACCATGCTAATAGATAGACTATATTTCAGAAAAGATATTTCTATTTGTCAGTATGTTGCTATTGGATAAGATTAGAATTTAATAGAAATAAAACATGTTGGTTTCTAGAAACGATGACGTTTGGTATAAGACAAGTTTTTCTAGCTCATCAAGTTATTGTAAAGCCAATTATAAATACATTTTAATTAAAAAAAAAAGGGTTCTTAAATTCTACAAAAGTCGAGATGTTAGCTGTTGAAAAAAGCCTATATTAAATTCTAATAATTATCATTATATTAAATATTAATATTATATTAAATTCTAATTTTATCATTTGCTCTTACTTCACTTGCAGCTTAACTCAACTAAAGATTTTTGAAGAACTTAGTGAGATCTATGGCAGAACATGTGAGGTACTTTCAGTTGCACAAATAATTTTGTTTAAAAATAAAATTTATATTTATGTTTTACGACAGCAAATATGCCCAAGTTTTGCTACTTATTAATTAAAAGAGCTACTTAAATTAACTTAGCACAAGATAGTGCAGATGACGACTCAAAGAGTACAGCCTCAAATTTATTAGAAATATAAAGAATTTAAGATATATTGACATAGAGATATATTTATTTTTATTTATATATTATTATTTATATATTATATTTATATATATTTATTTATTTATATAGACTTAAACTAGTTATTTATATATTATATTTATATATATTTATTTATTTATATAGACTTAAACTAGTTAAGGCTTAAAGGAAAAGAAACATTTATAAATTCTTGCCTTAGCATATCAAATCCTTGCACTCTGATATCTAGTTACAAACTACATTAAATCAGGCTCAACTTTCTGCTTATCTGCTTAACTGAAGTTTAAACTGCCCAAAATATAAATTTCATAGCATTTCCAAATTTAGTCATCAGCGAAGACATTAAAGAAATGTTTCCCAAATCTGAAAACATTTGCAATGCAAAGTGCTGAAAGCTCTTTAATTTCCATTTGAAATGAGCTACGCTTTCAGTAATTGTTTTGAAGTCATCGTCGTTCCGACTTAAAGAATTTAAAATATTTGCTTCAATAATCTGAACTATTTTCATCTCACGCAATGTTTGCTGCGAACAACAGAGAATGTTGTTTAGTCCTGCAAATATTTTGCATTTGAATGAAAGGGGCAAATGCAAATATATTCAGATAATCTCAGAGGCGCATTCAGCTGGAAAATGCGCAATGCGCTGGGCGAGCAGGCGAGGAATGCTAAATACATATATAAAACAGATTTGAACAAGGAAATTGCGTATGTGGTAGGAGCAAGGACTAAAAGGATTGCGAGCGGGCATTTGCATTTGCCATTTACCTAATACGATTTTTGTTTGCGCTCTAGCCTCGAGTCTAATGACCAAATCCATTTGGCCGCAAATTAGTTTTTGTGGTTGCTAGTCAGGCAGCTAGCCAGCCAGTCAGAGAGTGGTTTTTGGATTGACTTACCTTGCGCTTGGAGCGTGCCATGCGCTGGTCGCGCGAGTTCTCCGCCTCGCCCGGCGGGCGCTTGCCCCACACGGCGATGGCGATTCGCGTGTAGGTGAATATCAGCACCAGCAGCGGCACGATGAACTGCAGCGTGAACAGGGTGAGCGTGTAATAGTAGCCCTGCTCGGCCGAGGGCCAGACCTCGCGACAGATGTATCTGATGTGGCCAAGAACGCGGCACGAGCACGATGCAGCGCGCATGTTGTTGTGGCATGCAAAACAAAAGAGCAAAAGCCGCAGAGCGGCATAAGAGTGAGTTAGTTTAATGGCATGTGGGTTTAAGGTAAGCGGGTGGGGGCGTGGCATAAATGCTGTCAGCTTGTGCTGGCCATAAAAGCTGTCAAATGCACGCCCACACACAAACACACACACACACACACACAAGGGCAAACACACAATGTTAAGTCTCTCAACTGGAATGGCAAAAAAAAGCTCAAAAGTAAATTCGCTAGCATTTCGCCAACAGTTTGCTTTGATTTATTGCAACTGCTCGCTATGCAAATATGAGCAATAAAATATATTTGTGTAAAGTGCTTCGTCTGCATAATGAACGCAGTGTCATTTTTTTCCGTTGGCTTCATTTCATGCAGTTGATTGCATTTTCTGCCCACGGTGCCTGTTTTTGATAGGTTCACAAAATGAAAATTTTCATCTGCCAGCTGATGTTGCGGTAATTAGGCACGTTCCCTTACAGCACACAGTTGCCACAGACACACACACACACACTCACTCGCACACACACACACACATGCATGTTGTTGTTGTCCAAAAATGTGCTCTAATTGAATGCCAAAGAAGTTGCATTTAAAGTCAGGCTCAGTCTCATTTGCAATATTTGCAATTCACTCGAGGGCGTGCCGCAAATTGTGGCAAGTATCTTAGGCAAGCAGCTGTAAAGCTATTCTAAGCCAAAATGACATTTCGAGCGTATGGCAAGCCTTGTCAATGAGCTATCGATTTCAGCATGCGGCAGCCTCTGTTGCATGCCACGCGCTGCTTACGACTCGACACATACATTCAGCTCAAGTGGCACTCGTTAGACAATGCCACGGCCATATCGGGCATGTTACACTTCAAGCACGCATACACGCTCTTATATATTGGCGCTGCTAATGGGTTTCTACTCACTTTTCGCACTTCTCGTGCCATATGGAGCTGGGCACCTCCAGCCGGGAGACGACGGGTATGGGAAAGGCAGTTGCCAGCGCAATAAACCAGACGCCGGCTATAATAAATTTGGCATAGCTGGAAAGAGCGAAGAAAATACACAAATAAATAACGGTAAAGAGTTGTCTTCAAATGGACACAGCAACGCCAGAGCGAACGCTGACGCACGCATTACGCATACGCAGCGTACGACGGATGGCAGGCGATCTCGTGAGTGAGTGCGTGCGCGCGTGAGTGAATTACAGCAAGGCAGGATAATTATAAAGCTTATTTATTTTGGGGCCCACAAATATTTACGCATGCCACGAAAGCCTCGCTCCTTAGCACGCACTCATTGACAGGGCGTGACAGAAATGCCAGAGCCCTACGCCCACCCAGCTAAACAAGTTGCTGGGCCCAGGGATATCCGGCATATTTTGTTACAAAGCAAATTGACGTTCAATGGAAGGCGGGCGAGCGGCGTGGGCTCGCCGGATTTTGCAGCAGCTGCCGTCAGCTGTGTCTTGGGTTACTATTTAAACCAATTAACACGGCACAGTTGGTCGGCCCATGCCTAGCGGGCATACGTGCTGGCATTGCGTGTTTTGGGTCCCACGGGGCGACGCCTTTGCCGCTGGTCAAGTGCGGCTGGCAGCCAAATGCCTAACGCGTCAAGCAATGCAAATACGCCAGCGGCCACTTAACGGCGCCAATGCCCCAAATACAAGGCGAGCAAGGGCGGGCCCCCAATTAGTTTTTATGCGCCTTCAATTAAGCTAAATGCTACTAAAAGCCAGCTTTGCATACTTGAGACAGGCTCGAATAAAATACGGAATATAATTGCTAATTCTTAACAGTTTAGCTTTAAGATATTTCAGATATAACACAGCTCTCAGCTGAATGAGATTTTACTTGAAGATATTTCAGATATTCCACAACTTTCTCTCTTTAGCTGATTGAGATTTTATTTGAAATTTCAGCATGGATTATTACCAGCAACTGTCAACTGTATCTATAACTTAGGTCTCTCTCTGTTTTGTGTATTTATATTATGCTTAATAGTCCAAATTAGTAAACAGCTCATCGCTCACGGTCTGTGTTTCGCTTTGCTTAAAGCACTCCATACGTGAGCTGACCAGACTAGAGTGATGCTATTATCGATAACTATATTTCAGCAGCTATTCAGCTTATCGATAACATCTACCTATCTAAATATTTATTAACATTTGCCATTTAATTTTAAAATATTTAAAATATTTAAACGTAATAAATTAATAATAAATTCTAAGAAACTACAGCTCAGTTTTTAAGCTATCTGAATTTTGAGTTGCAAATGTTGGCATGAGTAAAGTCTTTTGATTCTTAACCCCACTTGAGACGTATGTTGAGATGAAGTTAAGCTACAAGTAAAGCTGAGCCAAGTTAAGCATCTTATGCTTAAGCCACTGCCAGCAAAGCTGAGGCGCTTATTTATATGAAAGGCTATGGCGTCGGAATGACATGAATGGAGTCAAGCTTTTGCCTTTTCTTTAGCTGCTTTTTCAGTCAGATAGATTTACATGCCTAATATTTACATACTTAAAATATACAGCTTTACAGATCAATTGATTGCTATACGCACCGCTTTGTGATGCGCGGCCGCAGCGGCCACATGATGGCTATGTAGCGATCGATGCTGATGGCCACCAGGGTGTAGGCGCTGACCAGGACGGAGACCACTTGCGAGTAGTTGACAAAGTGGCACAGGACAATGCCGAACGGCCAGTAGTTGAGGATGTACTGCGAGATGAAGGAGGAGGGCACGCAGAAGAGGGACATGAGTATGTCGCCCAGTGCCAGATTGGCTATGAAATAGTTGGTGACTGTGCGCATGCGCGGCGTTGATTGCACTATGTAGCAGACGATGCCGTTGCCGAGCAGAGCAAATATGAAGATGGGTATGTAGAGCAAGTAGACGACGCTCTTGAAGTAGTCGCTGGACCACAGGTCGTCCGAATGGGAGCTGGAATCGGTGCAGCTAAAGTTAAGCAAAACGGTCACATTGAAGGCTGGCGTGGTCGATGGATAGGCGGCTTCCTCGGCCAGCAACGGCTGCTCTGTGGAGCTGCCGTTGTACAGCAGCGACTCGGCTGCGTCCGCATAGTCCTCCTCGTTCCGCAACAGCGGCTGCTGTGCCGCTATGTAGTACAAGCGCTCCTCACTCCGCACCGAGCGTTCCATGTCCATGCGACTGCGTTGCCAGGCCAAATTTTTAAACTCCATCCGCAAGCTGAGTCAGTTTCTTACTTCTTACCCTTTTGGTAAGCAAAGTTTGGTGAGTGTAACTTAATCTAAACACACTTTGGGCTAAGCAAATTCTAATTGCAGCCTGTTTACATGGCGTTCGCTTTGCGTTGTGAATTTAGTTGATGAAGCCTGAAAGTATACGAAGAATTTTACGGAATTCGTTATTATTATTATTAAAATTTGCACGCTTGGTTAGCTTTGAAAGTTGCATAAATAAGTTACTCGACCGTGGCTAAATGACTACAAAAAAGTTACAGCAACCTTAAGTTTCACTGCATGCCTTGAGGCCTCGCTTTTAAGACAACTCAAGGGAATTCAAGCTAAACTGTTGCATATTTTTGTGCTGTCTGCAAATCAACTTGGCTTTAGACTCTGCAGCACAGAGAGTCCGAACTTATGAGCGGCCAAAGAATGCAACTTAAATCTAGTTTGATTAATTTCATATTTTATTCAGAGGTTCAGAGTATGTATTCTTTGCAGCATTTGCCTGTTCTTTTTGCCGGTCTGCTTAGATGCGAGCTGGCTTAAGTCCACTGCCAGCTTAGCAGCGCATCTAGAGCTGTGTGACTGACTCCTTTGTTATATTATATATAAGAAATGGTGAATTGTTGATTTGAATTAGACTTATTGCTATCACAAATCATTCTTCGTTTCACCATCCGCCCAATCAAGCGAACATATTTATAGGAACCTTTTTCAGCTATGCACTCTGCGGAGCAACTTCCAGGAATTAAAGACTGAGGGACAATTTGTGCATATTTAGTGAAACACAAAGGTTCATATATGTATATTCCAAACAGCCTAATAAATATATATTCATTTATATCTCTACATTGCCAAATTTGATTTTGAATTGCATATTCAGCGAATCGAAATAAGCTTAGCCAATGGGCCAAAAGCAAACACATTTCAGCAGAAATTACTTCAAATTCTTTTAATTTTTATTTTTGTTGTTTTTAGAGGCACTTTCGTTGACTTCCCCAAAACGCACTTCTGTGTATTAACGAGCCGACCAAATCAATATTGAATCTTCTAACTCTCATTAGTTATTCTACTAAGACCTTTCGTTCCTTTCGTTACTCACTTAGTCTAGGTGCCAGAAATTCTCTGCAAGCTGCATATTTTATTTATTTATTCATTTAATTTTTTATTTAAAATTATTCTTAAAATAAGACCCTCTTATAAATACAAAAGAAAACAAAACACAACTGAATTAACATTTAAGGCCAGGTTAATTTGAATATAAAAGCTGTTTTACACGGCAAGCTTAGAGCAGAGGTGAGCAGAAGGAGATGCTGGAATGGAATTAGTAAAACTTATGGATAGAAAAGAAAATTTGAAACTATGAAAATTTGAAACAACTATGAACTATCAATCAATGAAGAAATAATATTAGTACATGCTAAGCAAAAGTATTTATAAATCTATTAAAGTCAATAAAAGGCAGTTGAAAAGCGAAAAGAAAGCTCGAGTCGAGAACATCCTGTATGAGCTCACTTTGCATTGATCAAAGCATCATCCATACGACAAACTGTTGCATACACTTGTGCGCAGTCCGTATAAGACTCTGTGTCAACGAGCAGAGCTGAGTGTATAAATCAGAATGACAAACCAGCAACCAGAGACCATTAAAAATGCCAAAATAGAAATACACAGAAATCGCTTAGGGCTAAGCAAAAAAAATGAGACGAAACGAAAAGAAAAGAAGAGCAGGCTGCAATGATAAATTGGTCGCAATTGAAAGGCATTTTACGCTGAGCAATGGCTGAGCAAATGAAAGGGAAACCTTTTAGTAGCGAAAGAGTGAAAAATGTCGATAAATGTATTTATTTCTTGACTGAGCACTTTGTAAACGAGAAATTGTAAAGTCGAAAGGCTAAAGGCGTTCCGAGCAGCATTTTCGCCAAAGCAGATGGAAATGCTGCCAAGAAAAACACAAAATAATAACAATTTATTTAATAAATATACAAACAGCTCGAGGCAAACATGAGAGAAAACAAAATGCAGAAGAGCTCACGACTTCCGTTCAGCTTCAGCTGAAAAAGTGGCTTTAATGGGCCGCAGGCAGCAGGAAAATCTGTCAATTGAAATGCACAGCCATAAGGCCGACTCTGTGTAGACATATATATATATATATATATATATATATAGTCTCATACATGTAAGAGCATTAAGACAATTTCTATTTGTGGCCTGGCATTAGGCAAATGAAAATGATAAGCTGAATGTACGAACGCAAGCAATTAAAGCCTGGCAACAAAGGACAATTGTTAAAGATAATATGAGAGCTGAAATTTGATTGCCAAAGGCTGTGTGCACATGTGTGTCTGGGTGTGTATGTGTGCGTGTGTTTAAGGACGTCATTTCAACTTTTACTGGTCGCGTCGGTTTAATGTGCCGCTAAATAAACTCCGACACCGTCTAGCTGACAGTGCCTCGTGTATGTGAGCGCCTGCTGTAAAAGACGGATAAGGATATCAGGCAAGTAAATTGCTTATCTCAGCGCAATAATGAGGTACTTGCTGAGCTTCAGCCCGTATGTTCGTTGAGCGTGGGTGTGTGCGTGACTTGAGTTTTCTGTGACAGTCTAACGTCGACTGTGTATGCTATACTTTATCAATTATCTACACAAATTCCAAAATCCCTGCCAAGCTTCATCAAATTTCAACAGACGATTGCGTGCCTAAGGATTTGTTATTGGAATTTTTGTCAGGCATTCGGCAAAAGAAAGAAGACATTTTTATATTTTTTCTCCTACTGTTATATGTAATTTATATACAAAAACATTTTTAATTTAAAATATATTAATTTTTAATTTACACTGCAAGCTGAGGAAAAAGGGAGGCCAAAAATGTAAATTAAAAATATATGAGACATGTCAGGGTTCAATTGCAGGCACATTAGACTTGATTTGTATTTCATAATGAAAGAGAGAAGTCGCGTTTCAATCACTTTTGAAGAGGGCACCCGAAAGTACGGCAAACTTCTGCCATTCGACTCGTATTGAAATCGTTAAGCAGGGTCGAGTGTATTAATGAAAAGTCATCAATATTATATTAGGGGCGCAGTGTGAAGCTGAAGTATGTGCACGGCATGCCAAAGCCAATAATTAACACGGTCTAGCTCAATCTCCATATAGAGCCAATGCATGGAATTTTCTTGAGTGGAAATAGAAGTCTCTTAAAATAAGAGTAAAAGTAATATATGGCCAAAGTGAAGTAGGAAAACGGCAAGAAATCACGTAGCAAAATGTAATCAGAGCACGTGATTTAGCCGACGCGTCGGCTTCACTGAGCAGCGCAAAAAAAAAGAAAAAATATATAAATAAAATACGGTAGCCCATGGCAAATAAGATATATTTACATAGAGCATGCATAGAGGCTTTCAGCGGGCAATAAAAAAGGGCCACAAATCAGATTTGCTCGGCTTAGTTGCTTGTAAATTCATTTAGCGCCTTTTTAGGCTGAGCGCGTAAATAGCAGTCGACAAAAGGCAGTCGAAAGTCGACCCCCCACCCCACCCTAAAATCAGGTGCTTCGAGCATAAATTCAATTTGCTGTGCCAAAAATATGACTAAAGCTGCAAAGCGAAAAAAGAATGAATCTCATGGTAAATCTTCAAAGTGAGCCATAGCTCATATTTCCATTTGCGTTCATTGTGTTTGGGGCTTATGCCGTGGGATTAACAGTCGTTTTATGTCCAGCTACATTCTGCGTAAAGCGCCAGTTGCCTTAAAAAGCAAAAGCAAACAATGCCAGAATGCAGCGGCCCCAGCTCAACCAGAGTGGAGGTCAGTCCAACTGTTCAAGCTACAGAGAAATGACGTTTGCTTTGCCAACAGGCACAGAATAAAACAAAAATATACTAAAAGTTCCAGCCCAGAGGCGTTTCACGCACTGTGGCTAATATTTTGACTTCGACTGTTTGTTTTCACCATAGGCAAGAGATGTGCGTGTGGTGAAGGTGATGCAATATTAAATGTTGAAGATATTTTTACAATATATATATATATATAAATATATATTGGTTCGTTTATATTTGTACTTATATAAATCAGTAGTCAATTTGAACGGCTTTCATGCTAATTTATTACTTTTACAATTCTGCTCAACTTTAGCTTTTTAAGCTGCTCTTGCCTTGCACCATGTGTTATCCCAGTCTCTCCTGTCATAATGCATTTCGTCCACTGACAATCAAAACGAACCTGTGCATAGTGCCTTACTAGCCATCTCGCTCTCACTCAACAACACACGAGCCTACATTCAGCAACAGCTATCTTTGTCTCTCTCTCTCTCGACTAAGGGCAATCTCATTCACTTAATATTTTTACATAGCGCATAAACATATGCATTTACTTTTATATAAATATATTTCTGTATTTCTGTATTTGGAATATGGCCTTTACTGTTTATAATATATATTTATATTTTCTGCTTAGTCCGTCAGTTATCTCTACCTGTCTCTTATAAGCAACACTACCAAGAAATCATCTTAGTGAAATATTGAGTTCTAGCTAAATTCAGCTTAATCTGCTTATTATGGATTATAAATGTTAACAAAAGATGCCTTGCTCTGTATATAATCAACATTTTCAGGCATCCTATAAGCTTGTAATATTATTTTTAACTAAAATTCAAAGTCTTGCCAAATTCTTTTTAATCGCATTATTATGGTTTTTGTATACCAAGAAATTTCATATTAGCTGCCTTATATCAAATATTAGCAAACCTTTTTATAGTAGATAACATTCTGCTATAATTGTAGACACTTGAGTTAGGTGGTTATTGATATGGAATGAAAACCAACAGAAGAAATCACAAAGTCGGTGATTGGATTTTAAACTTTGCATATATTGGCAATATTTTGAACACACTCCAAATTTCTACTTAATTCTTGATAAAAGATAATATTTTTGAATATCAAAGCTGCATTAATGAACTGCGCATATTTGTTTTGCCTAGAAAGCAGAAGCTTCAAGTTAAGTAATCACATCTTCTATCTAAGAGCACGAATCCCTTGGGAACTTCCTCTAGTTCTATTGTTGCTGCTCAGCTGTTTCCTCTTCTTCTGACGTATTTCCTGCCATCGAGTGAATGTATCTCAAGTAAAACAAGTTGACATACCTATGCCCATCTCTAGTCGCTGTCTGCTAGTCATAAAGAAGACTGCCTGTAGCTAACCGCAATGTCGTTGTCGTTGTCTTTGTCGATGTTGTTGTTGTTGTTGTAGTCGTTGCTGTTGTTGTTTTAAGCAGGCATACCACTTTTTCCATTAGCAGCACCCACAACCGAGTGGAGTCATTCGTTGGGTTCTTTTTTCCGAGTGCTTGTAATTATAATTAATGAGCTATGTCAAGCGCACTTGACTCAGCCAGCGTTGAGTCAAAGGACGAAGGACAAAAAGGCAAAGGCAAAGGTAATGTGGTAGGCCTAGGCGTGGTCGTGGGCGTGAAACATATTTGTGATAGTTTTTCCCCTTCGACCAGCCCACGCAGCAGGCAGTCAACGTATTTATGCGATAATTAGCCAGGCCAACTGCTTGTATTTGTGTCTCACTTAGCCAGGCTAATGCCTTATTTATTCCTTATTGGACTTGTAATATTTGAGTACTTATGTAAGGAAGAAATACTCGAAAGCTCTCCTGTAAAACATAAAATTGAATTTTATTGCGAACACAAACAGCAGAGCGGATAGAAGGGAAATTCCCGGCTTAGCGCTTTCAAAATGTTTTGTGAAATTTTCGGTTTAAACTCGTTGCTGGCCCTCGGCTGCTGCTACCCATATCAAATTTTGTGCTGACTTCATGCGCATCTCTCACGCTTAAGCATATTAATTCAATTAAGTCCACTTCGAGTGTGAGCACTTAATGTAAATGTATCACATGTAAATGGCCAACCCTTGCTGGCCGATTAATTTGGTTAATCAGTTCCCTCCACCTCCCACTCCTTCACTACCCCCACGTACCCAACTCCAGCACCCTATGAAATGTGACACTTTCGAAAATGCGATTAATTTGAATTTCATTGAATTCTGTGGCACATGCCCCACTACTCCGAGCCGCTACTCTTCTCTACCTTAACCGACTCCATAAAATTTATTTCACATAATTAAACGAACAGGCCTTCGGACTTCAAGGACTTCGCAGCTCATATTTTAATTGAGTTATATTATTTTTACTGAATGCCGACGAACAATAGGTGCAAATTGAAGCGAAATGTGTTAATTAAATGCACCGAGCATATTTAATTAACGTCTGCCACTCAGAGCCAGCTGCCAGCAGCTGCTGTTGTAAAATTCATACTGCATTTTCCATGTCAGTGCAATATTTCCTTAAAGTTTACATTGCGTTTGACAGGACTTCTTTGTGCTCGAACAGTTCTTGGAAACTCGAGTTTCATATTGCTTCCAGGTTAATCTCATAAGTTTTCTTACATTTGCAATTGCAGCATTTTCTTTGAATTTTTATTGCAACTTAATATGAGTGCGCTTGCGAGAGTAGCCGACTAACAAATACCCTAACTTTAACTAACTATTGAACTGAACTCAGATATCAAAGTCATCAACTGTAGTAACTAGATCTAGGTTGTCTTATGTAATATATATACTTATTTTATATATAATATGTTTTATATTAATATTAAGATTTCAGATACTATATGTTTTATGCATTCATTCATAAAGATGTACGCAAAGACAGACAAACACAGTTAGATTGACTTTTTTTGCTGCTCAAGAGTTTGGTTGGGGCACGCCTCTTTTTGTCTCCTATACACGATATAATGTAATTAACAATGTGTTCAACGAATGCAAATTAAACAAAAATTAATTTTTAAAATAATTTAATTATTTTTAATTGAATAAAAACTCAATCAATATACATAGAAAGAAAGCTAAGTCATAATATACATAAAATTAAATATTAAATGATTTTATAAATCAATTTCAATGTTTTTTAAATAATTTCTTATGAAATTTCACTAAGCTTAAATTTAATTTGTTCTTTGAAAACTAATATAAAAACATTTCGACAATTTAAATATTTGCTAATTTCATCTGCGTTGCTCAGCAGCACGTTTTAAGGTGACCATATTCGTTTTACGGCGCCGCCTAAAAGTATGCAATAAATTCGTGTATTTCTATCCATCTATCGTAATTGTTGCCATGCTTTCTGCAAGTCATTTAATTCATGCGCTCAGCCAGCGACCAATTAACACGAACAGGATAATCAGCCATGGAAAACTCATTAGCGCCATAATGCAAGTACAAGCCAGAGAGGTAAACACCAAAAGCGAGCGGATAAACAAGGGCAGTGGGCGTCGGAGCGGAAGTGTCTAACCAAATTGAGTCACAGTTAATCGGCTTGTGTTGGGCCAGCCGAGCAATTGTTTACAGTGCGCATTGACACCTTGCAAATAAAGATTTAACTTGGGCTTTAAGCCACTGATTGAGCTTGTTCTGTTCAATAACAATTGAGAGTCAGGCTGCTCTCTCTCTCTCTCTCTCTCTCTGTTCAGCTAGTCTCCACTTTCAGTATGCTCCTAATAGAGCATGCAATATCATATAATCCATTTGCCATGCTTCTTGCTATGCCTAAACTAATTATTGAGAGCATGACAAAGTCATTGCTATACAAAATATCGTTGTTGGTCCCCAGGCCTCGACAATCGTGCAGCAAAATGAAGTTAGTTTGGCTCTTGGTTTTATGCTCAACAATGAGCAAATGTGAGTAAAAAGGAAAACAGAATCTTTAATAGCTACCTTAAACAGTATACAGCTAACACTTACGCGCAGAATTTGTCCGAGCATGTGAACGGAAAGAATGGCTGGTATATGCCCAACGACGAGGGCAACCTTCAATGGACAGACGAGAAGGAGGCAGAGGCAATGATTGAACCCCTGACGAGAGGCAACAACCTAGAGACGATTCTTAAGCTCGTCAAATACTATTTACTAGCTAAAGTACCAACAACCAAGAGAGGCAAAGGCACAAAGAACACATGAAACCAACTTGTTGATAGATGTATGAAATATATATGTTGCTCTTTGATTTTTTCCATGGAGTAGGGCGATATGAACTGTTCAAGTGCATTAAAGGGTCTGTCGAGAGGGTTACTTACAGCAGATTAACAGAAGTGAGAACGAGTGTAATCGATTTAGATAGGGCTGAGGCACGGGCCCACAGCCAGACCACACCCAGACCAGGTACGCAGCGCCACTGATAAAAAAGAGCTCTTGTGGCTTAAAAGCTGTTTCCGTCGATTCCAAAACACTGACAAGAATATTTAATCACAGTTATGGCATATTTAAGTATGTGCAGTTTGCATATATTCTAATCAGGCTGAAGTACTTGAGTGGGTTTATTTTTGGCACCAAATGTACCCCAACCGAGTCCGCATGAATTACTGTTCGGCATGAAATGACAATTAAAAGATAAATCAAATATTTTAAGCACTTGGACAATGCCTATCAGATGCTAATTTCTTTGCCTAAGCTAGTTATCGTATGCCTGATTATATGGCTGCCCATGCGATAACTGCTTGGGCTTGGCCTATAAAAGGCCACTGCTGGGCGAAAGGCCTTATCAGTCGAAAGACCCCACAAACAATATGAAAACTTTTTGGCTCTTGGCTTTCTGCGCACTGGCGGGTTAGTGTAATTATTAGTACTCCGAAGACTCTCAATTAACGACTTTCCATTCCCACAGCTTCGGCCTATGCTCTGGACGAGTCTGACCGCGTCAATGGAGAGAATGGCTGGTACGTGCCTAAGTTGGATGGCAGCTTCGAGTGGATCGATATGGACGTGGCAGAGGATTGGCTTGACCAGCAGGAGATGTTCGAAGCTCGTCTGAGCACAACACCCGTCAAATTCTACCTGTACACCAAATCCAACCCCACCAAGGGCACCAAGATCACGGCCACCAGCAAGTCCATCAGTGGATCCAACTTCAATAGCAACAACCCAACCAGGTTAGTATTATATGCACAGTTGAAAGACTCTGAATTGGGCTAACAACTTAATATTTCACAGAGTTGTCATCCACGGCTGGACCCAGAGCAGCTCATCGGGCATGAACAAGAACATTCGTGACGCCTGGCTGAGCAATGGCGATTTCAACGTTATTGTCGTGGACTGGGCTCGTGCACGTTCGGTCGAATATGCTTCCTCTGTTTTGGCTGTGCCCAAGGTGGGCAAGAAGGTCGCCAGCATGATCAACTACCTTGTCTCCGACCATGGCTTACGTCTGGACGATCTGTACATCATCGGCCACAGCCTGGGCGCCCATGTGGCGGGCTATGCTGGCAAGAACACCAACGGACAGGTGCACACCATCATCGGACTGGACCCTGCCCTGCCCCTGTTCAACTACAACAAGCCGAACAAACGTCTCAGCTCCACCGATGCCTGGTACGTGGAGTCCATTCAGACCAACGGCGGCAAGCTGGGCTTCCTCAAGCCCATTGGCAAGGGCGCCTTCTACCCCAACGGTGGCCAGAACCAGCCGGGCTGCACTCTGGATGTGACTGGTGCCTGCTCCCACGGACGCTCTGTGACCTACTATGCTGAGGCCGTCTCCCAAGACAACTTCGGCACCATCAAGTGCGGCGACTACGAGTCAGCCGTCAAGAAAGACTGCGGCAGCACCTACAGCGGCGTGCGCATGGGCGCTGATACCAACGCCTACATGGTCGAAGGTGACTTCTACGTGCCCGTGAACAGCAAGGCTCCATACGGCAATATCCAATGAATTACTGTGACGCAATAAAACAATTTTTTGTCGAAAACCATCAAAAGCCGTTTAGCTTTAGGAAGTATTATGCGCCTAATCAATAACTACAGTAGCTAATCTTGTTGGGTTTACAACGCTAGCCATATACCTGAATGACACGCCTTGAGTTTCTAATCCATTCCACTATATGGGTTTATGGCTAGCGATATAGCTATCATTCAAGTAAGTGCTTAGAATGAAATTTAGAAGCAACAATATCTGAATTTGTCGCTTCCCACGCAGTACATAAAACATCTGACATCAATGTATGCCTTCATTGATAAAGATTTATTATCAGTTAGAGAGCCTCAGAGAGAAGTGGGATTTTTAATCAAGACACTCAGCTTTATCTAACCAATTTTAATCGCCTTTCAAGAGCTATTGAACCGACACAGAATGAAGATTGGCTCCAGCAATTTGACTATAAATAAGCAGGAGCTGCCGATGATGAATTACTTGTTCTTCTGATCCCACTATGAAAACAGTTTGTCTAATTGGACTAGTAGCAGTACTAGGCGCAGGTAGTTTAATTATTAGTTCCATGCCTAATCACAGTGTCTAACCAGCTCTCTTGGCTTGCAGTGAGCGCCCTGCCCGTCGACGATCGCGTTAATGGCGAGAACGGCTGGTACGTGCCTCAGGCGGATGGCTCCTTTGAGTGGATCGACTTAGACGATGCTGAGGATCTGTTGGCGAAGGGCGAGGCGATGGAGGGTCGCATCAGCACAAATGCTGTTTCCTTCTATCTGTATACCCGTTCCAATCCTACCAAGGGTCAGGAAATTTCGACCAAGGGCTCGTCCGTTGCCGATTCGCATTTCAACAAGGATCATGGCACTCGCTTTGTTATTCACGGCTGGACCCAGAGCTACAAGGACTCCATGAACACTGAAATCACCAAGGCCTGGCTAGCGCGCGGTGAATACAATGTCATCGCTGTCGACTGGTCCCGTGCTCGCTCCATAGACTACGCTTCCTCTGTGGTGGCTGTTCCCGGTGCCGGTGCCAAGGTTGGAGACATGATCAAGTACCTGAACGAACACCACCAACTGTCCCTGGATAGCCTGTACGTAATTGGACACAGCTTGGGTGCCCAAGTTGCTGGCTACGCTGGCAAGACCGTGGGTGAAGGCAAAATCCACACCATCATCGGACTGGACCCTGCCCTGCCCCTGTTCAGCTACAACAAGCCCCACAAACGTCTCTCCTCTGACGATGCCTGGTATGTTGAGTCCATTCAGACCAACGGCGGCAAGCTGGGCTTCCTCAAGCCCATTGGCAAGGGCGCCTTCTACCCCAACGGCGGCCAGAAGCAGCCTGGCTGTGGACTGGATGCCACCGGCTCCTGCTCCCACGGACGCTCTGTGACCTACTATGCTGAGGCTGTCACCCAGGACAACTTCGGCACCATCAAGTGCGGCGACTACGAGGCAGCCGTCAAAAAGGACTGCGGCAGCACCTACAGCGGCGTTCGCCTCGGTGCCGATACCAATGCCTACATGGTCGAGGGCGACTTCTATGTGCCCGTCAACAGCAAGGCTCCCTACGGCAATATCCACTAAGTTTTTGTTTTCAATAAATATATAGCTCTCACGCGCTCATCAAACTTTTAAAGGCTTTGAATGACACGAGACTAGCAACTTTTTTGGAAAATAAATCAAATTATGTAATTATTATCTAGGGAGATCAGCATAAGAGACAGTTACTCTTGGTTGGACTTGCTATTATATCAAGCAAGAAAATCAGAGCTCTGAGCAACTACATTAGTTAAGAATAGGAGAATTGTATTCCATGCTTACTGATCATGCAGATATCATCGGTTGAGCACATTGCTAAAGTGGGGAAGGGAAAATGAGTGGATTTCCTATCATAAACACGCGAATTATATGATTAAATGTAGCAGGTGCTTAGCAGCTTATCAGATGCCAGAACTGATAAGTGTTTCGGACTATAAGAAGGCAAGAAATCCTAACCACATAGCAAAACTACTTGAGTGACCGGAATGAAAGTATTTCTCGTACTAGCAGCACTGTTGACCTTGGGTAAGTCACAATTTGATAGCTTTGAGCCCAATGGCTACGTAATACTTCTGTTCAGTCAGCGCCCTGCCCATTCAGGAGCGCATTCATGGCGAGACGGGCTGGTATGTACCACAAATTGATGGCACCTCCGAGTGGTTGGATCTGGACGAGGCCGAGCAGCTGTTGGCCAACGCCGAGCAAATGGAGGGACGCATGAGCTCCAATGCAGTGTCCTTCTACCTCTACACCAGATCAAACCCCCACGAGGGCAAGGAACTTAGCGCCAAGGAAGCAGCCCTTCGCGACTCACACTTCAACAAGGATCATGCCACACGCTTTGTCATTCACGGCTGGACTGGCCATCACTCGGACCCAATGATCTCCGAAATTACCAATGCCTGGCTATCCCGTGGCGACTACAACGTTATTATTGTTGACTGGGCAAGGGCTCGCTCCGCTGACTATGCCTCCTCGGTGGTGGCTGTACCCGGCGTCGGCACCCAAGTGGGCGAAATGATCAGCTACCTGCACGAGCATCACGGCATGTCCCTGGACCGCTTGACGGTCATTGGCCACAGCCTGGGCGCCCATGTAGCCGGATATGCTGGCAAAGCCATTGGCGAGGGTCGCATTCATACCATTATTGGCCTGGACCCTGCTCTGCCTTTGTTCAGCTATGACAAGCCGGACAAGCGTCTAAATTCCGAAGATGCCTTCTACGTGGAGTCCATTCAGACCAACGGCGGCAAGCTGGGCTTCCTTAAGCCTATTGGCAAGAGCGCCTTCTACCCCAACGGCGGCAAGGAGCAACCCGGCTGTGATGTAGACACCTGTTCCCACCGCCGCTCTGTGACCTACTATGCTGAGGCTGTGACCGAGAATAACTTTGGCGCTCTCAAATGCCCCGACTATGAGGCGGCAGTGGACAACATGTGCGCCAGCACCTACAGCGGCATTCGCATGGGCGCCGATTACAACGCTTACATGTCGGGGGGTAGTTTCTATGTGCCTGTTAACAGCGCAGCGCCCTATGGCAAAATTGAATAAGTTGTGCTATCTGTAGATCTGAATAAAGTATAAAAGCAAACAATTGTCGTTCGATAGTGTAGGCACTCCTTGCCCTATCTCCATCAAGATACAATGGGCCAAAAGAGCACTTGGGGTCCGTACGCCGGGAATCAATTGCACGAGCACACGTCAGAGATTAGTGGGAGCGTCACGAAAGAGAGGCGTAAGTGGAGATTGCTTTGTTTTTCTGTTCGCCTTTCTATAAATACAACGGCAATGGCAGAAGAGTTGTTTACGCTGCTCGAGCTGTCAGGTGAATTAATTGATTTGAAATTCATCATGATGACATTTCTGATTGCCAATATGTGGCAAAAACAATCTGCTCTGCGTGGAGACTAATGGGAAATGAAACATTACCGGACATGCACAGCAAAACGATAATTCCGAGAAGAGGTCAGCCCAGCATGGGACAACAATTAGCAGCTCTCATTGTCTTGTGCACGATGCACGATTAGCCAGTGAACAAACGCCCACACAGCGCACTAGATGAGCATAGACCCAGGCATAGGCATGCTGTATGCAGCCGGACAAGTGCACATAATTGTGGGCTTAGAGCAGATCAAACAGTTTGGTCAGCCTGCCTGCTGCTGGTCGAGGGAGCTTAGTTGGCCTCGTTACTAATGCCCATATGATTAAGGTCTCATGCCTATGGCTCCCTTTGGCATAATAGTTGAGCTGGCCAAATAAATCAATCTTGGCATTACACAGCTATCTGCAAAAATGTTTTCGCCACCTATCAGCGCAGGGGCGTAGTAGGTAAGTAGAGCTTCTTAGGAGGCTTCTGCAGCTATCGGGCATGTGCCAGCTAGCGCACTGTGTGTGAGACTAAGAGATGCCCTGTAATTGCCACAAATATTTGCCTTGGCATTCAGGGATATAAAATTTATTTTACTCTGGTAAATTCATATGAAATGCTTATGAACTCCAAAATTGAAAAATCGATATTTATCGATTCATATTAAATGTGTAACTCTTCTTTCTTCATTTTCTCTATTCTTCTTCTGTCTTCTTCTTTTCTCAGTACGCATCGAATTCACTGCTAAAGGCTAAAGGGTATACTCTTTGACAGCACTAAATATCATTGATCACACGACGTTGATGATTTTAAATATTTAATATTTAATATTATCAACAGCAAGAGTAGGGGTGGGGTAGGTATTGGCGAGATTGCCTATCTATTGGCCAAATCTCAAGTGGGTCTGCAGAGCTTAGGCGTGATTTGATAAGATGCGTCTATATAAAGCTTCAGCCTGGGGCAGGTCCGAACATCAGTTGAAAGTGTCTTTTGCTGAACGTTATGAAACTGTTTTTGCTTTTCGCAGTCTGCGTCTTTGCGGGTAAAGTTCTAAATATGCTTTCTGCTTTCGTTAACCAGTCCTAATTCACTTCAACTATTTTATTCAGCAGCCAGCGCCGTGGAGCACAAGATTAATGGTGAGAACGGCTGGTATGTGCCCCAGGCCGATGGTAGCTTCGAGTGGGTCGATATGGATATGGCCGATGCCTATCTGGAAGCCCATGCTGCAAGGGAGCGCAGCCTGCTGAATCCCGTTACCTTCTACCTGTACACCAAGTCGAACCAGAACTCGGCACAGGAAATCAAGGCTAACAAGGCTAGCATCTCCGGCTCCAACTTCAACCCCAACAATCCCACTCGCCTAACCATCCACGGCTGGACCTCCAGCGCCGATGACTACGTCAACTATGGCGTGCGCAATGCATGGTTCACGCACGGCGACATGAACATGATTACCGTCGACTGGGGTCGTGCCCGCTCTGTTGACTATGCTTCCTCCGTCTTGGCTGTGCCCGGCGTCGGTGAGCAGGTTGCCGACCTGATCAACTTCTTGCGCACGAACTTCGGTCTGTCCCTGGACAACACCATGATCATTGGCCACAGCCTGGGCGCCCATGTGTCCGGCTTCGCTGGCAAGAACATCAAGAACGGTCAGGTGCACACCATCATTGGTCTGGACCCTGCCCTGCCCCTTTACAGCTACGACTCGCCCAACAAGCGTCTCAGCTCTACCGATGCTTACTATGTGGAGTCCATTCAGACCAACGGCGGTACCTTGGGCTTCCTCAAGCCCATTGGCAAGGGCGCTTTCTATCCCAACGGCGGCAAGTCGCAGCCTGGCTGCGGTGTTGATTTGACCGGCTCCTGCGCGCACAGCCGCTCCGTGATCTACTATGCCGAGTCCGTCAGCCAGGACAACTTCCCCACCATGCGCTGCGGCGACTACGAGCAGGCCGTCGCCAAGAGCTGCGGCAGCACCTACAGCAGCGTGAAAATGGGCGCCGTCACCAATGCCTACATGGTTGCCGGCGACTACTACGTGCCCGTCAACAGCCAGTATCCCTACGGCTATGGCAACTAGACTGACTTATGACTGTTTAACAATAAAATTGTCTTGCGAGAAGTACAGTTTGAGCTGAATTGAAAGGCTGGGGTAAGGGGTCAGAGGAATAGCATAAATTACTTCTCTCAATTTACTGTGTGCAACTTAAGAGAGAGAAAAAAGTTCTTGCGTAATATTGATGTAAGGTATAACAATTGTCGGCGCTCTTCTTTAAAAATTTTAGATGTTAATTTAACCAACTACTTCTAGCACTATAGGGTATTCTCTAGTCGAGCATAACTTCGCTACTGTACTAATTTTGCTAGTCATCATGGAAGCTTTCACTGAGTTATTTGCCGGAACTCAGGCAATATGATTTACACTCATAGCGCCATGGCTACACAGTAAGAAATCGGGGTAAAGTGCTTTGGTAAAAGTGTGTGTAACAGGCAGTTGAAGGCGTGGCAGACTACATAAAGTATATATACTCTTGATCAGCACAACAAGCTGAGTCGATCTAAGCAAGTCCGTTCGTCCGTCTGAGTGTTCGTCCGTCCGTCTGAGCGTTCGTCCGTTCGTCCGTCTGAGTGTTCGTCCGTCCGTCTGAGCGTTCGACCGTCTGAGTGTTCGTCCGTCCGTCTGAACGTTCGTCCGTTCGTCCGTTCGTCCGTCCGTTTGAACGTTCGTCCGTTCGTCCGTTCGTCCGTCCGTCTGAACGTTCGTCCGTTCGTCCGTCTGAGTGTTCGTCCGTCCGTTTGAGCGTTCGTCCGTTTGAGCGTTCGTCCGTTCGTCCGTCTGAGTGTTCGTCCGTCCGTCTGAACGTTCGTCCGTTCGTCCGTCTGAGTGTTCGTCCGTCCGTCTGAGCGTTCGTCCGTTCGTCCGTCTGAACGTTCGTCCGTTCTTCCGTCTGAGTGTTCGTCCGTCCGTCTGAGCGTTCGACTGTCTGAGTGTTCGTCCGTCCGTCTGAACGTTCGTCCGTTCGTCCGTTCGTCCGTCCGTTTGAGCGTTCGTCCGTTCGTCCGTCTGAGTGTTCGTCCGTTCGTCCGTCCGTCTGAACGTTCGTCCGTTCGTCCGTCTGAGTGTTCGTCCGTCCGTTTGAGCGTTCGTCCGTTCGTCCGTTCGTCCGTCTGAGTGTTCGTCCGTCCGTCTGAATGTTCGTCCGTTCGTCCGTCTGAGTGTTCCTCCGTCCGTCTGAACGTTCGTCCGTCTGAGTGTTCGTCCGTCCGTCTGAACGTTCGTCCGTCTGAGTGTTCGTCCGTCCGTCTGAACGTTCGTCCGTCTGAATGTTCGTCCGTCCGTCTGAGCGTTCGTCCGTCTGAGCGTTCGTCCATCCTTATGTAGCTAGCTAAAGCAACTATCTCTTAAGCCGCAAGAGAAAGAGACTTCATATTTGAAACGCATCGTCTCTAACCCCGCACTTTAACTTTTTTTAAGCATTTCATATTTTCAACAATTTTTATATATATATTTTTTTTTGATTTCCATACACAATTTTGCACAGTGTATTAGCTCTGAGGAATTTGCTGAATGATTTTTACAACTAATCTAATCGGTTTCCCAATATCTTGCTATTCGACGAATATTTGGATTTAATTTACACTAGCTGATCAGATTGGCAAAGAACTATATAAAGGCGTCAGCTGCGTCAATTGCCTCAATAGACCCCAGTCATGGTATTCATCGTGTTCCTCACATTTTGCTTGCTGGCAGGTGAGTACTTTGCACCTTTGCACCTTTGCGTTTGGAATACGAATTAAAGTTTTCCCTTGCAGTCAGCGCGCTGCCCATTGAGGAGCATGCGAGTCGCATTCACGGCGAGAACGGCTGGTTTGTGCCACAGGTGGGCGATGACTTCAAGTGGCTGACCTTGGGGGAGGCTCAAGGTCAATTGGCCGCCTATGAATCACTCAATAATATGGAGATCGCTGAGCATTTTTCCATTAACGCGGTTAGCTTCTACTTGTACACGCGACGCAATCCGAAGGAGGGACAGCTCATTACGGCCACAGCGGAATCCATTGATGCTTCCAACTTTGATGCCACTAATCCCACTAGGTAGACTTCTGTCCATAACATAGTTGCCTTTCATATTACCATTTTATTACTAGATTCACCATACACGGCTGGAACTCCAACTACAAGGATGGTCTCAACACCGGCGTGCGCGATGCCTGGTTCCTGTCCGGCGACTATAACATGATTGCTGTGGATTGGGCACGTGGACGTTCACTGGAATATGCTTCTTCCGTGGCAGCGGCGTCGGGAGCGGGCCAGAAAATTGCCCGCATGGTGGACTTTTTGGTCAGAGACTATGCGATGTCCCTGGAGACACTCGAAGTGGTGGGCTTCAGTCTAGGTGCACATGTTGCCGGCTATGCCGCCAAGCAGGTGTCGACTGGCAACGTATATAAGGTGGTGGGTCTCGACCCCGCCTCCGCGCTGATCAGCTATGACAAGCCAGAAAAACGCTTGTCCAGCAATGATGCCTATTACGTGGAGACGATTCAAACCAATGGCGGCACTTTGGGCTTCAACAAGCCCATTGGACGCGCCACTTTCTATCCGAATGGTGGCAAATCACAGCCAGGCTGTGCTTTGGACTTAACCGGCAGCTGCTCCCACAAACGCTCCGTGACCTACTATGTGGAGTCGCTGCGCATGAATAACTTCCCGACCATCAAGTGTGCTTCGTATCAGCAGGCACACAAGAAGGATTGCGGCAGCACCTACAGCTCCGTGAAGATGGGCGCCAACGAAAATATACATGTGGCCGTGGGCGACTTCTATGTGCCCATTAACAAGCAGTCGCCATATGGCTTGGGCGAACCCATTGAAGAAGGTGGAGAGACAACAACACTGCAGCCCACAACAATTGTTGAGGAAAATAAAACATCGACTTCTCCCAGCGAGGAGGAGACTGAAACATCAACTTCTTCCAGCGAGGAGGAGACTGAAACATCACCTACGCCCAGCGAAGAGGTAAACGACAGCTCCAGCACCGCCACGCCGCCAGGAATTGTAACGACCCCCGCGCCCGAGGACGACAAAGACAAAGGTTGTAAGACGAACATTTATATCCTGAATTTAATATTCGTCAATGCGCAAATTAACAAGAGTCAGGACTAAGCCCACAAATGGGCTGTAGCAAAGACTTCCAAGTTGATCAATAAAGCGAACATGAAATCGAACCAAGCTTAATTGCAGCTGATGTTCTTTGATGTGCGCGCGTGCCACGCCCTGAGCCAAATCTTGTTTAGCATTGAGAGTGGGCCAAAAAGGGTCCGTTGTGCTTTGAAGCCATAGGACACAATATATTTTTATATTGTGTCTGCTTATCATTACAAGGTATTTTCTGAGTCATTGAAACTCTCCCTCTCCCACTCCTCTCTTACCTGCTATCGAAAATTTGTGTCCGGCTTTAATTACAATCGAAATACTTTGATGTCTCCTATTGCAAGCTCAGAGCTGGCAATTGGGCTGATTGTGCACTGCGGGAGTACTCTTAATTAAGAGTAGACTTAATCTGTAGCCCAGGGACTGCATGTTACTAGTCACGTATTGCTTGTTCTCTGCTCTCGTTCCACTCGAATGCGAGCCTCGAATCTTATTATTCCTAATTAGAGCACAGACGCATCCATTCGCTGCTAGCTAATGCGCCCAAAATAAAGGCATTGCTTCCAGACGAAAGTTAGGTTTATATGCTAACAGCTCATTAAAGCCAGTCAATTAGGAACAAATGTTATAATTCTTTTATTCCATTAACCAAAACCGGCGCAGCTGTTCCAAATGCACAGCCAGCGAAAACTTTGCCCCTAGCTCAATGGAGCATATGATACCACAAGTTTCTGTTAACAATGCCCAGGGACGCGCTTAGGACTGCTGTGTGTGCGTGTATGAATAATCTGCTTAGGCAATATATTATTTATTTAATAGAATTTATAGTTTAAGGCTACAGAATAGTTTCATCTAAGCTATGCAGACCCCATACTCGTCCACCAGGCAGTCTTTAATGCCCGCATCGAAGTAGCTGCCACTGACACAATTCTGTGGCACGAAGTCTCCATCGACGCACTCCAGATAGGAGGCACAGTCGTCAGGGTCAGTCTCCCGTTCCCCTTCCTCACAACGATCCGACAGCGGAGTGCATACACCATCGTCATCCACGACGCAGCTGAGCATCGTTCTGTGATAGTAGCTGCCATGAGAGCAGAGCCGTTTAACCAGTTTCCCATCGATACACTGCAAGTAGCCAGCACAGTCGTCCGGATCGATTCTTAGCTCATTATTTTCACATTGCCCAGCTCCAGCGCAGACTCCATTCTCATCGAGCACACAGGTTTCTAAAGTCGAATTGTAATACCTACCACCAGCGCAAATGAATTCCTCAAAGTTCCCATTGGCACACCTTAGGTATCCACATTTATTTTCGGGGTTCGCTTCAACCTCATTCTCAAAGCATTTATCCCGCATACGAATACAAAATCCACTCGCATCAATCTCGCAGATCTTTAGGTCAGTATTGAAAAAGCTGCCCTTGGCACACTTCTCTTCGACGAACCTTTCATTAACGCATTTCAGATACCCAGCACAATCCTCAGGATCCTCTTCTAAAGAACCTTCCGTACACTTGTCGTCCTTAGGAATACAAATCCCGTTATCATCGATCTCGCATATCTTTAGGTCAGCATTGAAGAAGCTGCCTTTAGCACACCTTTCTTCAATAAGGTTTCCTTTAACACATTTCAGGTAACCAGCACAATCCTCTGGATCTTCTTCTAAAGAACCTTCCTCACACTTCTCGTCCGAAGGAACGCAAATCCCATTCTCATCAATCTCGCAGATCTTTATGTCGATATTGAAGAAACTACCCTTCGCACACTTCTCTTCAATAAAGTTTCCTTTAACGCATTTAAGATAACCAGCACAATCTTTAGGATCCTCTTCTAAAGAACCGTCCGTACACTTCACGTCCTTCGGATTACAAATCCCGTCCTCATCGATCTCGCAGATCTTCAAGTCAGCATTGAAGAGGCTGCCTTTGGCACACTTCTCTTCGATCAGACGGCCATTCACACATCTGAGATACCCAGAGCAATCGTCAGGATCCTCTTCTAAAGAACCTTCCGTGCATTTCGCTTTTTTAGATATACAAATTCCGTCCTCATCGATCTCGCAGATCTTCAAGTCCGTATTGAAGAAGCTACCTTTGGCACACTGCTCTTCGACGAACCTTTCATTAACGCATTTCAGATACCCAGCACAATTCTCAGGATCCTCTTTTATGGAACCTTCCACACACTTCTCGTCTTTAGGAACACAAATCCCGTTCTCATCGATCTCGCATATCTTTAGATCAGCATTGAAGAAGCTGCCTTTGGCACACTTTTCTTCAATAAGGTTTCCTTTAACACATTTCAGGTAACCAGCACAATCCTCAGGATCCTCTTTTAAGGAACCTTCCTCACACTTCTCGTCCGTAGGAACACAAATCCAGTTCTCATCAATCTCGCAGATCTTCAAGTCAGCATTGAAGAAACTTCCCTTCGCACACTTCTGTTCAGTAATGTTTCCATCCACACATCTGAAATACCCAGCGCAGTCCTTGGGATCCTCCTCTAGTTCACCCTCCACACATTTTCCAAAAGGAACTGAACATATTCCGTATTCGTCGATCTCACAGATCTTTTGAGTGGGATTAAAGTAGCTGCCCAGTTGACACTTTACCTCCTTAAATCGGCCATTAACGCATAGGGCGTAGCCGCAACTATTTCCAGGAATCACATCAATCTGACTTTCCGTACATTGTGTAGCTGCTGCCCCACAAATGCCAGTCAAATCGATGACACACACCTCCCACGCTGGATCAAAATAGCTTTCCGTGGGGCAGCTTTGTGTTAGAATCCTCCCGTTGAGGCATTGAAAATACCTAGAGCAGTCTTGGGGATAGGACACAACAGTCCCCTCAACGCACGCCTTGGACTCACTAAGATCGAGGCTCGCGGCGAATAATGGATACACAAAATAGAGTATGAGCCCTGTAGTGAGTGCTATTCCACGATGAATATTGTTAGACATTTTGCAACAAAAGCCAACGGTAATTTAGCCTCACCAAAGTAATTTATTCCAACTGGCGCTGTCAACATTTTCAAGAACTGAGCTGCGACTCAGCTTGGCAGCTGTTTTTATATTCTCAAAAGCTATTAAAATAATGAATTTCCTTCTTATCTAGCACTGTTTTGTGTGCTGATAGCAAAATGCTTAAATACAATATTTGTACCACTCTTGATGTAACATGTGTCCAGTCATTCCAAAAGTAAACAGACCCATTCAAACTTGTGCAGCAACCCGGAAATGCTAGAACAAAAATTCGCAATAAATCATGAGCTTAAATAGCTCGAGCTGCTATCAGAAAACTTTTGACGAATTAAATACTATTTACAGAAAACAGAAAACACTTCAGGCTTAAAGTCAAAATATATCTATGTACTCAGAGAACGCTTCCAGGTGACAAACAGGTGGCTCTAGCTGTGAAATATTTGCAACAGATTTCATGGCACAGAGGCGAAAGGTAAAAGGTCTCTTCACATTTATTATGAACGTCTCGGACTTGCATGATGACTGTGTTCTTTTTGCTGAAAAATTCATTTGAGTGGCAATTCAAATTGTGTGGAATGCCAGAAATTCGTGTCGAGTGATTTGCATATTTCGTTAAGTTTTATTTTATTTTTATTTTCACTTAAGCTGCGTTGAGGTCCTTCGCTTGAAATGCCTCACATTCATATTGTTTCACATCGCTTTGGGGCGGGCCATCAATAATGCAGGGCACAATATTAACATGCCTAACGGCACCACTGAGCCACCAAAAAAAAACGGAAGAACATAAAGACGAAGCAGAGAACACACAATATGCGAAAAGGTCAGACAGCTTAACGGCCAGAAAGGAGTTCCGTGCATTGCCACTGCAGGCCCAGTTCAACGTTCATTATTCAACATTGCCAGAAGTCACACGTGTGGCAAACGGTTCTGTGTGCCCAGGGCCTCTTTAAAGCCTTTGAGGTCACACAAACACGCATAATTGTGTGTGAAAATCATTTATCATAATCGTTGCATAACTAAAAGGCCTCCGTGTCACTTGCTGTGACAAACTACAAGATATTTGAGCGATAAAATCAGGCGAAAGGCTTCACTAAATGTCTAACTAGATATAAATAAATATAAATATATATATATGTATATATTTGTTAGTATCAAAAGTTCAGCATCAAAAAGTCAACATAAATTCTAAGTCTAAAACCATATAATTTATTTATATTTTAAGTAATTCTAATAAATCGCATTTCAAATCAAAATATGACTCATAATGAATGGCAAAGCAATTTAAAAAAAATTTGCTTTGTTTACAAGCAGACTCTGCCCTGCACAGAGTATTCCCCACACGACCAGAGTCGGTTATATATAGCATATATTAGAGAGTCGCCCACGTATAGACAACTAAATACTGGTAATAAATATTAATGCTGTTTGTGCTGATTTCAAGAAAAGATGAAGGTGAAGCTGAAGAAGAAAGGAAATTGTTTGACCATTTTGAGAGTTTTGAGAGTTCTGCGACGTTTGCCTCGAGGGGCGGCTAATGAGGGTCGCCAGTGCCGCAAGTAACCGAAATGTGTCAACTGTCCATTGTTCTGTGGTCCCTGGTGATTGAGCCTGGAGACGTGTTCGAGGTCCATGTGAAAGGACATTTGCAGCACATCAAACTGGCAGCCGTTAGAGCGAAGCTGGCCATAAGCACAGGTTGCACTGCAGCAACAAAGTATCTAGATTTGTTTGTGTTAGAACGCTTGGACAATCTTTTAGGGTCGTTGAGCTTGTTCAATAGGCAAGCGTGAGCACCCAATAAAACGAAAAGCGAGCGCAGACCGTGTGTGTGGGTTCAGCTTGGTTGAAGCTCAATGGAAACTAAGCGCAATAATAAAAGCCCAACTACTGAAAAGGTCCTGCCAGGCATAAAGCTGCTACATTACCAATTTTATTTGAATTAATTTATGATTATGTTTTATTATATTGTAGAGTCATCGCAAATCCAGTTTGGCCAGTCAAGTGTGCAGATCAGCCGGCATGTGTTGCATGCCTCACTGCACTTAAGCTCGGGCTATGTAAATATTTATGATGCATTGGCAAAAACGCTGAAATGTCTGAGAACAAATATAAATTTGATTTATAGCCAAGCGGCCTTTAAGTGAAAGCTGCCATAAAATACGCGCACAGCAAGCGATATGTGTAAGTGAATATAGACAAAAGCTGTCCTTCTTCTAGGTATATTTCTCAGGCTAGACAGTTGCGAGGCTTACTAAGAGTTATCTGTTTTGAAGTAGTTTTTCATGACATTTGTCTGGCTGCGCGTAGAAAAAACTCGACGAATGCAAGCTTCGATAGCCTTGAATACATCGGTACAAAAGTTACACAAATAATTGGATTGGATTATGTTGGCCGCTGGTCGTGCATGATAAACATATGAAACACAATATAAAAAGAAATTTCGCATACAAAGATGTTTCCATAAGACGGCAAAAACACGATTAGCTTGAGGCAAGCAGCTGCGACACAGATCATGGCATATTCCACATACGCCATGTTGGCCCCATTTACCTGCCAAAGATGTTTTGTACTTCGCTCTGCTTCACTCTGCTCTACTCTCTTCCTCCTTTGCACATCATTTTTGCATCTAATCACATTCATTTCGGTATATTGCCCTCCAGTATGACCACGAAAAATGTTGAGTATACAAAGTAGTCGAAAGAGATGGAGATAGGAATCGCAAAAGGCAGAGACAAAACTTTTGGCCAAACAAAGCCGCAATAAGGAGCAAAGTAAAGAGTAAACTTTGTCAAGGAATTTTTAATATGGCTGCTCGAAACTTGTCTCATTTCAAGGTTCAGGTTTCCTTCTTTTTATCCTTGCTGCAGCTGAATATATCAAAAGCCAGCTGCTTGCATCTGGCCAGATTGTTATCATGGATTAGTTTTTCTTAAAGCTTCATAAAATATGCAAAGCAAAGCAACTAACTACAAAGGAGGTGACTCTCGGCTAGATGCTTGAGCACTTTCTTTTTCTATGGCAACAAATTGAATTTTATAAACATTCAAGACGCTTTATTATCACAACTTGCCAACTGTATGCTCAAGTTCTTTGTGTGTGTGTTTGTGTGTAAACAAATTCAATTTGTTGCTGTCGCTCTTCTAGCTCAGTTCCGAAAGGTGTTGTAGTTGAGTGCTTTCAAAAAAACACAGCAAAATAGCAAAATAGCTAAATAACTAAAATCAAGCAAAGCAAAAATACCCAAAGACAATAGCAAAGGCATGTGTAGAGTAAACAAATTTTTTGTCAAGTCAAAAGTCAAAGTGAATTCTGCCTGCAATGCTAATGAAATGCGCCTGCAAATGAGTTTTTCACATAGAGAACACATATTTAATTGAAATGTAGAAGACTGCACTAGATTATATTTTTCTTCTTCTAGGCATTGCGTCATATATAGTAAATATTTTTATTTAAGTGCATTAAAATTGAGGTTAATTCGAGTTATATATATTCACATTTGGGTTGCCACTCTCATATATTATTCAAGATTGAACATAGAAACAAGATCCTGAAGCATCGCTAAGAACCAACACAATATAAGGCTAGAAGTGTTTATGTATATGAGTGCCCAGGCAGCACCTGTTAGGTATCCAGAAACTGGACACAATTCTCATGTGAGCTATTTCAGACTAGATTTTGGTAACCGTAAGAAATATATAATTGTATACTTATATATATAATTGTATATACTTATATACATATATTATATATATACTGAAGCCACATATAAATATTTCACGCTTCTTACGGGAAGCCCTTAAAATTATATGTTAAACTGTGTCTTCTTTAGCAAACTAGTTACTATTTATAATTTTAAAAGATTGACTAAATATTTAAACATTTAATCAATAAAAACTATATCTAAAATAGATAAAATAATATATATATATATAGATAAATCTATATAGATAAAATAATATATATTTAAAGAAATATATATAGTAATATATGCACAAAGTCCTACTCTGCTCTTAAACAACGACAAATTTGATTTACAGTGAAGAAGAAAAAGTATTGTAATTTGTTATAAGAAAAATAATTGTACTTTGTTTAAATAAAGAATATATCTTTTTGCAACTATAACTTAAAACATATAATTATATATGTGTATTTAGAAATATGCCTAATAAACAGAAAATAAACATTTGCCTTATTGCTGAGCTCGAGTTATATATATAAATATATTTTATGGTATATCTAGCAAAACATTAACTTTTATAAAACAAGAGAAATGTATTTTTGCTTTCAAATATTTGGCGCTAAGCTGAAATAAAATTCTGCACCTAATTATATGTTAATTGCTGCGTGAACTGATTTCAATTGATTTATAAACAGATTATTAAGTCGAATAGCAGAAACGTGAATTTTGTGCCAACAAAAGCAAAAACATTAAAATAGTCAAATAATTAAAGCAGCCTCTGTATCGCTCTCCCACTCTCTCTGTCTGTCTCTTGCTCCTCTATTTGCATTGTAAATGTAAACAATATTTATAATTAGGCCTGAATGGCAATCAAAACATTAATTAAAATGTAACTACTTTGAATGGAAATCAATTTGAATTGCTGTTTTATATCACCTGCTGGACAATGCAGGTGCCAAATGAAATTTAGCTTTCACCCATTTGAGCGATTTGTCACGATCGCAATGGATAAACCACCAAAAGCGGAAACTCAGCCGCAATTCGATTTGATTATTAATAATATTTTTTGCGCCATTTCAAATGTTTATTTATAATGATGATGCCCAAAAAGCGCCAAACGTGATGCCACCGGAAGCGTTTCAGCATTGATGGACTCTTTTATTGATTGAAATATTGATTAAAGTAACGACTGAGTTTTTCTACTCCCTCTCGCTATCTCTTCCTCTCTTCTTCTTTATTTTTTATTTACTTATGAATATTTACAAGCATAAAATAATATATAGTCAGCCATTGTAAATTTAAGCGCTGCAACAGCAACTGAACTCACACGCATTTATTACAGCAAATGAAGTACACTTGGAGAAAGTGGCAAATTTAAATTTATATAACATAAAATTGCTTAAAAATTCCATTTTCCTTAAATAAATTAACATAAATATTTGAATCATATTTCGTGGAAGTTTTGAATTCGTAGAGCTGACTCTATATCTAGAAGAGTTGCCTAGAACTTGCCTTATAGCTTGCTATCTAAGAATTTCTTCACTTTTGACTAAATTCGCCCACTGTATGCCACCTCCTGAAACCAGAAGCGCCTAGCCGTAAAAGCTGAGGCCAACTGATGTTCGCCCTCATGACATGCTTTGACATTAAACACGCCGCCATAAACCGAGCCAAGTGTTTATTTGGGCCAAGTCAAACAAAGGAACTGCTTAAAGCCAAAAGGCATTGCCCAAAAAGACAAAGAAAGGAAGCAACACGCTGCAGGCTCTTAAGCCAAGCGGATTCAACTGTTAATTGCTGATAAAATATGCGCTCACCTGCAGCAGTAGCAGCAAAGCAAACATATGTGTCTGGCTCTGGCCAACATAATGGGCGCTAAATAATTCCTAGGCGGCGGCACACTTTCATGTGTCGCCAGCGCCCCCTGCGCTCATAATTTATAATTAACTAACTGCTCGCATAGCTGGCAGCCGGCAGCTGGCAGCAGGCAGCTGTCTGCGCACAAAATTGGCCAAAGGCAGGGCTCAAAAAAAGCTTTTCCTTTTTTTCTGCATGTGGCACAATGCGGCGTATGCGTAATAAATCAGATGTTATTTTTGCTATGGCACTTCCGTTGCTCCACCCACACACAGAGGTAGAGTCAAATGCAACAATAACTGTAAATTGAGCAGAGCTGATTTATCAGCTAGCAATCGAGGCAAATATCCGGTTGACCAATAAGCCAACTCCCCCCCACCTTCAGGGACTCTTCTATGCAATCAATAAAGAAATACAACTAAATAAAAGCATAATAAATGTCTTTTGCATCATCGGCAGATAGCAACTGGCAAAGAATTGAATTCAAATGGAATAAATTGTGATAATAATTAATGACTGAGAGAATTAATAAAAAGAAAATAAATAATTGGATACGAATTTGCAGCATTTCACACAAATTTAGAATCAAAAAAAAAAAACAAATTTTGACAACTAACTTTAGCTATTAACTGCTGCAGTGACAAGGGTTGGCCACAAGAATGTCAATTATAGTTGCTCCCTCGGGGCGGGGGCCTATGATTCGGTACATTGGAAGAGGAACACGGCACGTGTTAACGTCTGACAGCAAACAAGCTGACAGCTGCCAACTGAAGCCGCACGTGAGGTAACACAAAAGTTTCACTTGAAAATATATTTCAAATACTTTGGCATTGTTACAGTACTGTACAGTGAAGCCTTTGCCTGGCTGGCTGGCTGCCGAGTACTCAGTGTTAAGTCCTCTGGCAAGTACTCAATGCAAAGTCTACTGTGGATAGCAAACAGTTTGCAAAAGTTATTCAAACAATGCAAACGCAAACAATGGTCAAATGCCATCTGAAAGGAACTAACCAAGTGCAAGGCAGGTCTAAACGGAGGCTCATTAAATTGTCTTTCAACAAGTGCAGTAGCATGCAGCATAGAAAAACACAAGAAAGAAACAAATAAAAGTCAGAACAGCAGTGTAGCCGACTATGCAATACCCTGCAATGGTGAAAAGATGGCAGAAAATTTAAGTTTTAAATTTTTCTTGAGAAAAACTAAATTTTAATCAAATTAATTCTAAAAAAAAAATTAAATAATGTTTTAGACATGTAACAAATATTAAAATAAATAAATATTATTAATTATATTTTAAACAAAACAAAATTATTTTATCAAAGTTAAATGTGTGATTTAATGAAATATTAAAACTATTGACCAAGTTTTAAAATTCTTAAAATTATCCGTTTTGACTTTTTTTTTTTTGAAGACATTTTTTATTTATATTTTTTATAATTTTTTTACCGCCTATCTAGTCTTAAACTTACTTTTACTTAAAATAAGCTCAACATTGACTCAAAGCCAATATACTCTTTGGCGCTATGTGAGCAGCGTATGAAAAGCTACATTGAGTTTAGCACAAGGAGCAACAGCTAGCAGAGAAGCTTGCATGTGACAGGGCAGCAAGTTAGGAATTTATATATACAGCTGTGTTCATGAAAATAGTAGTGCGACTGAGCTCTAAATATTGGAGAACAAAATGTTTATATATATTTGGTTGGGATATACTTACAAAAAGTTTAGCGACTCGGTCTGGCGACTCGTGGTGTCGAGCTCCCAGGTGATGAAATTAGCATTTAACGGGATAATAGCAATGGCAAATACAAACAGTTAACAGACCCGACGACATTCACTAATGTGCACAATTTTTTTCACATTTGCATTTGCAGCACTTCTTCAAGCACACACGCACGCAGGCTAAACAAATTGTTGGTATAGCACGCATACGACGACTCATTGGCCGTCTCGCAGCTTTATTAATTGCAGAAAGCGTCTTGATAAGCAGTTAATTAATTGCTGCGTTTATAGTGCGCATTGTTCGCGTGCTGGGCACATTCAAATTGGCATTTCAAATAAACAAATCGTTTCAGTTGCGTAAATGATGTGCCCAAATAATATCAATTGATGCGATTCGCGTTATAAAGCGCGCGCAAGAAACGGTAAACGGACGGCGGCCGTCGCTGTCGGTCAGTTGAAACTGAAAGCGCGAAATGGCGAAATGACGCCAAAGCCTCAAGCAACAAATTGCTCAGAACCAAAAGCAACAGCCGCTGCCGCCATTACGTTGCGTCGTGCACGAACACTAAAACCGAACTGAATTGCGGGATTCCGTGACTGGTGTCAGTGGACGACTGAATGGAGATCAGCCGGCAAGCAAAAGTTCTATTCGACACGAAGCTCATGCACGAACGGACGGCAGAACTTCGGCTGCATTTGTTGCATACTCTGCGCAATAGCTAGGACTTTGGCGCCAAAAGCATGCCAGCTTCGCAACATGTTGCCAAGCACATGCTGCTGGCGCACTTAGAATGTTGCCAGGCATTGCCTGAGAGGCTTGTTGAACAAGCTGACTACATTCTTTTTATTTTGAGTACATTTTAAAATAAAATAAACAGTAAATGCATAAAAAACGGTTGTGCATTTTAATCAACTGTTTATTAATTTAATCTATTTGTTGAGTTCGATGTAGAAACAGTGGCAATTGAGGTTTGCTGGGAACATGCTGCTGGCAACAAGTGTGAGCTTAAAATGTTGCAGCTTATTTTTGTTTTTGTTGCCCTTAGGCATCTGTATGTAAGAATATTAAGAAGTCTCTCTTTTAATTAGCATATTAATTTGTTAATATATATGTGTATATAAATTGCATTTTATGTCGTTTTTATCACACGCACAATCTTTCAATTTCGAAATATAAATTCCTACGCGGAAAATCGTTCAAGACTTAACAAAACGTAACCAATTAAAAAGAGAAAAAATGAGCTGTTAACGACGCGACGTCAAGGCCTCAAGGTCAAGCTTTAAAGAGCCAAGACAGGGCCAATTGTCGTTGACTTTCAATAACGTGTTAACAAAAGCCTTAAACAAACTCGATTTTTATGCAATTGCAAAAAGCAAAAAATAATCATAAATTAATAAAACATATTTAACTTTAGTAAATTCGAATTTTATTGTCTACAAACAGTTTAACAAACAATTTAACAATTTTTTTATGGAAAGGCAACAAGCGAGTGCAGCTCTGTAAATGTGTGAGTCTCTATGTGTGAGTGTGTGTGTGAGCTTGTGGGCGTGTCACGCCATTTAGACTAAGTAGAAGATGCGCTGCAGCATTTACTTGATCTTCTTCAGGAAGTAGCGGCTGGGCGGGCCGTAGTTGGCAGCGGGCAGATGGCCGGATGTGGGTGCAGCTGCATCGAGAGGTTGACGCTGCTCGGTGTCCTCGACAATGATGGGCGCCATGGAGGGCTCCTCGTTGCCGGCTGCCGTGGCTGGGGGCAAATACTGATGGGCAGGTGCGGCCAGCGTCGTCTGCACTTCCTCGCCCGTGTAGGCGGGTGCTGTGGGCGGGCCATAAATGGATGAGGGCAGGGCAGCGGGCTGCTCGGGCTGCTCCAGCTCGGGTGCGCTGGTCGTGGGCAGAACATCGGACACATCGGCAATGGGTGCAAAGTCATCGGCGGTGGCCTGACGTGGTTCCATCTCAGCTGGAGGCGGTCCATAGACGGGCACCTCATCCTTCTTGGTCTTGTACTTGATGAAGTAGACCTCGGGCTTGGACGGCTTGGTGGGTGGCGGTGAGGGAATGACAATATCCTGCTCCTGATCGGGCTTCTTGTGCAGCACATAGATCAGCGTCTTCTCTTCGTTCTGTGGTGGTGGTGGCACGATTGGCGGGCGCAGCGCCGGAGCCGATGGCGCCTTGATGAACACAATCTTGTAATGCTTCTGCTTGGGTCCCAGCTCATGGTGCACGCGTGGCTGCACGGCGTCCTCCTGCTCGAAATCCTTGGGCGGCACATGCACATAGATGTGCTTGTGCACGCGCGTCTCCTGTGGCGCATTGTTATAGCCGCTGGCATGTTGCACTCCCGACAAACGATGCGCCATGTTGTATGAGTCATCGTATGAGTTGAGTGACTCTGCGGCAGGCGCCAGCTGCTCCTCCAGCTGCTGATTGGGTGCCAGGTAGTTCATTTGAGGCTGAGCCGACGTCGGGGCAAAGTTGGCAAACGATTGCTCCTGGGGCAGACCTTGGTAGATGTGTGACGGCGCATTATGCACTGAGATATAGAAAAGAAAGGGAGTTGGAGTTGGAGATAGAGTCGAGCTCCAGTGCAGCATTAAGACACTCACCATTCAAAGGCAGCGCACGCTGGCTCTGCTGCTGTGGTAATCCATAGTAGGGCGATGGCGGCTCAGGACGTGCCTGGACGGCGCCCAGCAGGGCGACACAGCCAATGAGGAGCGAGAAGGCGCGCATGGCAAACACTTTGAGTCTTTGGGTCTCTTTCACACTAAGCTTAGTACACGTAATCCTTGAATTGCTGAACTGTTGATCGACTGGACAGTTGCTGATGCTTGCTTTAGTTTCGACTGCGGCTAGTGGTTCGATTGGAAAGCGCAAATCTCAACTGATGCCCCACTGAACTCGACGACGAGCATTTATATGATTCGATTGGGAGAGCGAAGCGGAGAAGCAGTCAGCAAAAGCAAAGACAGCAACACGCTGAGCAGCTGAACTGGCCAAAATCTCATTACAAAAGGCCACAGCCAAAAATGAATTTAATTAAACATCAAAAGCCGCTAACACACACACACACGCACACGCACGCACGCACACCTGCACAGAGAGCGCGCTGCCTAAAAGAGTTCGTAGCTGGGCAGGAGCTTAACTCTCGAGCTGCCAATGCTGTCCGCTCGTCTTTTGATGTCTCCAAGCGAGAAATTGTACCAAGTTGCAAGCCAAATGCACAGCAACAAAATAACTGGAAAAATACATTTATTTACCGCTAATCGAATGATTGTAAGTGTGTGTGTGTGCGAGTTTGTTGCCAGGGTGGCCTCTTGAATGTTGCCTGGGGCCTGTCGGCGTGGCAACGACACCATCAGCTACGGCTTCCACCAGCCTCAAACTCTGGCCTTAAGGTCGTTTAAAAACGTGCCACTTTTTTTTTGCCACATACACTGAGCGAACATTTTCCATGGCATTTTGTAACTTAACCGAGTTGAAGAATTTAAAATATTCTCAAAACAGAAAATTCTTGTTTTTAGAACAATTTTTAGTAAAATAATTTATAGTAAAAAATAAAAATATTTGTACTTTCATTAAGCATAACATTAATTTTTCCAGAATATAATAAAGCATCAAGTTGCTAGAATATGAAGACCGAAAATGAATACATATACATTTATTTAATTTCAATTACATTTTATTTATTTAAATATTTTTTTGTAATTTTTAAAATTAATTCTTAACAATTTTATAAGCTCTTAAGCTTTTGAATAAAAATATATAAAATACATGACTAAAAGATCTGTTGTATAAGAAATTTTTAATATTTATAAATACTTAAATATTTATATAAAAATGTATAAATTATTAGGTAAAGTATTTTGTTTAAATAAATATTTTCAAGTTCATCAATAATTTCCAGATTTTTCAAACAGCAAAATTTACCAGAAACAGTAAGCAATAGATGCTTCAGCACAATCGTTGCTCAATTTTCTCTGAGTGTAATTTCCAAAATATATCTTACGGATGCGCAAATAGAGAGAAATACACACACAACAACCTTCGTTTGAGTGTGCCAAGTGTTATTTTCACAATTGGAGCACACACTCGAAAATGTTGTGTTGAAAACGAAAGTGACCCACGATTACAAACTTGGACTTGGATGTTCCTACGACCCCGCGCCCCTTCCCATCGCCAAGTTGGTTCCATTGATGGTTCTTCATTCATGACCCGCTGTGGTTGGCTAGCATTGTCGGGGATTTACTTCAGCTGAAGCTGAAGCCCTCGATGCCCAGCCAAAACCATTAAGCAAATATTTATGTCTAACAGCAGTTGGTCCCATTTCAGCTGAACAGGAAATAGCCGCTTAGACAAGGCCGTTGCGTATACGCCAAGTGGGCCGGGCGCGCGCGCATCATCAAAACTGTCAACTGGCAACACTTTCAACACCTACAACACACACAAACAAGCGCGTGAGCCACGAGCTTTTAAACAATTACGAAACAATGAAAAGAAAATCAAATCAAATCAAATCAAAAAGTTTTATAATTGCAGCCAAATAAAATTAAGCAGGTAAAAGTGCTTCCTACGTGAGAGTAATTGACTGCCAAATACCCTGCTTAACTAGTTTAAGAGTTTTAAGTTGAGTTCTACATAGAGAAATATATAAAAACTAAATTTTCCTTTAGTTTCTCTAGTGTAGTGCAGCACTACTATTTTTATGAACAGGTAATATGAATAGGTAACTTGAGCTACATATCACATGTGTTTCATATAGAGATATACTATATGATGCCCGATATCAATAGCTATATGCCCATACATCTATAATTTTAGCTAAGCTCGTTCTTGAATTTCAAAGACCCTTCTTGCGGCTGCCCTGTTTCCAGGGTATCAAGAAAGCTATGAAGCTACCAAAACAAACACTAATTGATGAAATTGTATAAAGAAAGAGATAGATTGAGAGGGAGTAAGCAGCATAAAAATGAGTTTAAGCACTCGAATCTACGTTGGCCACAAATTATCAAACGTAATTGAAGCGCGTCTGCGAGAGAAATTGTATTTAGGTATTTAAAAGGTGAGACGGCGACAGGCAACAGGTCGGCGGCTGCTTCTGCTGCTGCTTTACGTCATCGTCAGCAACAGCAACAACAGCAATTGAAATTGGTGCACTTGGACATGCTGAGGAAGCCAAGTGCCGACAGCGAGCTGTAGCAGAGGGCGCAAAAGGTAACAAAGCAGCTGCAACACGAGGCGATCGCGTTGCGACATCACCTCAAAAAGGCGCTGTGCAGGGGGCGGGGCAGTTGTCTGCTCAAAATCAGGTCACCTGTGCAGTAGCTGCCGCCAAGTGGCAGCCAGCGAGGCGACTTTTTTACTTTTGTCTTTGCCTTTGTCTTCGGGTCTCCACATTGGCATTGCCTGCACTTAGCGCGACTTATTGGCATTTGCGTTTGCCCTTCGTACGATTTGGGCTGTGAACGTGTGTGCCAGGTCATCTTATTTTATTTTTTGGTGGGTATTTCCACAACGCATTTCTGGCAGCTTATAAATAGACTGATGCTCTGAAGAATGCACTTGAGCCGGCGTTGTTGCCACTTGTTGCACTCAAGTGCCACCTGACTGTTCACAAAAAAATTGTTGTCTATCATTGCCACAGCGTTTCATCGACTCTGCTGCTATTGTGGTTGTTGTTGTTGTTCTTGTTGTTGTTTGTGAGGGAGCCAGGCGATGCTTTGGAGGCCCCGTCATTGAGATGCGACCCTACAAGTCGATTAGTTGGTCAATGCCTCCATAGCCAGCGCGTTCAACGCTGCTAAGACGAACTCTACTCAAAAAGTGGCCCAGTCTGCTGTCTGCTGTCGGCAGCTATTTTCAGCTAATAGAATCCAAAGAGGCCTTATCAAGGACTCCTTCGCTCAAGGTATGAGATCCATAGATATACTTCAATCAACAGTGTTACTTTAATTGCTTGTTAAACAATTTACAGAAAATTATAAAAAAAAAGTTTTCAATTTTTTTAAATACAAATTTAAATTTTTGAACAATATTAAAAAATTAAAAAAAATTGAAACAAAATTTTGTTCAATTATTATAAATAAAATTCAATACAAATTATTTTAGTTTACGTATTGCAATTAGTTTATATAACTGCGCTTTCTTATTTAAAAAAAAAATGTATATATTTTTATATTTTGTATACACTTTATATTATTTTCTATTTTATTTATTTGTTTTCTATATTTTATATTATTTTATTTTAACTATTTAGTTATTATTACTTATTTTGCCAATTTTAACATTTTGCAATTTTTTATTAAATATTTTTATCAAATCAAATAAAGTTATTTAATTTTTATGAATTTCACTTTTACCACAAAGAGCAAAAATAGAGTAAAAAGCATGAAAATCTTGGCAAAGTGTGTTACACATTTAAACGCTTCAACCTACATTAAACAAATTATGACAATTTGTAAATGAGTGTCATGAACGCCTTCAGCGCATCGCATTCCCCGCCGTTGCCATCGCAACCACTCGACACAGGAGGCTCAACTTGAGCCGACGCTTCGCGGCGTCGCGCCGATGCAAAGCTAAACCAAAATGTTTGTTGACAAACCGTTCGAGCAAATTACTTAATGGCTTAGCCAGATAATGGCGATAATGATGATTGAATATGATAATGATGGCACAGGTAGCAGCTCACCTGGAAGCTGTCTGCCTCTCTGTGTGTGTGTGCGTAGCCCAGTTTAAATTTATTTAAGTGTTCCATTTAAAGCACATTCATTTGAACATTTGATATTTATTTCTTTATGTTTTTGCTAGTTTCTGCAGACATTAGGCCTGAAAATGAAAACAAGAGTGATCTAATCGGGAGTGCCCGACTAGAAGATACTCTGTATCCCGCGCAGATCTGCTTCTCCAATCAATCTTCCTTATTGTCACTTTAATAATAATTAAGTAGAAATATAAATAGGTTTTTTATAAATATTTATATATATATATACATCTATTTTAATTGATAATATATTTTTTTCTAGTTTTTCTTTACCCAGTAGAATGTAAATAAATGGAAATTCCAATAAATTTCAATCAGTAAATTGTAACATAATTAATTACATCGAAAATGTTATGTTTTTTTATTTAATTTACTAGTGTTATTTATTGTTTTCTAGTTCTTACTTGGAGCACTACTATTTCTATGAACAACAGATTTTTAATGCATCTTTCTAACAGCATCAAAAGCAAATGGATTCTCGCTGAAAGTAACGGGACTTTTTCTCATTTCTAGTTTTTGAATTCCACTCTAGACAAAAATTGGGAATCTTTTGATTTTTCAACGGAAAAAGTAAAGTTTCATTTGCTTATGTTTTGTATAGCCTAGCACTACTATTTTTATGAACAACACAACATTATGCTCTCTAACCCCTAATAAATCTTATTTTTAATCAATGTAATTTTCTTTTATTTTAATTAAGCTTAATTTATATTTTGAAAATTCAATTTGCTCCATTTTATTAATATTTCTTATTGCAATAACATTTGTTTTTCGTTTTATTTTGATATTTACAATTGTTAGTATATCTACATTATTTGCTTAACTTGATTTCTGTTTTCCAGCGGCCTTCAATCAGTGTGCGACGTCTCCAACGATTATCTTGTTAATTAACGCTCAACACTGAACGATTTGAGTCTCGTTTTTTTTTTTGTTTTTATTTTTATTTATATTTTGTTTCGTATTTTTTTTCTATTTGTGTCTATTCATGTGAAATACACATTTTGCCGAATGAAGCACAGTGGGCGGGTGGGCTGGCTAACCCACAGACCAAATGACTGTCGAGCTATGCACAAGGTCGTTTAATTTGACGCTAAGCGAGCGCCATCGCAATAGCAATCGCAATTATCGTGCTCTGTCTTATATAACGTATACGACCCGTAGGAAGTAATTTAAATTGGAGTTACACGAGTGCTTCTGCTTCAGGTTTTGGCTTCTTTTTCTTGTTTTCATTTTGTAACGCCCACCTGCCACATCAGTGCTTGGCAATTGGTGTGCAGATGGCCAGGTGGACAGGTGGGTGGCCAGGTGGACGGTTGGCATTTGCGTGGCTTGTTGTGGGTGCAGTGCTGATGTCATGTGAGGTATCCATGGCTCTTCAATTACAATGAATAATGAGCATTAATGGGCGCCGACAAAAGGGTCCTAGCCTTCGAATCGACCAGAAAACTCAAATGAAAGCTATGTCTACAAGCCTGTGTATGAGTAAGCCTATTTTTTACCCGAGCACGTCGCTAAAGTGGAAACAATCAAATGTTTTAATGGAGCTTAAGTGCTTGATAATTTCTAGGAATTGACACTTGAAAGAGAATAGAATGTATTCAATTAAGACTTAAATTTAATGTATATATTATTTTATAGTTTAATTTCACTATTATTTTTTATGAATTTATTTGAGAATTTGAAATTTGTGAAGTATTTTATCGCTAGTTAGAACCATTTGTTCACTGTGTACTTTCGTCTCAGATCAATAAACTTTAATGGCTAAAAGTGACGCATATCTTGGCTCGAAATGCCATTAAAAAGGCGAAAGTTCAGAAACCTTCTGCAAATAATTACAATAATTAAGGGAGGCGACACGAAAAATGTGGAATAGAAAGAGAAACATGACGTGATTAGAGAAAGAGAAAACATTGACATTGAATTATAATGCCGCGTGCAGGGCACACAAAAAATAATGAATAATTGTGGTTTGAATGCAATAAGTGCGTACATAAAGTGAAGTAGAGTCAAGTAAATAAAGATCAACAAACACGCACAAAGAGCTTTTTTATTTGCTGCCCACCATGACAGAGACATAAAAGTTCAAACTACGCAAAACCACAAAAATATAAAAGGAGTATGATAAGCACAGGTGGGCGGCGGGCGTAAGGTGAACCAAAGCACGGCAAATCAATGAATGCAACAAAAGGCAGCAATAGCAACAACAGTTAACGGTTAGGCGTACAAGGCGTGACACACACACACACACACGCACTCTTTGAGGGAGTCTAATGCCTACAAAGCCTGACACGCACTTACAAATCGATTTGTTTCGCTGACGTATCTCATGGATGCCGCCAATGCCAGTGCATGTATCTGCAACTCACTCTTGCTAGCTGTGTGTGCTTAAGTGCGAGTGTGTGTGTGTGTGTATGTGTGTGTCATGTTTCATTGAGTACAATGCCTAGTTAAATACTGTTGCCGCCGCAATTTGTATCTCGCACTTTGTTTATTTATGCTGTCATCTGCTATTGTTTGGCGCTAAGAGTGCACCGCTCGCTCGCCTTGGCCCCCCTCTATCAGCCACAATCTGCTTTTGGCCAGCGCACACAAGCACACACAGAGCATTTCGTTAGCCATTTGCAGTCAATCACAACATTTGCTGCCGCAAACTTTGCATTTGCCATTCAGTTTGTGGAGCCCCAAACGAATTCGCTTGTCAGCGCTTGTTTTGCGCTGGGCTCTTTGACTCGTTTTGGTTTTCGGGTTCGTTTTGACTCTCGACCATCATTTGTGTTTACCCTGGCGGCTTAACTGGCAATTAAACATGTATTTGCAGGCGCTCTGCCACTAAATCGCATGCGATGCCGTACCCTTCCCCCTTCCCCTTTTTTCGGCTGGAGGACTTAGTGGCATACGCCTAGTCGAGTGCGCAAAAAGATTTATGGGGGAATTTTATGTGCATTTAGCTTCAATTAAAAAGTTTGTTTTTTTTGGGCGCACTTGACGTATACGCAACATGGTCAAGCGTATATATAGACTAGATGTAGAGTATTTTTAAATGCTGCAGTGATAAGCAAATGCAGCACATATCATATTTGCTCAAATTGACATGCAATTTAACATGTAGTTAAATGTCAATGACTTCACTTTGACTATCAAAGCTATACTAAGTTTCCTACTATCAACAGTTAACAGTTGATATATCCAGCTGCTAAATGTTATATCATTTAATCTGTATATCAAAAAAGCTGTTAAAATAAAGTTTCTTCATCCAACTGTTAATATTAACAATTGGAACTTCTTTTAAATATTTTACAATATGTTTAATATATAATTTTTATATACTTTTTTTAGAGATATTTCTTTCGATTTACAGTGAAAATAATTATAAAAATATTTCACTATTCATGCAAAAACCCTTTTCAAGGTCAAGTACGACTCTGTAAAATTTGTAATGTGGCGCCATCTATGTGCCGTGTTTGTGCTGCTTATCAGTAACTCAGCTGTTCGCTTCGTCTTCTGCTCTTACTAACTACCTTGAGCAAGTTCAGCGCGAAAGCTTTGCCGTCGAACCTCAAAGAAGCCAAAGAAAATAAACAACGCAAAGACGAAGTGGAAAGATTAAACAACAAAAAATACAACACAATAATTCACAAATGCGGGCAGTTATCAACTGCAATTCCGCACGAGAAGATCCGCAACCAGACGTAGAGACCAGACTAGAGACTTGAACTAAATAGGTCTGTGGAAATATGGAAGTATTAGATGACGACGACAACTACAGCGAGCAGGTGAGTTTAATGCGTGCTTATCTCATCACATTCTCAAATGCAAACTCTGTGTATACCCTGTACACATAAGAAGAGAGAGAGTCTATTTAGTCATAATCAAATATTTGAGTGTTGAGTTCGAGTATTCCAAATTCAAAAACTGCTTAGCTAACACACTAAGTCACACTCTAAGAGCTCTGGAACAGAGCATGCTGCAACTGGTAACATTCGATCTGAATGAATTTTTCTATTTATATTTGTTCAGCTGATTCTGGTGCAACAAAACCTGCGCTCGATGCCCCCTGAAGTGGTGCAGCGCTATGCCGAGATTACGGAACACTTGGACTTGAGTAATAATTGCCTCAAGGATCTCTCCTGGCTGGCGGCGTTCGAGCAGCTGCGTTATCTGGTCCTGGATGGCAATCGCTTGCACGAGTCGCAGCTGCGCACGTTGGCTGTGCCGCTGCCACAGCTGGAGGTGCTGATGTTGAACAAAAACGAGGTGTGTGGCAAGTGCATATGCTCGCTAAGCTGTAATTATAGGGTATCTCAATTGCAGTTCAGTGATCTGGCAGCAACAATCCGGCTTATCAGACGACTCTTTCCCAACATACAGTACCTAAGTCTCCATGGCAATCCCATTTGCCCCGATGGCCTCCACTTGCAGCCGTTCTCCAGCTACTTAGATTATGATTACGCATACTACAGGTGGGCAAATCAATTAGCTATTCAACTCAATTCAATATACATTTTCTCTTTATTTTTAGCAATTTTATCGCACAATCGCTTGTTAAACTGAAATTTCTTGATCACGCACTGGTCAAACGTTCCTTCAGCTATGAGAGCTTTCCCCTCAAGCGATACGATAGAGCTGGCAATTCACCTGTAAGCACAACAAGACTCTGAAGATTTCCAGATATAAATTCCTTATTTACTTGACTTAACTGATAAAATCTCAATGATATAAATCATAAATACCTGTATTTTTATAACAGAAAAAACTGCTTTTAGCTACGACATGCACCCATTATTTGTGATAAAAGCTCAAATGTTGAAGCTTTTATTGGCAGGCGAACAAGCGCATAAAACATAAAGCGCAAAAATAAATTAAAGCACAACTTTAAAATACCACGTAAAATTTAGCAAAAACATATGAAACATATCTAGAAAATTTTTTGAAAATTTAAAAAATAAAATTTTAAATAAATATAAGAGCAAAAATCATATAACACAAAAACTATAATGTTTTAATAATTAGAAATATATGTATGCATAGAAAACATAAAAAAATTGAACGAAAAATAGAAAAATATATTTAAAAACACTGAAATGAAAATATAAACAAATATACTATTTTTTAGCTATAGCAACAAATAATCTGTTTTTATTTCAATTAACAAATATATGTATTTATTTATTTTTAAGAATATTTCCTTTATTTTCTCTATTTTGTAAGTATCATAAAAAACAAGCATTTGGAATCAAGTCAGGTACAAAATGATTACGCAAAAGCAAACCTCCTCTTGCTTTTGGCTTTACAGGGTATATGAATATATAAACATTAGACAGCTTCACAGACATATTTTCAGTTCGCCTTTCGCCGGCCGGCAGAACAGATAGAGAAGGACAGCAGCAAAGAGTGATAGCGATAAAGGCGAACCATATGGGAACAGCCGCTATATAAAGAATATAGAAAACAAGATCAGCTTCAGTTTATTGCGAACGCTCAAGAAGTTAACTGGCGGCTCAATCAATCAGTCTCAATATGGCAAATTCCACGGCACAGCCCAAATACACAAAGGTAAGTAAACAGCCGTATGAGTGTATAGAACGTATCTATTGCTGATATAGTATATATATATATATATATATATATATATATATATATATAGTATATATGTATATAACAAACAAATATAATGAGTGCAGAATATCAATTGCATGACTAGAGTTAGCAACAGACTGCGCCAAGTAGTTGGCAGAAACTTGGCTCCTTGAACTGCATATATTATAGTTGAACAAAAAAGTGTTTTCATTAGTTATTAAATTTACAAAATGAAATAAGTGCAACTCGAAATCGTTATCGTATAATTCAGTTTGTTTTGAGTTTGCAAAGCCTGTTAAAAACAAACGTAATGAAAACTGGTTTTGTGTCGCAACATTCAAGAATTTCAACCCCTTCATGTCTGTATATATAATCATATAACGTATATATTTTATATGTGAGTGAACGACCAAAGCGCGATATGTTTTAAATAATTGTGTTGATATACTTAATTTGTTGATAAACCTAATTCGTTGTGCTCCCGCCCATCTGGCGCTTTATCAGCTGACAATGACAAGCACTCTTCAAACATAACTAAGAGGGTATAGTAGACTCAATATATATATAGGTATATATATACTTTTATGCCTGATATGCAAAGTTTATAACTGTAGAAAAGCTAACAAAACAAAATTGAAGATAAGCTGCATGGAAATTGTGATATATATTATAAAGACTAAGTCTGTAGCTTTGACTATCCATGGAAGCCATATAATATGGTAGTTAGAAGAGGTATAACTATTATTATATTATATCTATCTATATATATAAATTTCTGAAAAATTCTTATAAAACTTGAAATATTATTTATTATATTTATAAATATTTATTACAATCTTTAAATAGAATTTAAATTGCATTAGTCGCTGAGCTCTTCGACTGGCTACGTTTATAATCTGAAGCAAGTTTTTCTTTTTGTAAATTCTAAAATATTTAAGGACAGACGATGAAGTAGTGGATGTGATGGGCTGAGAGATAAAAAATATAGCCTGATCTTTTGCAGGCAGAAGTCTTGAAAATAGTGTAGGTGTATATATAATATATAGATAGTATATAGTATAATAATATATATATACAAATTGTGTGTCTTATATAGAATATGTATATATATATATATATATATTATATAGTATACATAAAGTATGATATATAAGTATATAGATGCTGGTTCGTGTCCTGTTGTATGTCTGGATGAGATGAGAGATGTGCAATAATGGGCAGATTCTATATCTTTATTCTATATATATATATATATATATATCTCAACTGGTTGGTAGACCAAGAAGATATATCTATATTCTATATCTATATATATCCCTCTATATCTATGCCTACTTAGATGTTCAACATCATTAAGTATATATTGAGCTAAAGACAGACTAAAGAATCCAAATGCCTTGCTCTGGGAACCGCCCAAGCTTCATTATAACAAAAGTATATACATTTATAAATAGCACAGGCATCTATAGTCCCGTTCTTGATCTGTTGAACTCTTTATAAAGTATTATCTCAATTTTCATTGCATACACAACTTCAACAACAAATAATCATATAATTATTATATTGCCTGCGTGGGCTCTGGTAATCACCGAGTTGATAAGGAACCAACACAATATGAGACTAGTTGCGCTCGCGTCAACAAGTCAAGTGGGTAGTTGGATACCCTGTTTAGCGCAGTTTAAATATTTTAATCACATGTCTTTTGTGAATTATTATGGATGCGTTAAGTGAACATTAAATGACTCAAAAACTGCACTTTAGCAAATTGCCTCTGACAATGTCATCAAATGCTGATGCTCAATTTATGAAGTCTGTTTTGAATTGAGATTGGAATTTCAATTGTATTTACATTGAGCAAAACTGTCGCGTGTTTAGCCTGACTGACAACTCGTTAAGATCGTAATAAGTAAGCAAGGGGCAGAGGTCGCTGATGAAGTGGCGCAAATTAGTCACGCGGCAGGTGGTGCAGCTGGCTTGCTACAGCTCCGGCTATGAGCGCTGCCCTCCTGCCTACAGTGAGGTAACACTTTGACAGCCACTGAGAATTTACATATGCCATCCCCACTTGCAGCTCTTCATCAACAATGAGTTCGTTGACGCGGTATCCGGCAAGACTTTTGCCACCCAAAATCCGGCCACAGGCAAGGAGATCGTCCAGGTGGCCGAGGGCAGCAAGGTGAGCCAGCAAGTCGAATGCAAATTACTTTTCTTATCTTATGTGCATGCCCTTCCTTGGCCTAGGCTGATGTGGATCTAGCTGTGGCTGCTGCCAAGAAGGCCTTCCATCGTGGCTCCGCCTGGCGTCAAATGAGTCCGTTGCAGCGCACAAACCTGATGAACAAGTGAGTGGCTTTGCCTTCCGTTCTCTTTCCTATTAACGGCCAAACCTTTGCAGATTGTGTGAGCTCATGGAGCGCGACAAGCACTTCCTGGCCAGCATTGAGACCCAGGACAATGGCAAGCCGTATGCGGAGGCACTCTTCGACGTTACCATCTCGATCATGACGCTGCAGTACTATGCTGGCTGGACGGACAAGTTCTTTGGCGATACCATACCCGCTGGTGGCTTCATTGCAATGACTCGCAAGGAGCCTGTGGGTGTGGTGGGTCAGATTATACCCTGGAACTATCCATTGCTGATGCTGGCCTGGAAGTGGGGACCCGCTCTGGCCGTCGGCTGCACCATCGTCATGAAGCCTGCGGAGCAAACACCGCTCACAGCCCTCCATATGGCTGCGCTTGCCAAGGAAGCTGGCTTCCCGGCGGGTGTCATCAATGTGATAAACGGCTTTGGACCCACTGCAGGTGCTGCTATCAGCGAGCATCCGGACATTGCCAAGGTGGCGTTCACCGGCTCCGTGGACATTGGACGCGTCGTGATGCAGGCGGCAGCCACCTCCAATCTGAAACGCGTCTCCCTGGAGCTGGGCGGCAAGAGTCCAGTCGTTGTATTCGAGGACGCAGATAGTGAGTATGGCATGAGCCAACTTTGAGAACTTCCATTGCATTGGTTTGCCCTGCAGTTGACTATGCTGTGGACACCACCCACGAGGCGCTGTTCTCCAATCACGGCCAGAGCTGCTGCGCAGGCAGTCGCACCTATGTGCACGAGAAGATCTACGACAAGTTCGTGGAGAAGGCTGCTGCCAAGGCCAAGGCGCGCACCGTGGGCAATCCCTTCGACGAGAAGGTGCTGCAGGGCCCTCAAATCGATGAGGAAATGATGACCAAAGTGCTGGGCTACATTGAGAGCGGCAAGCAGCAGGGCGCCAAGCTGCAGGCGGGCGGCAAACGTATTGGCAATGTGGGCTACTTCATTGAGCCCACCGTCTTCTCCGACGTCAAGGATGATATGCGCATTGCCCAGGAGGAGGTATAGCTAAACTGAATACTTATCCTTTCAACAATTGTAAATACAATCGCCTTTCAGATCTTTGGACCCGTTCAGTCCATCTTCAAGTTCAGTTCCATTGACGAGATGATCGATCGGGCCAACAATGTGCAGTACGGCCTGGCCGCCGGCATCATCACCAACGACATCAACAAGGCCATGAAGTTCGCCAACAGCGTGGACGCCGGCTCCGTGTGGATCAACTGCTATGATGCCGTTCTGCCGCAAACACCATTCGGTGGCTACAAGCACTCCGGCATAGGTCGCGAACTGGGCAAGGATGGCCTGGACAACTATTTGGAGACCAAGACCATCACAATGAAGCTGCTCTAAGAAGGTGGGCTCCACTTTGTATTTGGAATATTTGTATTTTATTTGCACCTTTCGGCTTTGTGGTTAGACTATTGCATTTCAATTAAAATCTACACTTCGAAAACTAAACACGATTAAATTATTTTTATATAAATTAAAACGAGGCACGAGTTTACTTAGCTTAGGCTTAGTTAATATCATTGAATTGTTCGAAACCTTTTTTGATTTTTTCTTTTTTTTTGTGGTATTTTAGCAGACAGAGAAGCGGAAATTTGAAATATCCTTGAAGAAGTAGAGAAAAATATGTAAATCTGAATTATTAAACAATATATTTGTGCTTGAGCAGCATACAAGTTGAGGTCTGACGCGATCGGAAGTAATTTTCTTTTTTAGCTAAAGTGAACTTTCTTTTTGTAAATAATATAATTTAAGTAAAATCTTTTTGAAGTTCGCGCAGCTTCATTCAAGCTAGTCCGAGTTCTGTAATAAGTTCTAAAACTCCAATTTGCTAAACTGGCCAGCGAAAATGTTTACTATTTATTACCTGATACATGGCATTAGCCGTGTAAACAATTCCTTTGTTTACCAATCACATATGCCTCAAGATTTAAGCAGCAATGGAATTCTATATAATATACGTAAAACAAAGTCAATCGCTTCAATTTAAAGCTCTATATCAATTTAAAATTAGGAACTGATTACTGCTATGGCAACAATAAAATGTTGATAAGCTGCTCATGAGGGTTGGCGTGATAAAGCTTATCGCATTTTGCCAGTTAAGTAGGGCAATTGATATTTTTGTATAGTTTCCAAATGGGTCAAATAAGAAACTGCTACAACTGCAAGGATATTTCAACTTCGGCATGCCGAAGTCAACTCTTCCATTTGTTCAGCTTGTTTGCTTTTAGGTTCTGCTTTGTGCTCTAAAAGAATTGTATAAAAATAAACCTGAGATTTCTGATGTGCTTTAACTTGTGGCAAAGTCAAGACTTAGGCCACAGTTGTTAAGTGTGTTTGTTGCTGTTGTTGCTCTTGGCCTTTAGAGTCGAGCAGCGGCATGGCCATTTCGCTGAGCCGTGACTTGGCGCTCTGGAAATCATCCTCGGACCTGGGTCTCAACTGCTGCGTGTGCTGTGGACTGCTCTGCTGCACCTCCGTATAGACGGGCTGTATGGGCTGCGGCCGATCGAACATATCGTCAATGTCGACCAGCTGGAAATCTATGGCAAATATATAGCGCAGCATCATGATCAACAGCGCCAAGAACCACAGAACCATGCTGATGTTATAGCTGCAGCGAAAGAGATCCAGATAGGCATCATGTGCGACGCTGTGCTCGTGTATGCGCGGACGCAGCAGGGCGATGGCATCTCCGCAACTAAAGTGAGCGGTTGGATAATCAGTTAACTCAAGCAAATCTTGTCTTGAAACTCACCTAATGGCCCAGGGATTGGTGAGACCCTGCCGCAGCTGCCCGCACAGTCGTCGCAGATAGCCATTGGTCAGTATCGTATAGGCAACGCTGCCCAGACTCATCAGCGCGAAGATCGCTATGGAGGGCACGACTATGCGCCACGGCTTGGGCAGCACTCTGCAAGCAATTGGAATAGATATATGAAAGTTGGATAGAGCTGACTAGTTGGAAGTATGCGACTATAAGATACCCTGAACCCTGTGTCAATGGAACCATTTTTTTAGCTTTTGGTTCTCAATTTATGGGAATACAAAAGGAGAATTATATATCAAGATCAAATATCATTTATGAAAGACAAAGCCAATATACCTTATTTACCATGCTAAAAGGTATACGTTCTAAATATCTGCCAGGCAGTTCTTGCTTCTTTTGTTCAGGTCTAGACTCACACGCTACACTTATATACTTATGTATATACCCTTATGTAGAGCCTATTTATATTGAGACCTCTAGTAAATATGCAATCTTACGATGTTTTCTTGCTGCCCGTTTGATAGATGAGACACATGGCCGTCCAGATAATGGCCACGATTTCCGATATCAGTGGAAAGGCATAAACAAATTGTGCGCCAATGCCGCGACTCCAGCGTGTGGCATGTGTATCGACAGACTCTGCAATAAACATAAACATTAGAGACTCAAGTACTCTGCGCTCGGTTTTCTCTCCTCTTACGGCTAGCCAGAAATTTGAGATCCGCTTCAGCGTTCGGCACAACCTTGGGCGGAGCATTTGTTGTGGTTGTCGCATCCTCCTGGGCTCGCTCCTGATCGCTGACCAAACGCGCTAGCAGCGGCGCATTGTCCTTCGTCTCGTAGATATGTTCAAATTTGTATTTTGGCCTTTTGGTTTCTGTTGAAGATCAATTTCATATTTACTTCTGTGAGGCGAGACGCGTTTCTACTTACGGCTGTCACTCTTCAGCGGTTGCGGCGTCTCATTGAATTCATACGGCAGTCGACCCAGCTGCTGTAGATCGTGTTCGATAATCCCTTTGCTTTTCTCATTCATTTGGCCATAGTCGCGATCCTTAAACATTATTTTGGCACTGATGATTCCCTCATTGAAATCGCCGGACAACATGTGCAAGGAAACGCTCCACAGAATGGAAAAGATCGCCACAAGCACCATGAGACATATAACGATATCTGGAAAGACAAAATAGAAGCAAATTGTTAAAAAAATAATAGGTAAAAGAAGCTATGGGAATAATACACTACAAAGCTACTAGAGCTTAGTATGGTAAAATTAAATAAAATTCATATAATTTCAAATATTTTTTATCTAAACAAAAACTCAACAAAATTTTATATACATTTTTTTCTTTAAATTTGAAATTTAACATTTTTTCTATCACTTAGAAAAATTGAGATATTTGAATTAAATTTTATAATATCATATTACTATAAGTGAATACTGATAAAAATCACATCTCTGAACTCGAACTGTTTCTATATTAATTGCTTAATCATGAACAAAGAGCCAAATAGATCTTTCAATATATGCATCATTATTTCATATTACGATCTATGTATACTTAATATTCAATGATATATATTCCATTACAACTATATTAAGGCGAGTGTGATTTATTTCTGAAATATTGTGAGCATAGCTGATATTTTTGGTAAGGCTTAACGGAAGATGATAAATTGTTGCGCGTAGCTGGCGAAGCATCACGAACAGCATCGTTTACAATAGAAGAAGGTGGAGCTGCGAATAGACGTGGCGGCGTCTCTCTTTGTATACAAGTTCGTAAATTTACTAGAAGACATTGTGAAAACATACGCACACACACACACACGCAGTCCATAAACTAGCTGGCCAGAGTTTATATTGGAGGCATGATATCATGGCAGATGTTGTATGGCTTGGTTAACGAGCCACGAAAACAATCAATGATATAATAAATATGCGCTAGCCGAAAGATACCCTATGACAGACAGGTGAAATCGATATTTATCGATTTGAGGGAAATAGACATAGGTATAGTATCTTGTTCGTGAGTTAGCCATGCATTATTACGTGGATTTTCATTGTAACTAATTAAGAATCGAATTCGATATTTATCGATATTATAAAAATCGACTTTTAATTTTAAGAAACTTATTTATATTAGCTGATTTATGAACTATGAACGCAATATTAAGAAAATGTCACCCGAATGATGGGTGCGTGCCTTAAAAAACGATATTTATCGACATTTCTGAAATGTACGCATATGTAAAAAAATATATGGAGCGTTGCTACTTAACTGACCAATAAAATAATAAGTACTATGCCTTAGACGTATAATAATTTTCGACCAGTTTAGAGATGCTTTTCAGAGCTCTTTTTAAATTCGATATTTATCGATATTATAAAACTCAAAATATTTACTAGCTTCTGCATCAACAAATCGATAATGAGTGAGTCGAATAGTATCCAGTACTCAGCTCAGAGCTGCTTTATAATCGATACTTATCGATATTATGAAAATTTATCTTAGACTGCTGTTGTGTTAACTCAATGAGTCTCCAGAGTAATAACAACAATTTCAACTGATTGAGTCAAAAAGTAAGATATTCCGATTAAGAATATATATTAGTTTTTGAGATCAACAACGAACTCCTTTGCCCGTTACATTCGGATATTCCGCTTACTATCACATATTCAAGGGGTATTTTAATGGCAACAACAACATGACAACATTGGCCGATGACGTCGAAATTAGCGACGGAGCTGCTCAATAAAATCCATTTCAATTGATGCTAAATTTCCGACACGCCGAGTTCACAGACAAATGTTAAAACGCCGAGCGAAATAAATTAAATGAAACGAAATGTTCAAGCAGTCAAATGAGAAATGCATTGTGGCTAAAAGTCAACAAACATATTTACGAATTGAAATATGTGTGCGATCATAAAAGTCCAAATGAAAATGCTGTTTTATTTTTCTGGTATGCCCGTTCACAAATGTGAAAGAGAGTATATGGGTTTGGTCACTGAAATGTTGAATAGATATTGGAATATACTTAAAAGAGGAGAAGTTGATTTAAGACCTTAAGCAAACTTATTTTAAATGCTGAAGATCGATTAAATGTTAAAAAACCGATAACTTTAACTTAAGAGCTAAGGAGCTCAAATCTTTAAATGAATGCAGCTCGAGTTGTTTTTCGTGATTCATCTGATAATATATTGCCATCACTCTGAGCGAGTATCAAGCAGTCAGTTTTAGGCCAATTCAATTTATTCGTTTTGTTGTCTCACCATAAGTGGAAATTTTTTTTAATTTCATACTTGAAACGATTTTTATGATTTGCAAGGATTAATACAAAATCATAAACTCAATAGCAAAGTGACTGATAATATATGCAAGTGCGCAGATGACGAATGAATAACGAATAATGAGTAGGCTTCATGCACAATTGAACGCATAAATTATTGCTGAAAAGTTTGCATCATTCTTTCTTAATTCTAATACATATGGTCTCTGTTGTAGCTAGGTTGGGCTTGTGCGTTGCAGCAAATGACATCATGCCCCAGCTCCAGAACTGGCGGCCGGCAAGCAACTGCCGAGGGACCGGGCATTTGGCCATTTAGTCACAATGTTAGCCCAGAGTCTCATTAGCACCGCGGGCAACTATTTTCGGTCAGTCAAATTGCCGATTTGTGTAACTGAATATGGCTCATGGGGGCCAGACGATGGCGTAATTCTATAAAACGAGTTATAAATAAATATTACGGCTCGAAACGCGATATGAAACAAACAGAATCCAAATCAAGTATTGCTTGACTTCATGAGATGCCAGCTGTGCGCCTTATAAGCACAGAACTAACAAAGAAACTACATAATCTCCGACAGAACCCCAAGCAGTCTGGAGTATATTCAGTTCAGTTTATAGAGCTAGACTAGCTTCGACGTTGCCATCTCAGCCGGAAGCTACTTCATGTTATTTGCAGTTGCCTTTATTTTATTGACTTGAACCACATGGCGTATGCGCATTTATCTGCCATGAACTGCGCCCACACAGCACTTGGCGCCGTTGGCTGCACAAGTTAATTGTTTATTAATATTTCAGCAAGCCCAAACAAATATAGCCCAACGTCAGAGCCACCAAAATGCTGTGTGAACAGCCGGCAGCCGGAGGCAGGTGCAGGGGCTGGGAGATAGCTTCAGGTGCTACCGTTCACTACCCAATTAGCGTGCAAAAGAAGAAAAATTAACACATTTGCCAAAGCCTTTAGGCCAATTTAGCACCTGGAACTATTTGCTTACGCAAATTGTAGGACTTGTAGTGTGAGCTAAGAGCGTTTTTATGTAAGTCTCACTTCTGCCCTTTATGATTGAGGCAGCAAGTGTCAATTTGTGTACAAATTGCACTCTGATTTTATATATATATGATTTTATATATATATATATATATATATATATATATGTATATATTAATGTCTGCATATGTGTATATTTATTGCGGAGTTTATTAAAAAAAGTTTCTGATGCCAGACTTTATTCAAATGTCTTCTAGTCTTTATTCAGTCTCATATACAAGTCGCTGCAGCAGACGTCAAGTGCATCACATTGGATATACCTACATCTACACACATACATATATACATACTTATATCAAATGTCTATCAAATTTGATATCTAATGCATTTGGAGTGCTCATATCGTACTCACTTCTGAGTTGGGTTCTTCTCACTCGCCTTATACCATTCATAATAATAAAAGCTATAATAAGAATATAAATTTCTTTTATTTTTGCCTCACAGCTAAGCTGTGTGTCTTCTTGTTTTAATGTCAAAGTCATTCATCAACATTCGTTTGCACATTTTCGAAAAAGCATTATTGATGAAAGGCGCATTCCACACACACTCAGACAGACCTAATGACAGGCGCGACAGACGAACAAGTTGCCATAATTGATAAAAATATTTTTGCTGTCAATTTGGTAACCAATGAAGGCGCCTTCCAAAAAATTCTCTCAGCTATGCCACACATATATTTAGATATATATATATATTTACATATATATATATGTCTAATGAAATTATACATATGCAGTCGAAGGTTGCTTCTTTTGTACACCAACAGCCCTTTGTAGGCGAAGGTCTTCGAAATGAAAAACTTAGGTATAAAAATATACATAAAAAAATATATATATTTATATATATATATATATATAAACAGATATATATGTGTGTATGTAACTTATATAGGGTCGTATAACAATATGCAAAAATATATATAATTGTAATGGAACAAACATACGATTTAGATTGCGCACATCGCCCGTTGTTAACTTTCCCTGTTTGTATTTTCTTATCAGCTCCATGTTGGCATTTTATTTAGTACTCGTATAATGCTGTTTACACGATATATATATGCTCGATAAAACACTTTTTGTACAGAATTTCTGTATAAATTTTTAACATTTGTTTCACGCACTATAACAATTGCCTGGAATTACACTCGTGAAGCACCAGAAATATATGATTTATCTTGAATTTTCATCAATTCACGAATTTTATATAGCGCATTCGATTATTTTTATGCGATTTTTATGGCAGCTAATCCAGAGATGCCGAATCGAAAATTTATAAACAAAGTAATCAACAAATTATGTATGTGTGTGTGTGTATGTGAAATGCAATAAATATTAACGAAAGTCATAAATAGAGTGAAATTCGCGCAAGTTCGATTTGTAGAGTCAAAAGGTTAATCAGTTGGGAAAGGGAGAACATTTGACTGACTAAATGGGCTGATTGATTGACTGAAAGGCTGAGAAGCAAAACTGATTGATTGAGTGACTGACTGAGTCCATCAGTCTGATTAGCTGACTGATTGACCAACTAATTGACTGACTGATTTACTGAGTGATTGATTGACTGATTGACTGAATGACCGAATCACTGATTGACTGATTTACTGATTGACTGACTGACTGATTGACTGATTGACAGATTGATTGACTGACTGACTGATTGAATAACCGACTCACTGATTGACTGACTGACTGATTGACAGATAGATTGACTGACTGATTGACAGTTTAATTGACTGACTGATTGACAGATTGATTGACTGACTGATTGACTGACTGACTGATTAAATAACCGACTCACTGATTGACTGATTGACAGATTAATTGACTGACTGATTGACTGACTGATTAACTGACTGATTGACTGACTGATTGACTGACTGAAAGAATGACTGATTGATTGACTGATCTACTGACTAATTGACTGACTGATTGATAGCCTAATTCATTAACAGGCTGATTGAGTGACTGATAGTATAAGTGACTAACTGACTGATTGAGTAACGGATTGAGATACTTTGACTTACTGAATGTGCCCAACTCATTGATTGAATGATTGATTGATTAACTGATATATATTTAAGTAATTGGTTGGTAATAAATGTACTGAGTGTGAGCAAATAACTGACTCACAGAGAGACCGACTAACTGAATGTTGTTGGACTGACTGTATAATAGCTACGCAACTTTCTCTAACAACAAGAGCCTGATTGACTGATTAATGTAATTGGCTTTACTTAGAAAAGTGCTGTCTAAAATTAGAATATACCCAATATTCGGCGCAGTTAAGGCAGAGAAAGGCCCACAAGTATTTAGTACAGTTCAAAGACTGAAATTCCTAATGAAGATAATTTGCGTATTTCTTTTCTTGTATATTTTGATGACATTCAATTTGTGTGACGTTTGCGTCGTTAAATTAACACCTTTTGTTAGTTTTCTTGGACGCGTGCCCTCGGACTCCTTACTGACTATGCCATGCTATTAGCTCTATAAATAGAAGTTTGTTTAGCACAGACAATCAAGACGCCCAACTCCCGGCGTGCATGTCACAGTTCAGGGTCAGTCGAATAACCCCGCAACAGTCAGGCCCAAAAAAAAGAGAAGCAATTTCATTGAATATTTATGCTATTTACATAATTGTTGTTTGTTTCATTTGCATAGACGCGCTCAAGCGTTGGAAAACCGAAACCGATTCGAAATGTCGTATCGAAACAATAAATAAAACGAAAATCACGCGTGGCACGAGGAACGCGAACCGCAGCTCGAGGCAGTTGCTCAGACACTGAGGCGGCGGCAAGCGTTCGTAAAAACATATTTCTCCAGCGTTTCACTCAAACAGCAGGCAAACAGAGAGACAGAGAGAGAGAGAGAGATAGGTAGAGCGAGATAGCAAGTGTGTGTGTGAGCGCGTAGCTTTTGAGTTTTGTTTTGATTTTGTCAGCCTGCAACTGGTTATTCGAGTTGTTGTTTCTTGCCTTTTTGTTTTGCTGTTGTTCTCTCATTCTTGTTTGTTTTTGTTTTGTGTTGTTTGTTTTTCTTCGCGATGCTCGAATAACATTTCGGCGCGCTGATGCGGGCGTATGCGTAATATTTCAGTTGTCACACAAATCTATGCTAAATGCTAAATTTCTTGCATATTTTCTTTGTTTTTTTTTTTTAAATTTAATCAAAGTTGTAAGTATTTGCTTTCTGCATACTAAAATTCCTTGCGGTTGATATTGAATTTTTGTGAGTTAGTTTCTCTTTTATGGGCGCAATTGTCGGCGATGACCTTGAGAATGAAAGCCGCTTACTCTGCTCAAGGTGAGCTTAATTAACAACCACAATGGGCCAATTCCCATGTGTGTGTGAGCCCCAGAGGAATATGCATTTCCATCGCGTGTTAGGCGCACGTCTCGTTTTTTATTTTCCTTCTTCTTCTTGCTTTACAAAAAACTTCATCTGGCCGCTGATAAATATTTCACTAAGGTTTCAAGCAACTCATTTTCGCATTTCATTTGTTTTTTCTTAGGCTAATGTACATTTTAAGCTCTGCCTTATCGAATGCAATTTGTTCGAGCTGAATTGCAATTACTAAGTGCTAAGTAGTTGGAATATAAAAATAAGCTGATTAAAACCGACTGCACAATACTCGTTCACGGTACAAAGACAGCTAAGAAATGGGTTTAATTTAATACCGTTAGACCATGGAAGTTATATTTTTAGCTGTAAAAGGTGCCAAGAAATATTCAATTGGAAAACGTACTCATTCCGTGTTACATATTCAGATATAGAATACGGCAAGGGCAAGCCATTTGCAATATTCCATGTCATATTAATAGCTCTATAAGATACCAACAGCAATCCAATTGGAAACAACATTATCGCAGGTTACATATGTAGATTATAAGAGATTGTAGCTATAAACCAATTGGAAAACTGACTATTTTAATTCCAATTGGATGGATGGATTCTAACTCATATATTGAGCTCTAGAAGTTTTCAATACCAATCCCAGTGGAAAACTTATTGATCCTAAACACTATATCTAAATTATATGTATAAGATATCAACTGATATCCAGCTAGAAAAATTATTGATTAAAAATTTCAGATCTAGATATAGAAGTCAACTGCAATTCAATTGAAAATTTATTGATTATAAGTTATAGATCTGGATATAGAAGATGTCAACAACAAAAACTGTAAATGCTATAGCTTTTGTGGCATAAATACACTAAAATTTCAGATTAATTTATAGATTATGTGCACAGTTACTAATATGCCAACATAGGCCTAACATTGTTACGTTAGGTTATGTGTATAAGACGGCATATAAATATATATATATATATGAACCCTCTACTTAATATAGTTCACTTCGTGAACGTGTATATGTACGATTACAGAGCATACAATTTAACACTTGAATAGTTACTTAGCAATGTTTATGGTCTAATGTAATATCAAGTTTCTTGGCATACACATAATTGTATATACCATATATACTCTATATCTTATATATACATACATTCGACCACACAAGCATTTTGTTGACATGATAAGCAATGTTTTTTTTTAGCACGAAATTTAATCTCTAAGACCATATCTATGTTTAAGTGTCAACAGGAAGCATTTCCTGAACTAATTTTTTTTTTCATTTTAAAAGTGCTTTAAAACGCGATTATTAAAGTTTCATGCCACATTTTTGTGAATCTATATTTTTACAAGGCTCAAATTTGTTTTGTCATCTTGCTAATGGAAAATTCTAAGCAAAACATGCATACTTTCAAATAAACATACGTATCACATAAATATAAACAGCCATTTATTATTTACCTTCCTTTGAACATGTGTGAAAATAGAAACGTGGCTTTCAAATTGGCGATGACGTTGCCAGCTTATGCAAATTAGCTACGGCTATGACTACATTTCATGGATTTATTACAGCGTTACAGGCAACACAGAGACAGATACAGAAACAAAAACAACACAAAAGTATTGGTAGATTAAGATATTTTGTACTATGCATAAGTAACATTTGATAATCAATCATATTGACATGATTTAATGCAAATGCTACAGCAGACGGACATCAGCAACATTGAATCAGTTACAAAAACACATCATTAATTGACTCATAGTTCACATGACGTATACTTAACATTTTTATTTTTTAAATTTTCACTTTAAATAAGACTTTACAAAATTGCTTAAGAAAAATGTTAAAAAATTTTGAAAAAAAGCTTAAAGAAATATTTGAACTAAAAATATTTTTTTATAAATTCATATGAAAATACTTTATACAAATTTATCCTGAGGATAAAATTTAACGCTCTCAACTTTAAACTTAAAAGAGAGTTTTATGATATATGACATATTTTGAAACTTCAGAAAATTATTTTAATTTTGTCTTAACTTTCCAATTTTGCTTTTAAATTTTATCCTGAGCATAACCTACATACGTTCGCAAATTAAAACTTAAAAATAATTTTAATAACATTGTTGACATACTCAAACTTTTATTTAGAACTTTACTATGATTTTGGCTTTTTTTTACAATTCTACAATTGAGCCACTAAATTTTATCCTGAGGATAAAGCACTTACATTCATAGCGCACAACTGTGCGTCGCGCCTCCTGGCTCAGCATCTGCAGACTTTCGCCTATCCGACGAATCCTTTGCGGCGTGCTCTTCAGCGTATTTGCTGTCATACTGTGCGCTCCGATATAATAAAACTGTGCCAGGCATAATTATTATTTACGTGCTGGAAGTGCCTTCTACATGAGGCAGACAATTAACAAAATTGCAATGCAAAAACTTAGCACTTGGCTGCGCATTTTTATTTTTATTTTTATTTTTCGTCTTTCGCTTTTCGTTTGTAACTTGAAGAGCCCTCAAAATCCAGCCAAGTCGATGTTTAGCAGAAGCGAGCGCGTTTCGAATGAACGTTCAAACGTAGCGAATGCTCGACGTGAACTGTGAAAACGGCACAAGAAACGCGACTAAGCGTATGAGTGTGTGTGTAAGTGTGTGCCTGCCTGTGTGTGTGTGTATGTTTTTGTGTGTGGCAAATTCAAATTTGTTGGCGTCACTAGTCGGTGGTAAGAAACTGAGCATAGATGCCAGACTCGGTCAGACAGTCAGACAGTCAGACAGTCAGCTAGTCTTCTGTCTAGGCAGAGCAGCTGTCTATGGGTTGTGTGTGCGCTTGTGTGTTTGTGTGTGTTAGCCAAAAGTCACCCTTAAATGAAGGACCTGCACGCACCAATGCCAATGACCGACCCAGTCCGCGTTTTGGGACACATTTCAGACCCCTGTGCTGGGTATTACGTATGCGTGCCTGGCTAAGTTTTACACCGTTAATTAGTAGAGTCCTGACAAAAAACCCAACACCTGGCATTTGTTTACAACAAAAAACAAGTAAGAGCTGTACTCAACTAGAAGTTACCCTTACTAAAGTCTCAAGAAGCCTCGATATCTTATACTAAATGATATCATATGCATATCATTACAGAATCAACAAGTACAGCTTAGAGGGCAATACTCAACTAGAAGTTACCCTTACTATAGCCTCTATATCTTATACTAAATAATATCATATCATCACAGAATCAATATGCTCTAGAAGTAAAGAATGAACTTATTGAATTGAATTGCATTTTTATTTTATGAAAAATACTCGTTTGTTTCTTAAATAAATTAGTTTAGTTCAGATTTGATGTTTTCTTTTTAGTTTTGTATAATGCGTGGTGTACTTGGTGTTAGTTACAAAGAATTGTCGTTTGCATTTTGCTTAGGTTACGATATTTTCTTATTGTTTTTTTTGTTTTTATTATTATTATTATTATTGGTTTTGTTTTATACAAAAAATTCTTACACACATAGATAATTGCTAAATATTGGTGTTACATTAGACTAAAAGTTTCATAAAACATTTGTGCAACAAAAACGCATTGCAATTAAATTTCTTCTTTTTGTTTACTTGCCCGCTCTATAAATAAATATAAAATTAACGTACTCTGTATACATATACATATATATTTTTGTGTATATATATTTATATCAATTTGATCAATTTGTTGAAATTATTTGCCGAACAATATAATAAAAAAGTGCTCGCATTTCTGTTTTAACAATTTGTTTGCAATTTAATATTACAGATATACATATATATGTATATATATATATATATATATATATTTATATAGTTTATATTATTAAAACCCGATTGTTTGAACAATTTGGAGTCGATAGATCGACTCGCTAGTTTTAGATTACTTAACTAGATTGTCTATACATAGATTTCGACTACATATAATACTACGAGTAAATGTGGTTTGCTTAATGGGCGCAGAGCTTGCTTTATATATGGTGTTTGGATTCTCGAATTGTAAAATGTATAAATAAATTTTGATTTTGTTGCTTTGTGCTTAACACTTAACTATAGATCAAACATTCAAATCTTGACATTATATGTAAATAGAACTGCTTTGCGTATAAAGAATTTGTTTATGTATTAGTGAATGTTAAACAAAATTACAACAAACAAAGCCTGATGAATTAATAATTCAAGTTAATTATGAATCGTATATAAACTATGCTCTCATGGGGGTAAAGCTCAAAATATATGTAAATATATTAAATAAAATCATAAAATATTTTTAATTAGATTTTAGTGGACGTAAGTAACATGGAATTGTTTTTAAATCGAACAAACTTACAAATTATGATTCCAATGTATTTAGTTTAGCATTTGAAAATTGGAAATAAATAGTTAAATACGGTGATTAGTTAGACTAAGTTAGCAACGAGATGAATGAAATAAATTACAATATCAATAAGAAATATAAGAAATCATATAACATAACAGGAAACGTGTGTGGTTGTGTGTATGTTTTTTTGTTGCAATACTTTTCTTGTTTCAATAGAACTCCGCGTGGTTGTTGGCTATTCGAGTAGCCGCCTGGCTCTGGATTTGTTTTGTAGCGGGGAATGAGTTAAGTTAGGGGATGTTATTATATATTAGTTGTTGTTGTTGCAGTTCCTGTTGTTGTTGCAACGTTAGCCAGTGCGTATTGTAGTCTATTTGATGCGTCGCAGCGGCAGTGTGGGACTCTCTGGTGGTGTATCGCCAGCCGCACTGCCACCGGAACTACCGCCCACGGCAATATGTTGCAGCGAATGTTTCTTGGTCACGCTCTTAAAGGGCGCGCCTAGTTTTCGTGGACCGCGAGGCGATGCTGAGCTAATGCTGCTATTGGAATTGGCCTCCATGGCTGCCGTGGAGCCAGCTGAGACAGAGGGCGCTATGCCCAGCGCTGGGCCCGCATCAATGGACGCTTGTACCCATCCTGCAAGCAAATCATTTGTAATCAATAAACAGATTCAAAACTTGAATGGCACTCGGAAATACCTTTGACGGAGGCGCGATTATGATCAATCAACGCGGCGGCTAGAGGTGCGGCCGAACTGCTCGCATTCGATTCACGCAATGTGCTTAGTATGGACACCGGCATGGGATTGTAAATGCGGCTGGCAAAGTCCTCGAATGTGGTGCTTTCCTTGTACCGTGACGAGACGCTTTCCAGCGAACGATTACGCTCCTCATAGCTAGCGAAAGAGCATTGGTCATTGAAGGCTATTCTAAAGTCAATTCGAGGTTCTACTCACAATTGCTGGTAGAGCGGCAGGGCGGCGCGCTTGGTGCGACTCGCGTTGATGGCCGTGGCGCGTATGAGCGTGGCCAGGCAGGCGCCACTGACAACGCTCTCATTGGCAAGCGGCCCAAACCATGGCACCTCCGGCTTACGATTGACCGTCACACGAAACAGACCATTGCGCAGCGGATACACAACGATAAGCACATCGCAGAACTCTGTGGGCAGTATGTCGCGTCTGTAGTCGCGATGATGTTCGCTCCAGACAATGTGCACCTCATCGTTGCCCAGATGACGTGTCTTCAGCAGCATTGCCTCCGACGAGTCCGAGGGCATGCGCGTTGCCACATGGTAGACAACCTCCAAGAAGGGCGTGGCATAATAGGGCGCCGTGGCGCCACAGCCCTGACGCGGCAAGCCGCCCAAAAAGCCATTATGCGTCTCCAGCTCTATCTCCCACCCAAGCGCCGAGACAAACATCTCGTACATGCTGCTGCCGTTTGTATTACGCAAGATGCTCGTCTTGTCCTCCTGCCCAGCGGCCACATAGATGACAGCCATTTTGTGCGTCTCGCGGCACTTCTGCAAGTCCACGTTGCGTAGCTCACGCAACAGCTTCTCGCTACGCTGCAGCAGATGTGTACGCGAGCGTCGCTCCCAGCCGGCCAGACCCAGATGGGCAAACAGCAGGCGACAGTATTGAAATGGTGTCTCCGCACGACCTGGCAAACTGCCAGCCCCGGTAAACGAGTCAAATGATGCGGATGCGCTCTGCAGCGACCGTTGATCCGCCTGCGGCAGCGATGAACTGGAGCCCGCATGCCGCAAACCGGCAGCCGTGAGCGGCTGCTGGGCCGAGTGAGCCACAAACTCCTGCTCCAGCACACGCTGATTGAGTATGACGGATATTGCCTGCGCCTCCTGGGCACTGCTCAACGGACTCAGGCTGGGCGCATTCAACTCGGAAATGGTGGGCGGCACGCACTCTGGACTGGTGTGGCCTATGTAGGCCAGCATATCGTCCAGCTGATCCAGGTCTGGCGCCACATCCTTGGCTAGCGGCAGCACTCCAGGTGGTCGATGTCGCAGCGTGTGTCGCGGCAGCTGCGGCTGCTGTTGAACGTGTAACGAGTCCATGGACTGGCACGCCTTGGCCAACGTCGACGGGCCATCGTAGCGCTCCGAGCTGTACTGTGCATGCGCTGGTGTTGGTATCGCATCGCCTTTGCGCGGCTCCGAGTACAGTATGGAGGCATCCCAGCAAGCTTTGCCATTTAGATCGCGCATCAGCACCCGCACCTGCTTTTCGGCAGTTACCAGACCGGCTGTAATGCCGCCACCTGGCAGCTTCAGCGTGGGCAGCTCTATGAAACTGGCCACGAGGCCCGTGTTGAGCATGAAGAGCTGCAGGTTCTGTGCGTTAACAACCGACGGGAGTTCCATAGAGTCGCGACGCTCCAGCTGACTGCCCGACTGACCGGCGCTGTTCACGCCATAAATATCATCCTGCTCCTCGACCATAGAGCTCAGCCGTGAGGCGCCGATGCCCATGGGAAAATGGCCCAGATGCGTGACCAGATGCATGGCAACGGCGCGAGCGCACAATCGAATCGCCGAGATGCAGGCCTGTATGGTCTCCGATGTTTGATAGGTGGCCTCCGGCAGGCGACCGTCACCCTGCAGATCATCGCTGGCAATGTGCATGTCGAAATCCTCATCCGAGGTCAGTTTGACGCGTTCGTGGCGCGGCGCACCCGATGCCACCTGAAGCAAGACCCTGAGCACTTGCAGCACCAGTGTGTCGCCCTGATCATTGTAGGGCGCCAGCATGAGAGCAGCTGGTATAGCCATGCAGAACTCGCCGAGGCAGAGCATCAGCGATGTCAGCACCACCTTGTCGGCATCCTTGGGCTTCGACACGTTCTGTATATCTAGAGCCCGGCACAGTGCCGTTATAATCAGGTGCGGCACACGCTCAATGGCTGCCAGCTGACGGCCACGCTCCGCGCACAGCTTCAGCGCATCCACAGCGATGACTGCGATGGTGTGATGTTTGAATTGTAGCGCCTGGAGGAGCACCTGCAGCACCTCACGTATGCGCGGATGAAAGCTTTGTGCGCTCGTATCCTTAGGCAGCACGTCCTTGGGATGCGGCACCGATTGCTGGAACTGGCCGCGCTGCTGCGCATTGCGTGTGGGCTGCGAGAGACGCAGCAGCAGCCACTGGCCCAGCTGGCAGAGCGCAATGCAACGCGCCTTCGCCGAGGGCTCGCGGCGCGCACAGCGGAGCATTATGTTGAGTATGTGATCCTGCAGATCGGGGCATTCCATCAGCTCAAACTGCTGCGCCGTCGGCTGCAGCACGGGTCGCGGCAACAGTGTGGCGGGATACGCCAACAGCGAGCCCAGCAGAGCAGCCACCTCAGCGCGAGGCGTGCTGGGCGTCACTTCCAGCGAGGTCAACAATATGGCGCTGGCATGCACCAGATCCAGCAGTAGGAGCGTGTGTCCGGGCAACAGAAGACTGAGCAAACGCGGTCCCTCCAAGTGCTTCATAATCGCATAGATCAGATCCCGATCCTCGCCCGTCAACAGCTGATGCAGTGCATGATAAAAGAGCGCCAGCTGCTGCATGCCAATGGCGCCTTGCAACGCCAAGGCGCAGAGCAACTGCAGCGCCCAGAGTTTGCCGCTTTTGAAGGAACGATCCAGGGTCAAGGCGCCGTAGCACCAAGGTGCCACAACACCAATGGGCGGCACCAAGGGCGGCGGTGGCGGCGTACTTTGGTTATCCGTTGAGATGCCTTGATTCTGCTTGATTTTGATTAGGTTCTGGGTCATCTCCAGCAGGTGCTTGAAGACCTGCGCATGCAGCTCCGCTTTGGGAATGCGATTCACATCGCCCAGGGCGCCCAGCATGCGCTTCCACATGATAGACGTAGAGTCGGGCAGCCAGCCAGTGGCTGTGCCACCGAGCATAATCGAGCGACGCTCCGAGCCGTAGTTGCCGGCGCCAAAGCTGCCCGAATTGCCATCTTCCAGACTGCCGGAGTCCGCGGCCAGCACATCGATGTGCAGCTGGGCATCCTTGATGGAGCCGCCCTCGATGCCGCTGCTGGCCGTCGGCGATGGACTGCGGGAGCCCGCGCCACTCTCAGTGTCCTCCACCTCAACCGCATCCTGATAGCCATCAACATCGTCGACGGCCTGCTGTGAGCCGCGACGTCGCCGACTCTTGCGTATGGGCGCCAACGAATCCAGCGACATGGCCCGACGCATATCCTGCCCACTGCTCGACGCCTCCAATCCCGAGCGTATGGCAGCCGTGGCATCCGTCTTCTGCGGCACAGGGCGTCGGCGGCGTATACGTGAATTGCGCGCCGCCGAGGCCAGGCTGCCCTCGCTGTAACTGCGACTGAGCATGGGCGTCAGTGGTACTGGGCGTACTCCGTGACCGGTGCCGCCATGGGATTGCGAGTGCTGATGCGTGCGATTGGCGGGCTGCAGCAACGGCGCTTGGTTGTTGCTGCCCGCCTGCGAGTTCTCGTCGGAACGACTGCTGTTGGACTCGGCGATGCTTTCGCGTTCGCGTTGTACGCTGGTGGCCACATGGGCTCGTGCGCCGGCGGCGCTGCCCGAGCCCTGCCAGACGCTGCCAATGCGCCGCCTCTTGCCCCGACTCTCGGCCACACGATCCAGTGGCAAGTCCAACAGATTAATGCCGTAGGTATAGCGCGAGAAGACGCGTGTCAGCGTCTGTATCGTTTTGCTCCATTCGACAATGAGCTCCTCGCGATGCGTCAGCGATTGAAGCACGGTGAGAAACTTCTCCCAGAGCATCACATTCACTGGCACATTGGTGTGTGCCCGTATCCAGGTGACGATCAGCGTTTGAAATATGGCTGAGCCGAGTATGCCGCCCAAGCTGGCGCTCTTCGAGCCACTGGGCGGCGGATTCTGATGCAGCACTACGGACGTTACCTGCAGCAAAACCAGCAGCATCTGTTCCCATGTGCGCGACTCCATGCGTGTGTTCATCACCATGGTCCGATAGACATTCAGCACCTTCTTGCATATTTCGGTCTGCTCCTGCAGCGGCGTCGATCGATAGTCACGTGAGCGTGTGGGAAAGCATATATTCAGGTTCGCAGTGTTCACAAGGAACACGTTCGCCGCGTTGGTGACAAACACTTGCAGGACATTCTGCATGCCCGCGCGCAATACCTGCTGCTGCTCCTTGTTGCCCTGCATGGCGCCCACATAGGAAGGTGTTCGTAGGCGCTGGCTACGTGGCGTGCCGCCTGCATTGCTGAGGCTTGTTGGAGCCGTTGACGGTGCGCCCTGTTCATCATTTGGCTCCAGCAGGAACGGTGGCGGCGTTGTGCCCGTCATCCAATCCCGATAGACAGCAATGGCCGTTCGTATAGCCTCGATTTGCGCCTTTGATGTGAAGTTAAGCAGAAACGCCTGGCGATAGACCTCGTGCACAAAGTTGATGTTCTCGCGGCTCACATAGAACACATCGCGCACAATAAGGCCCTGCTGATAGCCCAGAAGCCGGGCATGATCCACACCTTCAATGTGCAGGGCGCAGTCCAAGCGATGGCTGAGCAGGCGCTCGTGCGTAAAGCGTGAAACCCAATTGATAAGCACCACCACACAGGAGGCCATGACCTCCTCCTTCTTGTGTATTGAACGCATGACGGGCATCTCCAGACGTGGATTATAAATCGAGGTGGTCGCATCAAAGCTGGGCGAGAACACGGGCAGAAACACCTCCTTGAAGCGTTGCAGCAGAAATGCAAACGCTTTATGATCTTTCTGCGTACGATTGTCGCGCCAGCGCAGACACGCAGCTGTTTGCACCATGCTATTGAGCAGGACTTCTAGACCGTCGCGTGGATCTGGCGGTGCGGACTTCTCGCTGGACGAAGGCGGCAGCAAGGCCACAACCTCGGAGCTCTGCACGGGATGCGAGAACGTATTATCATGGAAAACGGAGGCCATGCCTCCATCTGCTTTCATATTGGGATGCGAGAGAAAATCCGAGGCACTGAACTCCGTATCGGGGCCCACCATGCCCTTCTGCGGCACAATGAGGCCGGGTATAAGGTCCGCATACATGGCGTGCACATAGCCAGGCGCATTGTCGCCCAATGTCTGGTACCAGAGCAGAAAGTATCTGAAAGTTGGAGGGTATCTTATAAGCATATAAAGTCCCTTAAGCATTTCATCTTGAATACTTACTTCACACCCTCGCGACGCAGCTTGGGCGAGTTGCCCAAATGGAGCAGCTTCGCCATGATTCTGCTGAGCGAGTGGCATTGCCAGCGTCGAGCCAACAGCTCCGGCAGCAGGCACAGTATCTTCTCCAACAGCCATAGCGAGCCATCCAGTTCCTCGCGATGCGCCTTGTGCACTGCATTGAGATAAACGAAATTATTCAATTAAAGAGTTAATCTTGGCAAGAATATCTGTAGAAGCAATCCATCAGAGAATCCTAAACAAGCACATGCCACAAGGTCAAGGACGAGCACAAAATGCAAGAGAGCGAGAGTGCGAGAGAGACAAAGCGAGTAAGTTGTAAGTGCTATAATGAATCTTTTCTAATTCAGATACATTTCAATAAGGCTTACAAAGCTTAAAATATTTATATGCCTGAAACAAATGAAAATGGAACAGATTTATACATTTTCAGCAAGTGTTTCTTCATTAATTAAACAAAATTATAATACGCCATAAATAAACACTGAAATATCCTTCATAAATTAAATGAAACGAATGAAAATGGAACAGATTACTAAATTTTCTGCAAGGACTACATTAATTAAAGAAAACTATAATACGTCATAATGAGCGCTGAAATATCCATCTCAATGTATATGGAACGAATGAAAATGGAACAGACTTTTACATTTTCGACATCGATTTCTTCATAAATTAAACAAAATTATAGTCGCCATAATGAATGCTGAAATATCCGTCATAATTTACATGGAACTATTGAAAATGGAACAGATGCTTACATTTTTTGCATAGATTTCATTATTTATAAAATAAATTAGTTTCTAATATTGCAAAAAGTAATAAAAAAATGATGAAGTGGAACACATTTGCATATTATAAAAAAAAAATAAAACAAAATTCATTTACATTCGGGATACGCTTAGTCAAAAAATTAGTATTAGGAAAAGTGGAATGGCACAAGATTTATGGAATGTTGGAATGTACACGACTGTATAATATAAATAAATAAAATGTCATTTCTAATTCTAGTTGTTTCGACGCATGTAAAGTAAAATGGCATATTTATAGTGACTTATTCATACACCTAATGGAATGCTGGAATTGAACAAAGTGTTAAATCAAAAATAAATGGCACATCATTTTCATTGCCCATTTATAGATTATCTACATAATGCATATGCCCCAAGGAATGCTGGAATGAAACAGGCTCTGTTACGCTAGCGAAATATATGGCACCTTAATGAGCTCTGTTAACGCGGTAAAAACGAAGAGGAAAGGAATTAGAGAAATGTACAGAAAATATAGTAAACAATGTGGTAGATAGATAGATAGACTTAAGATCAAAGCAATGTCGCAATGTGATTAATTACTGAATCAAGTCAATAAGAGACCACGCCGCAAACTTACCAATGTGAAACGGAAGTTCTGCCGGTTAAGGTATACAAAAGAGAGGGCAAAAAAAATTTAAAACGAATTGAATGTAAAGAATTTTATATCAAATTTATGTTATGCATTATAATTTTTCGTTTTGTTTTTGGGACTAAAAGGTATAAACAAATTTATATATTTATCTGAGTGTGTATATCTATGTGGGTGCGTGTGTGTGTGTGTTTGTAGATAAAAGACACAAACAAGAAGCAACCATTAATTTAAACGCGGTTGGCTTTTCTAATTGGTAGAAAGAAGATTAACAAATTAGAACGGACCAAAAGAAATGAATATGCAAATAAATAAAAGTGCTCTAGTCGGATGTGCTCGACTAGCTGATACCCCGTACACACATATAAAATATTACTTGAATAAATTTACACGTTTAATATGTTTACGACCTTTGATATTAGCTTAAAAGAAAGTCGTCGGAATATCGCAATTTATCGATATGAACTGATATATCGATACAGAAAGAAATCGGATCCCTAACTTTATCAGGCTATACATATTTGCAAATCTTTTATACACTTCAGATCTTGCTAATTACATTGGGTACAGGGTAGATTAAAAAACCAGAAAACTTTTTTTGTTTAGTTTCACTATAGTTAATTACCTTTTTGTTTAAGATTGGCCTCGGCCTGAATAAAGGTATCGTAGAGTATGAAATAGACATGGCTATAATTTGTCTCGAACAGCGACTTTGACTCCTCATAATCCACATTATCTGCAAAAGAGAGAAGGCATTTATATACAATGTTAGCATATGGTATAATATAATATAATCCAAGTAACCCAATTCCCACTCAGGTGATAAGCACAGAATGCTTCCTGCATGGGCAACAGGTGACGCAACATTGTCCACACTGATTGGCACCTGAAAACAAAGCGCCCGCATATGCAAGTGTGCCGATAACGATAGATTTATATATATATATATATATATATGTGTGTATCGTATATGACCAGTCGACTTCCATAATTAAGTTCTGCTGCAGACTCGAGAAAAGAAAAATCAAACATGACAAATGAGCAAAAACCGCAGAAGCGGGTTCAAAAAATGCGTTGAAAAACATTTGATGAATCAGTCTCAGAGTGTTTAAGGGGGAAAAAGCGAGGGGTACAGCGAGAGAGAGACAGAGAGAGAGAGAGAAGAGACAGCCGCCGGCATAGCTGTCATCAGCGAAACGCTGCAAAACAGAAGAAAGCTAAACGTTGAGCGGAAAGAGTAGGCCAAGAAACCTTTAAAACTGGTTTCATAGAAGGCCAAATATGAAACGCTAGTTGTTGATAAACTTACAAACAATTGGGAAAAAAGAACTAGCTACGTGTTGGTGTATGTGAGTGTGGCACAGACTGCGTGTAATTTGCCAAGCAAGAGCAACAATAACAATGGAGTCGAGCGGGTGGGCAAGCACCTGTTGGGTGGTTTTTCAAAATATCTGCGTTCAATGACACAAAAAGAAAGTTACACAGCTACATACATATGCCTGCGATGTATTTGTGAGAGTGTGTGTACATATGTAACATATATATTGCAGCCATGCTTTTTTTTTCTTTTTTGGCTAGTATTGAAATTAAAGCAACAAAGTTGCCACTCAGTCAACAGTTGCAGCCAGTTGGTAAGCGCCATAATAATTGTGTGTGGCGCGTTTATCATTTGACGTTTTTCACACATTGTGAGTTATGAATATGTATGCAAGCGTGTATACATATATGGTATTCGTGTGTGTGTATGTTTCTGTTTTGCATGCATTGAAACGACGTTGATATTGAGCCATGATTTTTAACATTACAGTGTGAGTAGAAGTAGAAGTAAAAGTAGTAATAGTCGTAGTAGTAGTAGTAGTAGCAGTAGTAGTATAAGTGTCTTTCTATATATAAACAAGTGTGTGTGTAACTATTTCCGTTTTGCATACATAATTATGATTGCCATTTGTTACGTTATGCTGACATTAAGATAAGAGTAATTAAAATGTGAATATAAGAAGTCATAGAACAAGTACGGAGTATAAGTGTTTTCTTTAGTACAAGTACGTAGGCATGTTTATGTTATGTGTGTGTGTGAGTATTTTGTTTACATCAGTGTTAGAACAAAACAACAAAATACTGGAAGAGTGTATATGTGTGCTTGTATGTCTTCCATTGTGATTCCAACAGGAAATAGCGTTAAGCACTGTGGGCCGCTGCTATTTAAATAATAATCTACATTTGTCGTTAAATATTTACCACACTTAAATATCAACGACCATGGCCAAACGCCCACCTGTCCAGCCAAAAGAAACAATAAATGCAAACATACGTACACATACATTTGTATATACCAATATACAACTCGTTTTCCTTGGCGTTCGCTTACAATTTATTAAATAATTTATAGAGAGGCGTTAATTTGACATTAAACTACATTACCTAATATTGTGCGCAGGTGGCGTAGGCGGGAGGCGGAATCCTTTTTGCAATCCTGCAACTTGGCCGTCGACTTTTTAACATCGGCATGCGATTTCTTGGTAAACATTTTTGCACTTTTGCGTTTCTTATAATTAATATTTGCACACAAACATTCTTAAGCTAATTCGTTTGATTTCGTTGCTGAACAACATAAACACACCGACACACTGGCACATTCATATGCATATAAATATATATATATATATTTATATGCGTGTATATGAGTGTATATACTTTCTTTTCGCACTTTGTCCAGCGGAGCGCCAGATGGGAGAAAGAGAGCCCCCGGAGAAACTATTAGCATCGACCAACCAACCGACCGACCAAGCAATCATCCGTTGACGTTGCTTGTGGCTGCGCTGCTGCTGCTCGTGCTTCTGCTTCTGCTACTGCTACTGCTGCTGCTTTTCGCAGTTCGTTGTAAATTTTTTGCTTTTATTTCATGTCTACACATTCGCTCTCCCAGCAGCCAATTGCACAGTTGAATTGCAGTTGAATTCAATCATTTTTATTAAATATATCGTTTCACTGCACATTATTACATACTTTGTGCTGCAGCACGAACACAGGAGGGCAGGTTTAATATGTTTTTACGAAATTAAAATTCATCTGCGACGCGTTTTTTTGTGGACTAAAAAAATTCGGCCAATCAACCAGGTGGAATGTTATTTAACAGCTTTTTTACAGAGACAGTCTATTAACATGTGATTAGCTGTTATTAACATACACCGATATTTAACCAGTATGTTTTCTTTTTAATTCAACATGCCATGGCTTCATATTTAGTGGAATATTAAAAGAGTTGCTCGAGTATTTTCACAAACACCTTTGCATAAAACATTTGAGCTTTGAGTCATTAAATCATTAAAGTAAGCAATATTAAGTAAAACAGAAGCTGAGAATACTATCGTTTTCAGTGTTATTATGTTAAATTCCGATGATTTAACATATCGATGTTTTAAATTATTACCGATATGATCTCTTGTATCTTATACTTCTGTAAAACTATCGGAAACTCTCTCAACTGACAATATAATTCAAATAAAATTTTAAGCAATAAAAATGTTGCCATAATTATTCAGACGAAAATATGTAAGTAAATTAAAAGGAAAACTGACTGAAAATGTAGGACTCAATTTCATCTTACAATTCTCTGCTGACTTTTACTTCCACAACTTCTGTCCAGTATAAGACACGAGCTTTTCTTTCCCAAGCGGTTGGGCAACCTCGATTAAGCTGCCATTTTCAAAGTTGTGCTGAGCTCATTGCTTTCCCTTATATTTCAAACGTCAAAATCGTTAAACGTGATTTGCAGTTTCAAGTCCGGTGAACGATTCAAATTTAACTCCAATCGAAATTATAAACATGTCAGCTACGGCAAGTGATGCAAATGAGCGCCTCACTGCGTTAACCAGCTATCGCACCAAGCTCCTGGAACATCGCGAAATCGAATCACGTTTGAAATCCCTGCGTGACAAGCACAAGGAGCTGCAATTGGAGTTCCAAAAGTCTGAGGATGATCTGAAGGCACTCCAAAGCGTAGGCCAAATGTTGGGCGAGGTGCTCAAACAGCTGACGCCAGACAACTTTATTGTGAAGTCCGCCAATGGACCACGCTATGTGGTCGGATGTCGTCGTCAGCTGAACAAGTTGAAGCTGAAGCCCGGCACCCGTGTCGCTCTCGATATGACTACGCTCACCATTATGCGGTATCTGCCGCGTGAAGTCGATCCCCAGGTGTACAACATGACGCATGAGGATCCTGGCAATGTTGACTACTCTGCAATTGGCGGCCTGGGTGACCAGATCCGTGAGCTGCGAGAGGTCATCGAGCTGCCACTCATGAATCCAGAGCTCTTCATACGCGTTGGCATCAATCCGCCCAAGGGATGCCTACTCTATGGTCCACCTGGCACCGGCAAAACGCTGCTGGCACGCGCCATTGCCTCCCAGCTGGATGCAAACTTTTTAAAGGTCGTCTCCTCGGCCATCGTGGACAAGTATATAGGGGAGAGCGCTCGACTGATACGTGAAATGTTTTCCTATGCACGCGACCATCAGCCGTGCATCATATTCATGGACGAGATTGATGCCATTGGCGGGCGGCGCTTCTCGGAGGGCACCTCCGCTGATCGTGAAATACAGCGCACTCTGATGGAGCTACTGAATCAAATGGACGGCTTTGATGCACTGGGTCAGGTCAAAATTATAATGGCCACCAATCGTCCGGATACTTTGGATCCGGCTCTGCTGCGCCCTGGACGCTTGGATCGCAAGCTGGAAATCCCGCTGCCCAATGAGATAGCTCGCCTGGATATACTGAAGATCCATGCAGCACCGCTAAGCAAGCAGGGCGAGATCGACTACGAGGCCGTGGTCAAACTCTCGGACATGTTCAATGGCGCCGATCTGCGCAACATCTGCACCGAGGCGGGCTTGTTTGCTCTACGCGAGGATCGCGAATACGTCATCCACGAGGACTTCATGAAGGCCGTGCGCAAAACGGCGGACAACAAAAAGCTGGAGACCAAGCTGGAGTACAAGCCGCTTTAAAATCATCAAATTACATTTATAATTATAAATGTCAAATGTCAAATATAATTTATTTATTTATAAACTTCAGTCGATTTCGATTTTGAAACGATGGTATGTGAATTGGCATTTGTTTGAGATAATTTATATAGATATTTCTGAGTCGATTTACGATGGAGTCGAGTAGTTGATGAAATGCATGTTTATGTAGATATAAATAGGTTTAGGATATAGAAAAGCTAAGCTTGAGTTTGGTTTATCTAAACTATGGAAATTAGATTTTTATAAGTTATATGTGAATAGAGTTCACTGTCAAGCGTGGAAAATGTGTGAAAGGGTAATACATTTTATGGAACATACACTTTGGGCTTAACAATTAAATACAATGAAAGTATTATATTATATATTATAGGCAAGTTTTAACTTAAAGAAAGAAGCCAAAATAAATTTTTTACTAAAGTAAAATACACTTACATTTGTGGAAAATGGGTGGAAGGAAGAATGAATAAGAAGCTAACTTAGTTTCAATTCTAATTCTCACTAAATTAGGAAAAATTCACTAAAAAATGAGTGAAAAAGTGCTTGAATGATGGTCAAGAATTCAATTTTCATCATAAACTAACTCAATTGATACACAAATAAATAAAGTTAGCTGTTAGCTGTTATTCAAATTCACATAAATCCACCCGTGAGTGGAACTTAGATGAGAATACAGTTACATTAAAACCTTAGTGTTAGCTGCCTTAAACGACTAATAGCCAACGTTCATTTGATACGATTTAAATACAAATTTAGCCTTAATTTGTTAAGTGCTTTTATGATTTGGAGCTGAGCGATAAGGAAGCCGCCCTCATTGGCGGGCGGCTCGCTTTTGGACTCAGTAACATGCGGCGACTGAAGACGGCAATACGTAGGATCTGTGTGCTCTGGCGAATATCCAGACGATGGGTCAACTCTTTGACGGGCAGCCAGGTGGTGCTCATCTCTGTGGTTATTTTGATAGCACAAAATATTGTTTACGGCATATTTCCATGTCGCTTTCAATTCAAGCGTAAAAAGTTCGTGTTTTGCTTGCCTCTGGCCGGTTATGGCTTGACTGTGGCCACGTTGTTTGGCGCCTACTACGGACATCACGTTTGGCAGGCGTACACTGAGAAGCAAATCAATTTGCGCGATCCCATCCAGATTTATAGCTACATGTTTGCGTGCGCGGCTGTCTTCAACTATGTGACGCAATGGGCCATGGTTCCGGACATCTTACGCTTTCAGAATAGTTTGGATTTGTTTAAGACCATGGAGTACTTCCGTCTCACGCTGGGTGTTATGGCGCGTTCGACAGTTTTGGCTGGCGTCAAAATGTTTGGCTGCCCGCTGGTGATGCAGCTGACGCTGATCATATACCAGAAGTACACGCATCCGGAGCTTAGCTGGATAAGATCGAGTCACATAATGCTGCCCATCTATTTGGGCAATCAGCTGAACAATTGCTTCTTTGGCGGCATCGTGGTGACCAGATGTGTGCTCATCGAGATCAATAAGCGTCTCCGTGAGATTCTGCTGGAGGTGAACAGACTGCAGACTCCATTGGAGCTGCTGCTGCACAAGCCCTACTATCGCATGCAACGCTTCTGTGACCTGGCCGATCGACTGGATGAGCTGACGAGCAAATACGCTCTTTCCACTGCCTACTCTATGGAGTACTTGGACCTGACTGCCTTCTCGCTGGTCACATATATGGCCATCTGTCTGACTAGCACTACACTGGGCATCTACACGCAATATCAGGCCGTTGCCGATTATCTAATGCTGGATATATCATACGATATATATCAAGCCTTGGCGCATTTCGTATTTCTCGTTATTCCCATGGCGGATATTTATTTGCTGGCGCGAGTCTGTCAGCAGGTGATAGATGAGGTTAGTATTAGTGTCTTCTTTATATATTATATATACCATAAACAAAGTTTTCTCTTTATCAGGCCAATGAAACGGGTAACTTGCTGCAGCGCATTAACTTGCAGCACTCAGATGTTCGCTTCAATCAAGTTGTTGATGCATTGTGGCTGGAAGTAAAGACAATTAAATACAAATTGGAACCAATGGGTCTGCTAGAGCTGGATGGATCGCTGATCAATATGATATTCTCAACCGTCGCTGGATTTCTATTGTTTCTCATACAAAACGATCTGACGCAAAGATTTTCGCTTAAATAAGTAGAAAAAACGTTATTTATATCGTATTGGTCTATCGATAACACTTACTTTCTGCCGTGGCGGATTTTCGATAACTCAACACTTTATGTGTACAACGAACATATGATTGTAAATAAACCATTAAAATGTACTAAGTTTCGCATTTTATTTAATTTTATATAATTATTAAAGTAACCATCTAAATTAAAAGTTAAAGAATGGCGCGTATTACATGGCGTACAACTTTTACTCAGAATCTAGTGTAAGTATAGAGCAGGATATTTGATTGATTTTGTCTTTTTAATAATTTGCTGTTTTGCCGGCAGCTCGAAATCGCGACTACGCTGGAGCTATATGAAGCATTGCTGGCATTCGCTTACGTTTAATGCTCATATGAATTCCAGCTATGCTACAGACGTTTGCTTGACGCCTATTTTCTGGATTGTAGATAACTATACAAACTGCTTAGGCCCAGTAAGTATTTGGCTGGCCTATATTGCGCTGGTTACAGGATATACACTGGTAGCGGGTATACACCTTTTATCATGGAATATGTAACACTTTGAAGTAGTAACTTCTGATTTGTATATATTCACTAATTACAGTAATATATCGATATGGTGTCAGTATTGTGTATAGCAAAGCTAATCCTTTACCCTTCAGTTCTTCGTTGTAGGCACTGCCATTTTAACCACTGCCATAGTGTCCATTGCCTATTGGATTGGCTTCCCCTTTTGGTGGGCCAAGAGCCAAGCAGTAACCGTACTGCTGCTCATAGTAGGCAATTGGCTGCTGCTGAACATCATTTTTCATTATGTGATGGGTGTGATGACCCCAGCTGGTCATCCAGCTGAAGGTGTTGCCCATGTCGAGGCTGTGAGCATGTGCAGCAAATGCATCTCCCCAAAGCCTCCACGCACGCATCACTGTTCCATTTGCAATCGCTGCATCTTAAAAATGGATCATCATTGTCGTGCGTATAGACATCATTTGAGCTAACATCGAATAACAAATATTCCGTTTCAGCCTGGCTTAATAACTGCGTTGGCTTTGCCAATCATCGCTACTTCTTCCTCTACATGGTCTACACCACACTCGGCTGCCTCTTCCTTATTGTGGCTGGCGTGGAGATTGGCTACAAGTATCTTTGGCTGGATCACAGCGAGCACTGGACAGAGCTGGAACCTCTCGAGGGTCATCCAGTGAAATTCAATCAGAGTGGACATGTTATAGCTGTTGTAAGATTCGACATGGATTATATAGAATATTTATGATATATGTGTATCCACCTAACAGAAGCATCCGCATGAATACGATGACATTTTGATGCCGGCAGCTGTGCATCATTTGCCCACGCCCATGGCAGAGTCGCCCGATGCCACGCCCACACGACGACGTGTCTTATGGTTTATGGCTGTGATCAATGTGGCAGTGGTCCTTGCCTTGGGAAGCCTGTGCATCTGGCATGCGAAGCTAATCACGCGCGGCGAGACAAGCATCGAGGCGCACATTAACGAGGCTGAACGCAAGCGTTTTCAGAAACAAAATCGAGTCTATATAAATCCCTATAACTTTGGCCCCAAAAAGAATTGGAAACTGTTTCTGGGCCTTGTGCGTGGCAGGTAAAACAAATGAGATTTTGCACACCTTGCCTGCTCTAACTACTCATTCTATATTTTAGATCATTTTGGCGCACCGTGCTGCTGCCCTCGTGGCACAAACCGGAGGGCGATGGTCTTAGTTTTCACACTGTGCACGATGCACCCTTCGAGGACGAGTGGCCATAGTCCGTGGCCTGCGCTTGAGCGCAGGATTCGAAGCTTTTGTGATGTCAAATTAGAGAAAATATAATTTTAATTTAGGTTTAAGTCTGGCAATTCCATAAGCTAAGCATTAACTATGTAGTGCAGTCCGCGTTTCCATAGAGATGTAGAAATATATATATGTACGCAAGAACTCAATAAATATTGTAACATCGTCCATACCTGTTGATTGGCCACGTTGCTAGGGCGTCTTGTGCCGGTATGGCAACTTGTTGCCAGGACGCCAAAGTTGCGGCTTCCGGTTTAGTCGATACGAACAGCTCAGTTGAAGAGGAGCCAAAGCATAGGCAAGATGTCCAAAGCTTCTGGATCAGAGGATGAGCCGCTAGTGCCGGATGATTTTGACGATGACTTCTACAGGGAGCTGTGCGAGAAGATACCCGAAGTAAGTCCGCGCCTTAGCATAATCCTTGATTCCATTAATCAATTCATTAAACAACTCGTAGGCAACCAAGGCGCTGCGTCAGAAGGATACGCCAAACAATGCGGACAACGTGCAGCGTCTAGTCATCTGCGGCACGCGCTACAAAAGTGATCTGCGCTTGGAGGAGGGCCGCACCCAGGAGCTGCGCGAGCAAATAGCCGACCTCGAGCAGCAGCTGGAAAATGCGGCGCAGCAAAGCAAATTGGACTTGGCCACCATTGAGCAGCTGCGTGGAGTTATAGGTGAGTGAGAGCACAGGTAGAAGATTCTGTATGATTTTCGAATTGTCCGCCTAGAGGGTGCCTGGAAGCAGAAGGATGCCTCGCAGATACGCGAGCAGTCGGCACAGGATGAGGTGTTGAGTCTGCGCCAGAAACTGGATGCGGCCGAGAAAATGATCGAACATCTCAATGAAAAGGGACGCTCCAGGAGCAGCAGGCGCGATGACAACAAGGAGTGCGAGCGACTCAACGACGAGATCAAAGAGCTGAACAAACGTCTGCAGCTGCAGCGCGCCTATGCAGCCGAGGTGGAGGAGACCATTCAGACGCTGGAGGGCAGGAACAAGGAGCTGCTCAAGCTGCTGGATGTAAGTGCAATGAACAATGAAACCAACAGTTGCTCACTGGTTTTCCTTAAAGGAAACCTCCAGCGATGCGTGCAACTTGAAGCGCAAGAGCGATGCGCTGTCCAAGGATCTGGCCACCATGAAAAGCGAGGAGACAAAGTACTTGGAGCAAATAGCACACATCAAGGCGAACAACGAGCATCTGACCAAGGTCAAGGTGCGCCAGAATCTGCAAATACTCTCGCTGAAGACCAACATGGAGCACCTCAACACGCTGCACAACAGCACCTGCAACAAGCTGGCCAAGATTACCGTCGATCTGGAGTACACGGTGCAGGAGCGGGACAAAAACAAACGCGCGCTAAATCATCGCATCAATCTGTTGAAGACGCGCGAGGATGAGCTCATCAAGCTGCGAAAGGAGAATGCCAAGTTGGCCAAGTCGCAGGAGGCTATTGCACGCAAATATGGAGGCCTGGAGATGTCCAAGCAGGAGGTGGAGCAGGAGAACCTGCGGCTCAAGTGAGTCTTATGCCTTCCCCTTCCCCTTCAGAGTTTAATTGAAATGCCTTGCAGAACCCAGATGGGCACTCAGGATAAGGAGCTGGAGTCCATGCGCCGTGTGGTGCATCATTTCGAGAAGAACAGCGAAAACCTGACCAAGGAGCGAGATGTGCTGAAGCGGGATCTGCACAGCGAGCATCAGTGCGTCGAGCAGCAGAGCGCGCTCTACCAGGAGTCGCAGCACGAGGTGCGCGCGCTCAAGGACATCGTCAGCAGCACCGACCTCAAGCTGAAAAAGCTGCAGGAGGAGCTGAAGAAGCAAAAGAAGGACAAGGCCAAGAAGCTGGACGAGATTCAGCATGGCATCGACAAGATCGATCTGCTGCAGAGTAAGTGACCTGGTTCCAAGCAGTGCCTTTGGCTTAGGATCTACTATTTGCAGATGAGATCCACCTGAAGGAGAACTACGAGATCGAGCTGAAGCGCACGATTAGCGATCTGGAGGCCAAGTGCTTGAAGTTCCAGCAGCAGCACGATCTGCTCACCAGCGAGCGGCAGGGCCTGCAGCGCTCGCTGCAAGCCGCCGACGAGGAGCGCCAGAAGCTGCGGGATCAACTGGGTAATCTGCAGGCGCAGATCGAGACGCTCAAGGGCAAGATCAGCTATCGGGATGGGGAGCTGGGCAAGCTGCAGCTGCAAATCGATCGCATGGAGAAGGAGCGCCGGCTGCTGCGCAACGATGTGCGCCACGCCCAGCTGGGTCAGCAGCACACCAAGGCGGAGCTGCTGGACAAGCGCAAGGAGATCGACCGGCATGCCAAGTCGCTGCAGGAGGACGAGCAGCGTTTTGCTCGCCTGCGCAAGGATGTGGACAATCTGATGAACGAGAAGAACTCCATTAGTGCGGCGCTAACGAAGCGCAACGAGGAGTACGCCCGACTCCAGCACAATCTAGAGAACCTGCAGACCGCCTACGATCAGACGGAGCGACAGTGCAACCAGTGCCAGGACGACATGCGGCTGATGGGCGTTGAGATCAAGAATCTGCGCACCGAACGCAACGTGCTGCGCGCCGATCGTGAAAGTGCCGCCGATCTGCGCCAGGAGCTGCTCCAAATGCAGCGCCTGCTGAACCAGGAACGCATCAAGGCACGCGCCCTGCAGGACGAAATGATGACGCCCATGAACGTGCACCGCTGGCGCCTGCTGCGCGGCAAGGACCCCGAGAAAATGGACCTGCTCGAACGCATTCACATCCTGCGCAAGCAGCTGCTCAGCCAGAATGTCGCCGCCCTGGAGCAGGAGCGGGCCCTGAATGAGGCTCAGCAGCTCTACACGGCGCTCAAGGAGTTCATGCTTAAGCTGCCCAGCCACCGCGTCCAAGCGCAGCTCAACACAGTCAAGGTGAGCTCCCCCTAATGCCATCAACGCGCTCGTATTAAAAAAAATATAATTTAATCTTTGAAGATAAAAGTTTACGAATCTTTTCATATTTCTCGTCTGCTCTTTTCAGGCCAGCCTCTCGGCCAAGGATCGCAAGCTGAAGGTGCTGATGGCCGAGCTGAGTGCCAGGGAGGCGGGCGAGCGCTGCAATGCCCAGCAGCTGGTGGAGCTGCGCGGCAGCCTGGCGCAGACGAGGGCACAGCTGCTGGAGGAGAAGCGGCGCAAGCAGAAGCTGCTCGAGGAGCGACAACTGCTGGAGCAGATGCAGGCGCATTGCTACTCGGCGCCCGCCCAGCTGCCGCGCACCCTGGGCGCCGGCTTCAAGGTGATCAGCCAGCTGCTCTAGAGGAGTCCATTGAATAAATGCGCATTAAGCAGTAGCATCAGCTGAGTTTTCCTTGTGGCACATGAGCTTATTGCTCAGCTCCTGAGCAGCAACAACTCTTGCTGTGTCCTCCAGCACTTTCCAATCACTGCTGGAGGACATTTGGAAGTGCTCGTCAACTTCCTGCGTCCCCCGGCCAATGGCTATGACGCCAAGCAGTGTGTCGACCACATTGTTCGGCTGCTGGCAGCACTCCTTTCTGATGACCTTGTTGTACTCGTTGATGATCATATCCCGCGAGTGCATGTCAATCTCGTTGATGGCCAGCTCCGCTTTCATGGCGCGCAGCTTGCGGCCCTGTCGCTGATTGATCCGCTGTTGCTTCCATAGCCGCTGCGCGATGCTGGGATCGGGCATACGCTCGACCTGCTTGCGGAACGAGTCGCATAGCTTCTGCATGTCCTCCACCTTGTGCTCCATATTCAAGCGCTCGACGCTCAGCTTGATGTTGTGCTTGAGCAGCACCTGGATCTTGCGTATCAGCTGGTATTTGGACGGATCTCGGCCGATTAGCAGACGCCAGCGATGTATGCGGCACGGATACTTCAGCTCCTCCGTGATCGCGGTCAGGTTCAAGCGCTCACGAACGAGCTGACGCTCGATCCGCACAACCTCGTGGCGCATGTTGGCCGTTTTGCTGACCGAGCGCTGCATGCAGGTGTTGGACATGCGCAGGTTGTTGATTTCGGTTTTGAGCAAACGTATATCCTCGACCCGCTGATTGTACTGGGTGGTGCCGCGGGTCATGGCCAACTGAATCATGGCCAGCTTCTCCCGCACGATGCTCAGCTCGCAGTTGCGCCGGACCAGCTGCTGGCCCACCACCATTTTCTCCTTGCTGTTCTCCTCCAGCGTGATGGCCATCTGCTTGAACCGCTTGGCGTCCTGATCGATGGTGCAGTGCATCTGCTCGTTGAGCACCTTCTGCTCGGCCAGCGCGGCATGCATCTGCTCCACCTGTCGCTCCTTGCCATGAATCTCGTTCTGCTTGTGCCTCAGCCGAGTGTCCAGCTGATCGATGTGCTTCTTCTGGAGGTTCATGTCCTTCTCGTTGTTGGCCACCTGCTGGCCGAACTGATTGATCTGAAAGATGAGCTTCGCATTGAGACTTTGCAGTTTCTGGCGTTCACGTCCGCACAGATCCATGCTCTTCTGCAACATCATCTTCTCGCTGTGCGCCACTTCCATTTGCTTTCGAGCCTTAATATAGATCTGATGCTTGGCCTCCAGCTGCTGGCTTAGATCCTCTATTTTCTCCGCCTTCTGAGCCACTTTCGCTAGAAATACGTGTGTGAGCAGCTGCTGTGTATGTCTGTCCAGTTTGTCCACTTACCCTCTAGTGCCTCGATCGTCCGGCTCAGCTCGCCGCTCTCCTGTTCAATTTCGTGCTTCTCCTTGTTGATTTTGTGTATCAGAATTTCCTTTTCATCTAGCCCCTTGTTGGCCCGATCGAGCATGAGTCGCGCGTCCTGCGTGCGGTAACGCTGGATCGACAGATCGTGCTGCAGCGTAGCATTCATGTCCGCCTGGTGCTTCAGATCCGTGTTCAATTTTATTTGCAACCGCTCGGCTGCCTCCTTCCCGAGCGTCATTTCGTTCAGTTTCGCATTCGCTCCCAACAGACTCTTCTCGAGTCCTGTCACCTCATTGCTGTGAACGGTTATACATGGAAGATGGAGAAGTTTGATTGATTGACTAGCTGAATTCCTAGCTAATGACTGATAGACTAACTGATTGATTGAATGACCGAATAGCTGTCTGCAAGATTAGTTGACGGACGAACTAAAAGACTAATTGACTAACTGATTGACTGATTGATTGGTTGCTTTGCAAGCCAATTCATTATTGATTGATGATGACTGCTTAACTGTGAGTAAGCCGTATATAATAACTAACTGGTTGATTGATTGATTGATTGATTGCTTACAAGCTGATTGACTGACACGACTTACTAATTGATTGATTGCTTGAATGTGGCAGATTCTCTCTCAGTAAGTCAAACAGAATTAAGTCAATCAGCCTGACTCACATGATGAATGTCAGTAAGATGTACAGAATGATAAGATGTTTGATTGATTGTCTCATAACTGATTGATTGATTAGCTGATTGATTTATTGCATGTCGAAGTGACACACTGCTTGACTGATTCACTGTATGTAGGACGGATAGACTGACTGATTGATGGAGTGTCAAACAGATTGATTGATTATCTTGTTGATAGACTGCTTAGACGAAGTAAAGCTATGAAATTGTTAGTCTACTAAAAGAGCTGCTGGACTGGGTTCCTTACTATGAGACTGTCTACTCGACGCTTGATTTACCTATCAACCAAGTGAATGACCACTAAACTGTCTATGACAACGATTGACTGATTGATAGAGAACTTCAATAGTGAAACTCACGTGAGCAACGCTTTATTCGAAATTAAGTTGGCATTCTTTTGGGACAGCTGAAGGAATCGTCGATTGAGCTGATTGAAGAGAAGATCTTTGGTTTTTCTTTCGCATTTCAGTTGACGAATCTCTTGACGAAATTCATTATTTTCGACCGTCAGCGATTTGTTGGCGGTCCTTAAAGCTGTCACTGTTGCAAGCCTGGCTTGAGACTCATCTGCGATGTGCAGATTGACTTTTTGCAAATTGTAATTCTCGTTGACGAGGTTCTCGATGACGTTCTTCAGACCACTGGCGACCGCTAGAGTCTCCTTGTATTTTGTCTCAAATGCATTTAACTCCTTGTTCCTGCTGGTAAGCAACTCCAGTTTCTTTCGCTGATTAATGATCTTTTCCCGCAGTTGCTCGAATGTTATACGATTCTCGCGCTCCACGTTGTATTTTTGGTTTTCAATCTGCTTCAGTTGCACATGTTGTTCTCTAAGCTTGGCCAAATTCTTTTCATTGACGGCTTCCACAGCAGCCGAATAGTAACGATTTTGTTCGAGTCGCTTCTGATGCTCCTTTAGCTCTCCGGCCAGGCGATCACGTTCCCGATAGACAAGGGCCCGCATTTGACGTTCCTTACTGAGTGGGAGAGGGTAAGCGTTATATGTTGGCTGAAGCTGGCGCTACTTACGGCTGACTCAAGTTGCTGTAGCTCTGGGTGGGAGATTGACCGTATTTAGATTCATAATCAATGTTATGTTCGGTCAACAGAGACTCTCGATATTCCGAAGCATCCGTAGTACGCCAAGCCTCTTCCAGTGCTACACGCAGCTCCTTCATCACAAACGACGATTCCGCAGATACTTCGAGGGCCAATTTCAGTCTTTCATTTGCGGCATTTACTGTATCCTCCAAATCCTGAACTACTTTCACTTTCTTGACGTAGTGCTCATGCAGCCGACCCACAATGTCGACGAATAGCTTCATCTTGCCGGCCACGAAGCTGTTCAGCGGCACCAGCTGCTGCACCAGGTCATAGGATACGTTAAAGAACTCTTCGTCCAGATCAACAATCAGATCCAATTGTGCCGCCTCGATGCTGTCGTTGAACCTGCTATTGCCCTCAATTTCTTTCCATACGTCCGATACTTCTTCATGGAGGACCTTCCTTTTCAAAAGCTTTTGATTCAACATTATCGCCGCCTACGCAATATGAAAGAACGTATAACTAACGCAACAGCAAAGACCCGTTAAATAACACAAAAGCACGAAAAAAAAAAAAATTAATTCGCTTAAGAACAAGTCAAATCGAACAGAATAAAAATGTAAACTGAATCTAGTCTCTAGAAATTATAGAACTAATTTTTATACTTTGACTTTTCTGTTAGTGAAGATATAAACAATTAAATTAAATACAAAAAGTTAAAAATAAAATTAAAAAAAAAATACTATTACAGTTTTAAGACTGTGGAGGAGTCTTAATATTTTTTTAGAAATAAAAAAATAAGAAAAATATTGAATTATGCCCCTTTTACTTTGTGAATGAGTATAATATTGTTTAAAAGAATTAAAAAATATAAAATAAATTTAAAATTAATTTTCTTTACAAGAGAAATGCCTCCCACAAGACACTTATCTATGCTCAACCTCAAATGAATGCCGAGCCAATAAGTTTTTTATTTTGTTTTATTGATTTAAGCAAAAATATGTTATATATATATTTATTTATTTATTAAATTCAATATAGTGGTTTTATTTATTTTTCAATTTATTAGTTTTTATTTCAAGTCAGAAAAATATATATATGTATATAGGCATATATGTATATTGTGTGTAAAACTGTGTTTTATAAGGGTTCAACTGAATTTTTTCGCTAGCTTAAAGAATTGTTTAACATAAAATGGATTTCGTATAAAGTAAGAACACAATAGCCGATATATACCGACTATAACGATTTACACGCCCTGCATATAAAGTAAATGTATTCGATTAAGCTGCGAACAGCTGAATCGTCAATGCATACAAGTTTTTGCGCTTTTCTCTACAGGGCATATAAATAACAATAAATCACAATAATGTTTTTTTTTTTTTTTGCAAATTTTTGCTAGAATTTATGTCTATTATTCTGCTCAGTTTGCTGCACATACTACAAAAATATATATACATTATATAATCTAGAATCTAGATCTTAAACGTGACAGAACGATTTCAATTAAAAAGCTACGATCCGTTGCGCAGTCCCAAAACCGAAAAAGATCTATTTGAAATGCAGGTCATTATCTGACATAGACATACATTCATGTGTGTGTGTGTGGGTGTGTGTTAAATGTTGCATTGATATATATGATATGAGCTGAAAGCATTTGTTTACAATTAGTATATATATGTATGCATATATATATATATATATATAGTTACATTGATAGTTGCGTATAATACATAGATCGAAGCTTTATTGTACAGTTTGGATAACGACTCTCGATTGGTCAATTTGTTAAAATAATCAATTTTTTCAGTTTTTTTAAATACATATATATAAGTTGTATACACGACAGTGTATAGTTAGTTATATATGTATATTTGTCGGATTCTTTTCTTATATGTGGAAATTGGATATCTTTTGCGCGTGTACATAAAGTATAAAAAACGAAAACAATTTCGACAACGATTGCGTTTCACAGTTTGCTTTTCTTTCCATTGGTCGGGCTCCAATTTTGGTGTGGGGCACATTTTTGGTCTCGGCGTTGGTGGCGCCAATGGCCACTCCTAAGAGGCGCTCGCTGCCTGCGGCCTGCTCGCCTGGCTGTGCGCCTGCGACGTCGGTGGCTGGCGTGCGGAGCGCACCTCACGCACATAGCATTCGCGGCAGACGCGCACAGCTTTGGTCAAACCATATTTGGGCAACGGGGCGGATGCATTGGAGCAGACACCGCAGAAGACGCCGCCGCAGTTGCGACAATGATGACGTCGCCGAAACGCAGTGAATGGCGTCTGGCAGGACATGCAACGCGGCGCCTTGCCATCGGGTATCCAAGCGGGAGGCGACATGGTGGTTGCTGTTGCAGCAGTTGTGGCTGCCAATGTCGATGTTGTGCCAATGGACGAGTTGCTGTGCAGCCGCCTTCGGCTGCCACTGCGCGTGCTTATGGGTGAATTGTGCTCCGAGCTGGAGCTGCTCGAGGAGGCGCTAGAAGGTGAATTGCTGCCGACAGAATTATTGCGTTGTCGCTGCATTTGTAGTTGCTGTTGAAGTTGTTGCTGCTGCTGTTGTTGTTGCTGCTGCTGTTGTTGTCGCTGTTCATCCTGTATCGTACCGCTGCTGGCTGCGTCCTGATCACCCAAGCTACGACTGCGCGCCACATGGCTGCGCGTCGTGGCATTGGAGCTGCTGTTATTATTGCCACTGGCCAAATCTATCGTATTGTTGCGCTGCATTGCTGCGCCCGCTGAATGCCGGGCAGCTGTGTTGCTATTGTTGAACACATTGTCCAGCTCCGGATTGACCTCCTCGGCTGAGTAAATGCTTTGATTGGAGCCGGCGCTTTCCTGTATCACATCATTTTCGGAGGCACGAAACTCGAATAGCTCCGATTCCTTTGTCTTTTCTGGTATATCAATGTCCTCGTCCTGTGACGAAGACATATTTATAAGGAACACGCTGCGCAATATCTGGCGCAGATCAGAGGCAAAGTTCGTCTGCAGCTGATCGGCAACGCCAGCAATGCAGACGAACAGACGATGCAGCAGATTCTCCGTGCTTCTGCAGAAGAAATTATATGGATTAGTCTCGGGAGACTTTCGAATATATACGAGCTGGCTACTCACTTGAACTTTAGGCGCGCCGTGGTGTTGCGCATGGCCAGCGACACATCGTCGGAGAACGACGAGGCATTACTGGTGTCAGCGCTGGCCGGGCTATGGTCTGCTGCTTGCTGTTCCACATTAACTGTGGACTCCCAATGCTCCTGGCTGCAACGTTTACGTGCGCTGCGATTTGTGCGATGTGGATGCGTCTGATGATGATGATGATGGTGATGATCTGCTGGCTGCAGCCGCTGCTGCTGTTGCTGCTGCTGCTGCTCCTGCTGATGATGATGATGGTGGCGATGATGATGGTGATGATGATGACTGCTGTGACTGTGCCGATGGCGATTGTTGTTGCTGCTGCTGCTGTTGCTGTTGCGTATTGACTGATTGCCATTTGGCGTCTTGATTGTCGTCTGCTGATTGCTGCTGGGCGTCTGCTCGTTCTCGCTGCTGCTGCTGGGCAAACGCAGACGCTGTAGTGTGCGTCGTGCCGCCAACATGGCAGCGCTCGTACTAGGCTCCTCCTGCAGCTGTTGCTGCTGTTGCGGGTCCTCCAGCTCCAGCTCTTCCTTCTGTTGCTGCTGCTGTCCCGTTGTCGCATTGCCAAACTCATCGTCTTCGCTGGCCACGAAGTTGTCCGTGAGTGGCAGCTGTTGCGGCTGAAACAGATTGCCCAGATTTGTATTGGGTATCAGATAGCCAGAGGCACAATCGGCAGCTGCCACAATCGCCTTCAATTGCGCCTCAATATACTCGTCCACTTCGCTGTCGCTATCATCGTTTAAATCGTCCTCATCGCTATCCAGCATGCCAACCTCCTCGTCTAAGCCCTCATCATCTTCATCGTAATCGCTCCAATTGGCTGGAGGATTTGTGGACGTTGTTGCCGCCGATGAAGTGGACGCTATGGAGTGCGAGGGCGTCGGCGAGGGCGCTGGCGAGGCTGTTGGTGTGCTGCCTGCTGACAGCGATATCATGGACGGAGAACGTGAGGTCGCCGGCTGGGCTGCACTCGCATTGCTACTGTTGTTGTTGTTGTTGTTGCGATGATCCACCAGGCGTTCCACGGCTTTGTGCGTGCCAGTTGTGCTGCCTTTCGCTGTGTTGCTGCCCCTCCCACTGCTGCTGCTGCTAGAGTTATTGTTATTATTATTGTTGCCGTTGCTGGTGGGGCTGCTGGTGGTGTTGTTATGCTCAGGACTAGGCGCCTCAATGCTACTGGAGCCCACTGGCACCTGCAAATGCACTCGACACAATAAATAAAAGCTAAAAATTACAATTCAGTGTCTATGCTAACCTTCGTATTGATCTCCTCATTGGTGCAGAGCAATTTCTCCAGCTGGTTTAGCTCTTGTTTGCTCAGATTGCGCAACAGATCCCGGATCTTAATAAGTATTGTGCGAAATGGACGAAACATCTCGGAAAGCTCATCGCCCGGCATGTCCATATTAAGCGGACCCTTGGCATAGACAACCAACCCGGCGACAATTGCCAATCGGGGTATGGAGAACATTAGACCCGGATCGAAGGCATCGACCATGTCCTGCTCGAGCAGCCCGATCTTAAGAGCACGCTGCAACGTTTCCGAAAAGAGCACACCAATCCATTGCTGCATTTCGTATTCGTGGCGAGACTTTACGGGCACCATGGCGCTCACATAGCTCAGCTCGAACTCGGCAAATAGATGATCGAAGATCTTCAGGCTCTCGTACAGCTGCTCGGTGGTTGAGTCGTTGAAGTCCAGATGCAGTGTCTTACTGTTGGGCACATTGTTGCGCAGGCATTGATCGCGCAGCAGGACGCGCACGTTGCCCAGACTTTTGGTGACTGCTTGCGCCAGCGGACGCATCTCTTTGCTCTCGGATTCACGATTTAGAATCGACGAGCCAGCGGCCAGGCACTCGGCACCAAACCATAGCTGGCCGGCCAGATTCTCCTGCAGCACTTCCTCTGGGAACTTGGCACGAAAGGCGCGCGGATCTCGCTCTTCGCCTAGCAGCTCCTCCATAATCAAATTGGTTATGGCCAGCACTTTGTCCTGCAATATGGAATCCAGTAAATTATGGGTAAGCAGTGAGAACTGCGGCACACTTACCTGATTCTGGCGCAATCTGCTAACCAGACGCGTACAACGATCCGGCTCGGCGCGTCCATCAAAGCTGTCCAGCTCACTAGCCACGGCGGTCAACGAACGATCGGCATGGTAGAAGCGTGCTAGCAAGGATTTGTCATCAGCCTTCAAGAAGCAAACGAGCACAATGATTAGTTGTGGCATAGGGTGAGTCTTTCATTTTAAAATGGTACAGGATGCAGTCGATGACTAACCCACACACACACACATACACACTTGCGATTTAGCAACTGCGTTGCCAATTCATGCACTTCATCACGTAATGGAACAAACGCAGCTGAGGTGAGTAACTCGGTAAGCGGCGATAGTACTGGGTGACAATCTTGCACGCTAAATGCACACAGTGCACGTTCGATATGATTAACAATACCTGCGGGTGCCGATACACTCGATCGCCTTGGCTTTTTGATATACAAATTTAAAGAAACTTTCAGATCATACATATAACCCAAAGACCAAGACTTTACTCTATTTAAAATGGGTTCTATTTGCTTAGAAAAACTTTTAATATTTGTGAAGTGACTAAATGCATTATTTTAATAACTATAAAGTTATTCAAGTTAAGCTAGTTAAAATTAGGAATATGTAAACAGATAAAAAATATTATGAATTCCTGCTTCGTTCAATATTTGACAATATATACATTATATTGCAAGTCTCTAATTGATGTAGTTTATGAGATCGAAGCATTCCAATGTGTATGATATGCGCTGTTATAGGGGGGTCAACTGTGACAGGCTGAATACACATTTCACCACAATTAAAGACCTTTAACTCGCTTACCTCCATTATTCATGTTATATTACAACTTTTATAACTCTAACTATTAGTCATTTTAATATGAGGAAACTGCTGCTTTATAATAAGAACTCTACAACGTTCTTAGATTACAAAATATAGACTGGTTACAAAATATGAATTAAGTTCATCATTGCATTCAATTCGCATTGCAAATGTTGTGTTCTACATGACGAGTGATCACTGTTGCTCAAGCGTTGAATCAGAGAACAAACGCTACACCTATTAGCATTATCACTAGGTGCTTCTCGATCTCTCTGCTCAGTTCTTTGCTTTCATCAACTGCGCCATATTCAAAGGAAAACTACAAATAAATAAATCAAATTTTTCAAGCTAAATGATTTATCTATGCATTCGATTACTTTTTATTTCTAATTAATTAAATACGCTAATTAAATAAATTAAATATTCAGCTATTTTCAAGCTGACAAGATTGAAGTAAAAACTAAAAAGCTTTAGACTTGCTCGTTCTCTTTGCCGCTCTCCCGCGCCCTCTCTTGCTCTCTCTCTCTCTCTCTCTCTCTGTTAGCTATAAAGTTAGCGGCAGCTGAACTTGTTTAACTTTAGCTTTTGCACCTTTTCTTCCCCATATATATATATATGTATATATATATTTCTGCTTTATTTATGCATTTGTGATCTGTTTAAATATGAAATAAAAAACGCGGCCGAGAGCGGCACAGCACAGCACAGCAAAGCTTAAATGCTAAATGCGTTGGAAGGAAACAGAAATACACGAAATGTGTTTATTATAAAGGCAAACACGTCGAAAAAGCGTTGACTCCGCACAAACTGCGCAGTTCGACAAGCAAACTCAAGTTGCGAGGAGGGCGGGGCGCGGTGGGGTGCGGTGCGGCCAAAGCAGCAATTGCAAAGTTTTGCGTAAAAAGCGAGCAAAAAATGCTCGAAGGGAAAAGCAAGAGGGCAACAGCAACAACAACCAAAGAGCTTAATTATAACGTTTACAGTTAGTTTTCCAGTGAACGTCAGCGAATGACCAAAACAAACAAAATCCAAAAAAAAAAACAAAAACAAAAACAAACAAAGTTTTTGTATAAGAAAATGAATCACGCGCGAATCGATGAATGTGTGGCATAGGTATGGAAAACGTATAAAATGAAGTTAACGAAAAAAACTCGTATAAAAAATAATAATAATAATTTTGAGCTGAAAGCGAAGCAAAACTCAATGCCGATGTCAGCGTCGTTGTGGTTGCTGTTGTTGTTGCTACAACATGTGGCAATTCCATTTGTTTACACAACAATTAAACGTGCAATAAGCGAAACACTGTGTGTGTATGTGAGAGTGTGAGAGAGAGTGTGTGTGTGTGTGTAGGTCTCTTAACATTCGGTTCTTTTGGGGCCATGTTTTAGGTATGAGCATTATGTGTAGTATTTATGTATGCAAGGCCGTGAGTAAATAGTTCAATGACTGTCGCTACACACACACACACACACACACACACACAGACTTAAGTTCTCGCGCTCTGCGCTCTCTCGCTCTTCCACCTCCGCTCTGCTATTGGTCAAAAGAAAACAAGCGACTTGGCAGTTGATCGGCCATTTGTTGCTTAGCGCCAGATTTATTATGGCCATTTACTCGATACTTAGAGACGTGGCACTGCACGAACAACGCATATCAATCAAATATGATTGATAAAGTGCGTACATCGCAGCCACGACTTTCATTTGCTGCCAATGACCGACCTTGATGCCAAACCCCCACCCCTCCACCGCAGCTCATCTAAAATTAATTAATTAATTGCACTTAACGTTTACATTAGCTTCGATATACGAAGGCGCAAAATGTAATTAAAAGCCAGCGAAACAAAGAGCAAAGCGTAAATGTTTAATTAAATATGCCAAGAGCGTTCTCTTAGCCAAACAGGCTAAGGAACAGCTTAAGCCGATTAAGGCCCTATCAAGGAGGCATGAGTAAAGACAATTTGTAATGAGCGCAGATATTACAAAGTTTCATTCATTTATTATTAATAAGTGCGTTAATTTTAACTCAAACAACAAACAATTAAGTTGTTAAACAAATTTTAAAAGTATATATTATTTTTTAAGAAAATATTTCAATTTGAATTTCTCAAAGCTCACTTTTCCGCAATCTGGCAACAGGAACTTATTGTTAAGTTGGCTGCGCCAGAGCTTAGAGCAATTATTGCGGGTATTCCCCAATTAGCTAATGCGATTTTGATTGCATGCTCAGTAAGTAAGATAAGCAAAGCAAACTTATGCTTAAGCTAAGTTCAATTGCGCCTTTTCAATATTATAAATGAAACGATTTCTGCAGGCACAAAATGCGATTTCACGACAGAAATTGGCATAAACAAAGAGAGGTAGGGCTACCCCTATATGTCAATGTATTTTTAATTAATATATTTTAATATTTGTGAGTGTTTTTTGTTAAATTATACACTCAATATTTGAATTATTGCCTCAAACGGGTTGATTGTGTTTTTATTGCAGCAACCACAGCCATCAAAGAAATAATAAATTAAATGTGAGTAAGCGAGTCGAATGTTGCTGATAACACACACACACACACACAGTTACTGCCACAGTTATAGTAAACATATGAAAAGCTCAGATTGTCAACTTTTAGTGTGTTCATGCGGGCTGTGACTGTGACGATTGCATTTCGGTACGAGCAAAAGATATTCCCTGTAGACCCTAAACAATTGTTTCAATGGAAGTCATATATAGGGGATTAATTACCAAAACGATTTAGAAAAGTAAAATTCACTTTGGCTGATGTTGGTTGAGATATCCTTTACGCAGAAACATAGCTGTTAAATGATGGATGATGTAGTCATTCATCATAAGTGAGAGAACGTATAACACAATTACATGAAAGAGTAATTCGATACGAGCTATGCTAACTTGCATAATGTAAGTCAAACTAAATTTAAAATCAAAATTACTATTACTTCTAGTCTCTCTAGAACAATCAATAAAATATATACTGAAGCGTTACACATAAATAAAACCAAGATATCCTATTAGTAAAGGACATATGCTTGCCAGAATAATGGAACGTCGGTCAATAATTATATTTTGGATAGCGGTTGTTAAGGACAGCGGTGCTGACGTCACAAAGAACGACCTCGTCGTCGCAACAGGCAACTGACGACAGATCCTTGAGCCGTACGGCGCAAGGACGCGCCGACGGACAGGCTGGATAGTGCAAGGAAATAGTCATTTTTTTTAGCCTTGACTGGAAAACCAAGTGAAAACCTAATTGCATTTGTGTGCAGTGTGACGCCAAGCCGACTGCCATGCCGATTCCCTTAACAACAACAATTTGCTGTCTATGGACGCACTTGACATTGAATACACGCCATGAGGTCGCATCTTTTCTGGCACTCAATCAGAATCGGTTCATCAATTGGGAAATAAGAGAATGCTAGCAATTGAAGGCAGACAACAACAACATCGATTGTGAGTGAGGTGGAGACCCAATGTTAACCCCAAAGCATGACCTTCTGATGAGCACGATTATATATATATATATATCGGTTACATCTGAACGATTGTATAACAGAAATAAGATACATTCTGTGCTCCTCCGCCTGCCCTGAGGCGGCACCTGCCACGGTTAATTGGCAATTTGCAATTTGAGAAGAGCAGAGGTAAGCTTTGACACTTTCGTCTGCTTTCGTTTGATTGATTTATCAATTGAATCTAATTGCTGCACAATTTATAACTAGAATAGTGTCAAATTTAATAGAGCCGCGAAACGGTGAGAAAATTATCAAGCAACTAACAGCTGTTCCAGATGGCCCCAAGTTCACCCTAATTGCCGACACTTATCAGCCACTATACTATATATAGCTATACTAAATAAATATATATATATAGCTATAACTGTATGCCTGTGTATTGGTCTCGTTCTATAGTCGACAAAGACAAAGAACTTAGTAAACATTGCAAAAGAAATCGCCACACAACACTTGAGAAACGCCAAACTGAGATAATTTCGTCGCTTTACCTCTCGAATTTGTTCAGCTCAAATAGTTGTTTGCCATAAAAATATAAAAGTTATTAACAATAAACAGCAAACAATATGGCGTCGCAAGTAATCATAATAAATACATTCGGAAGTTGAAATAAAACTATAAGAGGAAAATACTAATTATTCAGTGGTTATTCAATAGGATTTACTAGTTACTTTTATATATTTATAATATTATATTTTCTACTGAAAAATGTAATTATAAAAATATATCAAATTTATGTGATTGAAAGACAGCTTATATTTTTTACTTAAATAATAATAGAGCTTCTAAAATACAATTTCAT